AGGAATAATTGTTAATTATACTTTATCGACAACTTTTACCCGTTTTGGTTCATCTATTTGAAGTAAGTTTTATTTGCCATACAAACTCTTTATTTCCCGTACAAACTCTCATTTTACGCTTGGGCTACTTGCGATAGGACGTGATGTGGAAGAATACTGTATGAATACCTCTCAGACGGGTTATCGTCTCAGTCGGATAATTCGACTCTATAGCATAAATTCGGCCAATGAACGCGAGTGTTCCATTGGGTATAGTGTCACGAGTATTGAGATAAAGCTCGTAGGTAGTAGCAATCGTGGTCTTAAATCTACGCTCAGTTGTCTTCACGATCTGATTCCAAATACAGGATATTTTCATTTTTCACACACAAAGTGTCAAAGACACCGATGAGCGATGCTAAAGACATCTCTCTTGTGTTTCTTTGTGTTTGTTTTCATCTTCGCAACAAATGATCGTAGATGTCATTCTACAAGGACAGCTGCGCGGATATACGCCAAGCATGGCTCTACTGGCAAAGGCGATTTAACAAGGTAATGGAGAGTTTCTCTTCCTTTTAAACTTCTGTGACTAAGGCCCTGTTTATACGTCGCGTTATCGTCGAATTTAATTCAGACGAATTCAATATAAAGCCTCCAGTGCAATAAAATTCGACGATTCTGTGACGTTTAAAATGAATTAAATTCGTTTGAAGAATTAAAATCGTCCAACAACTCTTTAGCAAACCTCGGGCCACTGGTCAAAAACACCGAAATCTACACCTGAGCCGGTAGGATTAAAATTGTCGTCTAAATCGGACAGCACTTAACGTCGACTAAACGAATTTACGAATTTAATGTGAATTAATTTTTAAATTTTTTAAAATTGTTTAAATGAACACTAGTGAGCAGCACTTTACGTCGTCTAATCGACGAATTTAATGTGAACTAAATTCGTCTGAATTAATTTCGACGCATAAACTAGGCCTAAGCTATTTAACATTTGAGTTATTTTCCATGTGACCCAAAGAGATAAGTTTATAACATACTCGGCGTCGGATGCTGTTCCCGGGGGGGCACCCCCTAAATTGGCCTTAACAGGTATGTGTCGCGAAACAGGGTATTGTTTTCGGGGTATTGAATCTTAAAAAAAAAACACAGTTTCACTATTTAGTGTCTTGAACAAGGTAACTTTCTGGACCGGATGCATTGAATAGGGTAGCCTTGCTACTCCTAGCAGGTACCAGAAAATCGCGCTATGGTCTTGACTCAAATTCGTTTTAACCTGTAAAGGTTATCTAAAGATCAGTATAGTAACAAATATAAGGAGCCCATAACCAGTAGTTAGCAATTTCCATTAACCCTTGCCACGGTACAGTGTTTTCAGCGACTAGTTTACTTATAGAACGATTTTGCCGTCGAATTTAGAATACTATCTAAGTGTTACTGTGAAACACAAAACCGTGAACACCAGAAATATTTATGGCATGTTATTGTGTTAGGGGGAATTAGCCAATGAGGCGCCAGAAAACTAAACCGCAAACAGCAACTGTAGTTAGTTTGTGGTTTTGTAGTTTGCTTGCGTGTCCTGAACTTTACTGTAATTGGTCTGTACACAATCAACATTCCTGAAAATTTTCAGGTGCTCACGGTTTTCTGAGTTTGTCAGTAATGTTATTTACTTTCCCCTTCACATTTTATACTTCGAGTGCGCTCATAGACGGAGCGGAGCTTCAATGTTCGCGGGAAAATGTTCTCTACAATGTAGCTAAAAATAAACCGGTCCGTGTCATATGCTTTGTATGGGAGTTGCTTGCTATGGCTTATGGTCTCCCGATCTCACATTTTTTGGCTCGACACCTGTGACAGCTCTAGACTTTCATAAGGTGGCTCGATACAGTTTTTCAGGGCCAATACCTCCCAGGTTTGAGCATAAACTAAGTCGCCATAAACAAAGTTTTGAAAAATTGCCACCACAGTTGTATTAGATGAAGATGAAAATTTGTTATGGTCAGTGTTGTAATGGCATCGGAGTTGTCATAGCAACGAAATGACGCTATTGCCTATTTTACTTGCAGCAGTATATCTCGGCACTGGGAACTGTTCTTCGAAAATCATTCACGGGAGCTTTTTCCTCCAATAGCAGCCTCGATGTTCGTGAAGTTTCGGCGAAATCTGTAAGAGCGTTATCGAGATATTTTGGGATAAAGATTTTGTTGTTAGAAATACTGTAAAAAATGGACAATCTTGGTGTTCGGCTGTTATCTGTAGAAAACGAAGCGCTTTTGACATGAAAATTCACCTCACAGTAGTTTCAATCTTTTTAAAAACGTGTGTGAAAGATCAAGGAGATAGCTCCAGCCGTTTGCTACAAAGAAGGATTTGATTAGTATGTATCGAAGCGCTCTTGTTAGCGGTTTTTTAAACATTTTTGTCTACTTTAACAAATTAGCGAATAATTTCTAAACCGCTTGATAGATTTTTTTAAAAATTTAAGATTCTTGAGATTAACCTTTCTTTTATATGACCTTTTAGTTTCAAGATTATTGATATATTGTAAGGCTGTAAAATAAGGGCTACAATTCGCTAATATTTTGGCAGAAATTTTGTGTTTACAAGTGTGAGCCTCTCATTATTCAGGGTATTGTGTCCAAGTTTCATATTTTCGTGCTCAACAAAAGCTGCCATTTTTGCATATTTCAAATGCATTGTTACAGTGTTGTTAGTTACTGCTGTTCACGTGAAAATGAAACTTGGAGACAATGCCTTGAATAATTAGAGGCTTTCACTTGTAATGACGAAACTTCCGATAAAAAAGTAACGGATTGTAGCCCTTATTTCACTGCCTTACAACATATCAATAATCTTGAAACTAAAAGGTCATATAAAAGGAAGGTTAATCTCAAGAATATTAAATTTTTTAAAAAATCTATCGAGCGGTTTAAAAATTATTCGCTAATTTGTTAAAGAAGACCAAAATGTTTACAAAACCGCTAACAAGAGCGCTTCGGTACATACTAATCAAACCCTTCTTTCTAGCAATCGGCTTGAGCTATCTGCCATGATCTTTCACACACGCTTTTAAAAAGATTGAAACTACTGTGAGGTGAAATTGCGTGTCAAAAGCGCTTCATTTTCTAGAGATAACGGCCAAACAACAATATTGTCCATTTTTTACTGTGTTTCTAACAATAAAAACATTATCGCAAAATATCTCGATAACGCTCTTACAGATTTCCCTTAAACTTCACGAACATCGAGGCTGCTATTGGAGGAAAAAGCTCCCGTAAATGATTTTCGAAGAACAGTTCCCAGTGCCGAGATATACTGCTGCAAGAAAAATAGGCAATAGCGTCATTTCGTTGCTATGACAACTCCGATGCCGTTGCAACACAGATCATAACAAATTTTCATCTTTATCTAATACAACTGTGGTGGCAATTTTTCCAAAACTTTGTTTTTGGCGACGTAGTTTATGCTCAAACTTGAGAGGTATTGACCCTGAAAAACTGTATCGAGCCACCTTAACGTCCGTTGTGTTGGGTCATCGGGTGGCAAAAGGTCGACTTATCAGCCTGCATAGCATGCGTCGAAAGGGGTAGGGGATTGGGGAGAAAGGAAAAAGGGAGCAGGGGCGGATCTAGGGGGAGGGTGCAGGGGGTGCCCACCCCCCTCCCCCCCAAGATGACGTGCGGTTTTCTAATACAACTGGTATTCTGTAAAAAACTATGTGGTTTATTGGTGTTGAAGGAGAGCAAGAGACGAGTGCACCCCCTCCTAAAAAAAATCCTGGATCCGCCCCTGGGGAGGGGGATTGTATTCTCCCTCTCCCCCTCCCCCTTTTTGCATCTGCCACGCAGGCTATCGACTTGTGGGCAAGACTAGTCTATGACAGCTGTAATGGTGGTCTTTTTACATGCTGCTAAAGAGATTCCTCATTCATTTCCAATTTAGCAGCATGTATTGCAGAGAAGTTTTCGACACTGACCAGATAGCAGCCGCTCTGCAAACCTCATAGTGCCAGGACTGAACTGTTCCGGACAAATCATTTCTTTGTGTTCGTGGCGTTTCAGTTGACAAGGGTTCCGATCAGCCTAGTCCTTACGCGTTCTCGGCTCGGTCAAACCTGGACTCCACCGTGACCTGTGACGTCACTGAGAGAGAATCGTCTACCCTTTCCCAGACTTCGCGAGGACAACGGGGCAAGAGAGAACGCATAAGGACTAGGCTGGTTTCCAGGTAGTTAAAGCCAAATTTAACTGACCATAAAATAGAATATAGATTTAGCCAGGGCTAAAAGCGAAGCTCTCGATAATATTTATAGTTTGCTCAAACAAAATATAAAATCATGTTATGCTAAGCGGCGAAGGCAACGAGAACGGTGAAAAAACAACAATAGGTCTAATTAGCAAAAAAACAACTTTGCACGTGCAGCACACTTTTTTTGTACATTTCTTTGCCTTTGCTTTAAACGACCACAACGTGAAACTTCCAGAAACTTCCTAGTTACACGTTTAACACAGAGAAAATGTCGTACTTGTTGTTGTTGACTTTTTTCACTCGCTCATTTTCACCTTGGTGGCCGCTAGGATTTCTTACTTTCTCACCGCCGCTAAAAAATTTTCATGTTGTTCTTCCAACAAATAGCTCTTTATCTTCCGCTCTAGCTCTCTGTCGCTCTTTTTCTCGTTGAGCTTCGCTGGCCTGTCGCCCACTTTGTTATTTCTCTACATTCCAAATTTGTGGACATGACAATTAATCTAAGCTTAATACTTTAGACAACAAGGATACAGAAACAATTTCCGCTTTCCGTTTACGTCGTTATTGACTCTTTAGTTGTCTCTGCTTCTCAAGGCGCAGGTGGCTATGTGATTTCCCCCCAAAATAACCTCGAGTTGCATTTGGGTTGCCATGCCTGTTGGTTGAGTTATTTTAACGGTCACGTGATTACCAAATTACCAAATTTTCTTACCCATGGTGCTCCGCTTCGCGCGCGTGGAGCTCCGCTACAACAAGAAATTCCGCAGCAATCGTTCGGAGTCTCAACCTTCTTGTATCATTGTAGTTTTCTGCAATCACATGGAGCATGGAGAACAAAATAAATTTTACAAATCTGGTGATCTGTTTTGTTTGTTATTCACGTTACTGGCTGCTATATTTTCAAGCTGTCGATTTACAAATCAACTAAACCGTGGAAAATCAAGGGGCGTTTCCAGAATCTTGGGGTTTCCGGGCAAGTGTTTCCTCTTTTCTTGTAACCATCCCCCCTCGATTTTTCATTTCTTTTGCTCATCATATTTATATTGTTATTTTAGTCCTTCAACAAATCGGTGTGAACAGACTACTACAGTTCCCTTCAATGATCAGCGGTCTCCTGGAGTTCAAAGTCTCGTCACAAAGGTTCGAGACGGACGTCTCATATCTATGGTTGTTATTGGGGGTTCTAACACAGCTGGAAGAAATCGGAAGAAAAATAAAGAGTTATATTCGAGTCGATTCACTGATTGGTGGAATAAACACGTATATAAGTCAACTGGTTCTAGATTAACGCTGAACATCATGGGTATCGGTGGAAGTTCAAGTGATCTTTTACTCTTTTGTTTGCAAAACTATTTACCGAAAAAACAACCAGACATTGTTTTGATTGAGTTTGCTGTAAATGAGTTTGGTAAATGCGGCAAGGCAGCTCAACCAATGGAGCTCCTTACTCGTAGACTTCTTTTAATGGCATCCAGGCCTTTGGTTATGTATGTTAACTTGGTAAATCCAGGTATTATAAAAGGAAAGGTTACGAATACTAATTGTCAAAATATGGAAGATCTTGGTCTCGATGACTTAGCAAAGTACTATGGGATACCATCTGTCAGTATGAAAGATTTTGTCTGTCCGCTGACCAGCTCAGGTAGACGAAAGTTCAAAGCTAAAATGGACCTGTTTGCACCCGACGGGATGCACGCGGGGCGCAAGTCACACAAAAAAATAGCATCTATGATCATTGAATATTTTAGAATTTTTTTGGCAACAAAAGACTGCGATCGATCGGTAAAAGGAAAAAGCAATAAAAAAGACTCGCTTTCTTTCTTAAAGCCCTTATTCAGCGACCCTTCAATAAGTGATATTCAACTAGGCAAAGCCATGTGTTGGACTCACTTAACTCCTAACTGGAAAATTCCTTTAAAACAATCACTGAAGGCTCGTGTGATAGCATCATGTGGGTTTGCTTATGTTTCGCCCTTAATGTCATTAAAAAATAGAACTTTTGATCGCTCTACAAGGCACATGGACGGCTTCGGTGGCTGGGCTTGCCAGCCTGAAAAAGGAACAAAAAACCTCACAGTTCAATTCATTGTTCCGAATACGAATCCGCTGGTGCTTCCATCCATTTCTGTTGTATTACGTTTGAATTATACAGCCACAATGGTCAAAATGTCGCTTGATGATGAGCAAAGATCATGTATTGTTGTGAAAACCGAAACGCAGCGGAGAAAGTGGTTAAACACTCGTATATATCCTTTAACAAGCCAGATAACTCCAGGAAAGTATACTCTCCGAATTGAGTGTACAGCAAGGTGGATGTTAGTATGTGGAATTGTGATTGGATATCATGGTTACCATGGTTTTGAAGGATATAAACCAATTGATGAAAAAGTAATTAACTGTAGTAACAAGGGTGGGGCTTAGCCAATAAAAGCGTACCCTACACAGCAAGCGTTTCGATGCGTTTTCGTAGCAAAGGACGAGGAACAAGAGTGGCTACGCAGGGCTAATAAAAGCGAAATTTTTTTGAAATCTAGGTTCACTCTTTGCTTGAATCGTACTTTAATAGTAGACTTCTTCACAGACAAAATTCCCTATATTTTCCCCCATTTTCCCGTAAGATATCGTCAAGATTAAGCGCTAACCATTACAGGCGGCCATTTTGGTTTTATTTGTACAGTGTCTCATCGAAAAAATGGGCCGGGCTTGAGAAGAGGCGCTATCCACCCCCAATCCCCCGTCCGCTTAAGTTTATTTGAAACTTAGTTGGCCGTCCGTTAAGGTGAGCGCACTATCTCGATGAACTCACGGAAAGACAGGCAGCCTCGTCCCCTGGAAATTGCGGACCTACCGCAGGGTATCTATCTCTATGCCCTTACCGGCTTGACGAACCCCTAAGCCGAAGCCGTCTACGTGGGAGGCTACCTTCACTTTCCCCAAATCCCCAGCTTGTTACATTTGTCTTGTTATACCGGGACTAGTTTCCTTACAAAATGTCAAATGTCTCAATGGTAGGGTCGATTCTTAGCCGGGGGGGTTACTCAATAAAATTTATACGGCTCCGCCCCGAGGTTCAACGAGAGAAAAGATGGGCGACTCCACCCTTGTCAACCCTAATGTCAACCCAACCCAGTGTCTGCTGTGAACTGGAACTGAGAGTCCAGGCTCCCTCGACTAGTATTTCCAAGATGGCGGGGATGGCGGGCAATTAGAACGAGCAACATGTCCGTTGTTACACTACAGTTGGGCCAGTGTGGGAATCAGATAGGCGGTGAACTGTTCGATCTTTTGATAGAGGATGCAACAAAGCTGAATTCTCAGTTCATTTCGAAGAGCGTAGACCGCAAAGTGATCCAAGATTATGAAGAAGAAGTAATAGAAAGGTTCTTTACTCGTGACAAGACGGGAACTTTATTGAATGCACGTGCAGTCATGATCGATATGGAATCCAAAGTAATATCTCAAACATTAACAGAGGCCAGAAAGACTGGTAAATGGACTTATCCCACAGGGCAGCAATTTTGCCAGAAACGCGGTTCAGGAAATAACTGGGCGCACGGCTTTTTAGAACATGGGCCAAAATCAGCAGATAAAGTGCTAGAAATTGTACAGAAAGAGGTCGAAAAATGCGACAGATTTGGCGGATTTCTGATCTTGCTTAGCTTAGCTGGTGGAACTGGTTCTGGTGTTGGAGCTTATGTTACTGGTTGCCTTCGTGATGAGTTTCGACATTCGTTTATACTGAACCAAGTCGTCTGGCCTTATGGAACCGGAGAAGTCATAGTGCAAAATTACAACGCTATTTTAACGCTGTCTCATTTGTATAAGTGCTCAGACGGTGTAATCATACTCGAGAACGACAAGCTACAAAGTATATGCTCGAGGTTAATGAACTTAAAACACATCTCTTTCAAGGATATAAACAAGGTGATTTCACATAAACTTGCAAGTATATTGCAGCCAGTGAAGCTGTTTTCTCCGGGACAGGATGCTGCTTACTACAAAGAAGCAATCTCAGTAACTAATCTTCTTGGAGATCTGATTGAGCAAGTTTGTCCTCATCCTGAATATAAACTGATGACATTGAAGAACATTCCTCAAATGGCTGAAACATCCCTAGCCTTCAGTACCTACACCTGGTCGGGACTCTTAAAACACCTTCGCCAAATGCTTATAGCTGATGCCAGCATGGAGGAAGGTATACATGATCTCTGTGATAGGAAGTAGAAAGTTTACCTATTGATCTATACCTAGATTGGGGTGCACTATAAAAACTAACATCTTGAAATAATTTTTTTTGTTGAAAAAATTTGTTGGTACCTCATATGTAGACCACTCATTGCCAAGCTTAACATCCTTTTAAAGCAGGGCCGTAGCTAGGTTTTTTGGAATGGGGGAAGGTGGTGGGGGGGCATTATTGCGAGTGCCGAAGGCACAAGTCTTGAAGGGGGTTCTGGAGGTATCCTCCCCCATAAAATTTTCAAATTTGGAGGCTCCGAAATGCTATTTTCAGCACTTGTCATGAGAAATGTCTCTGAAAAATCGACCTCGAATATGAAAATGGAAAACAATTGCAAGTCACTATAATAAAAATAACTGAGTCTAAAGAAAACAATTCCATCCACAGACTTGATCTGTCTGGCTCAACAGGTCCGGGGGGAGCAGGTGTCCCGCTTGCTCCCCCGCTAGCTATGGCTTTGTAAAGGCTTCTGGTCCAAAAAGAAACCTTGTTCAAGACACTGAGTAGTGAAATTGCATACCCTCTTTAAGACTCAAGCCCCTAAAAACCATACCCTGTTGAACGGCATATACCAGTTTAGACTGAGAGAGATAGAGTTTTTTTTTTATCACTTTGGGGCCAACAAAATTGGGCATTGAAGTCGCAAAGTGTGTTTTGTTACAGAAACAGAAATTTGTGCCATATCCATTTATTGGTTTTCATGATTTATTGTGTTTGTTTTTACTTTCCCTCATTTGGCAGGCATTGACTGGGAAGTGAAGTTACCTGTGCCATCCAACCCTGATGGTGCCGATTTTCATCTCAGACCTGGTGAACCACCACGATTGAGAGAAAAATTCAATAAATCCATTGCAAACCTCTTGGTATTACGAGGAGTGGGTGTTCATAAGTCTGATCTGACTTCTTTTAATGATCCCAGACTTCATGCGAACTGGGTGCCATCAAGTTGTGCTAGCACAATATGGTGCCATCCAAGGCCATTTAACCATTATGAAAAGTCAGTGACATTGCTTAGCAACAGCCAAACCCCTGTGGCTCCCTTAAACTCAGTGGTTCAGAAAGCTTGGAACATGTTCACTTCACGGGCTTATGTCCACCAGTATTTAAAGTATGGAATGACAGAGGATCATTTTGTTGACAGTTTTGCAGCTACTGAGCAAATCATAAGAAACTACTCTTCATTGTAACATGTTTATGAGTTATTCATAAGATTTGGCATGGTACATGTATGCACTTTTCGTGGTTTAAGCCATGAAGTGGTTGTCTTGTTATTCCATGCAATACTTACGTGTAGTCAGCATTGCCTGGTGTGTCTCTGGCGTTATTAGGGAGCTTAAGCAACTATGACGGCAATGCAACGAGAACGGCAAAAATTGGCAAAACAACAATACTGCATGTGCATCATGCTTTTTTGTACATTGCTTTTCTGTCACTGCATGCATGACTATGACATGAAAATGCCTAATTTCACGTTTTGTGGATGAATTTTGAACACAAGACAACTTTCTTTTTCTTTTCCTGAACTTCAATACAGTCTTTTAGAATTCAACTCCAGAAAAATTGCCAACATTTGAGGAAGGAACTGAAAAATTTAAAGTTTGAAGTAGCACAACTTTACTTTTTAAGTGATGTTTTGTTGTCGATGCTTAAGCTCCTACTATCATCATGAACTACCTCTCTCTTTTCGAGTACCACTCAGGGCTTTGTCTGCAACAGGACCTAACATGCTTAAATATTATTGCACCATCGTATCCTTACATTGCTTATTTATTATTTACATTTTTATTTCAGTTGTATCTTGGTACTTGTGCGCACGCAATTTAATTTTGGGCACGTGCATTATTTATTTATTTGAGTTGTGTGTACATTTAGTTCGTTTAATAATGATTTAGTTTTGCTTTGCGTTGTTTTCCTCACTTATATGTGTTGTCCGTGACTGTGCTCACACGGTGGGTGGCTCCTCCTAAAATGTTCTGCAATTGGTATAGGATTTAATGAAGCTGAAACAAATTGTGGAATTGCACCATTTTAGGCATCCTACTGATGAACAGTTGGGACACGTAGATTTATTTTTTAGCAACTGCTATAATTTGCAGTCTGTCTACTTTGAATGCATGATGTTCAAAGCATTGATAGCGAAGTGGAAAGTTCATAATATATCATATGGTGCCTCAGGGAAACCTTGGAGACATATTTTGCTAAAAAAAGCCTTATACACTCACAATAAACATCCCCTCAAAGAGGCAAACGTCTTTGCCTAGATGTCCATGATTTCTCTTCCCTGCCATTTTTTGGACTGCTCAGTGGACAATGGTAACATGAAGATGGTAGTAATACTCAGTTATTGTGGTAGGGAAATTTTAATAATGAATGCCTGATTATAGTTATAATTTATGCTGTGAAAGGTTTGAACCCAGGAGTCATTTCAAAAGGTTGAGTTTGATTGTCCAGGTGAACGTAGTCCTGAATAGGACTGTTGTTGTTGACAGTGACTGACGTTTCGACAACCTGTGTGGTAGTCATCTTCAGAGTCAGAATTTATTTCAACTTTTTTTCTTAACTCTAAGTCACTTACTTAATAGTAAAGTAATTATTGACAAGTTCAATGATTTCAAACTACAATCCGAGATTGAAAAAGTAAGTTTTTCAAAATAACAGTGGATAGTTTTACTAGTTGTTAAAACTTGTATGAACCTTTCAGTAGTTACAAGTAACAACTTAAGACAGTGTTTTAATTCTTGACTCAAATGCAGGTGAGTAATATACTCACAGACATCAATAAAATAAAAAATTATCTGATGCATACAGATTCACCAGTTATTGAAACTGATTGCAAACACATGAAATATCCCATAAACAATTTAATTCTTCATTTTTAATTAATATAAAACAACAGCAAACTCTCTACAAAATAGACATCCCCTAGAAAAGGACAATATTATTTATTTTTTCACTCCAAGAGAGACTAAACCTTTCGCTCCTCTTGATGATGTCTGATTATAGAGAGTTGGCTGTATGAAGAATTATGAGCAAAAATGTCAATAGTTGAATCTTGGTAAAAAAACTTGTGAAACATTTCTTTGTTTTCATACTATTGCATGCCTTCTTCTCTGATGATCTGTACTGTTTCTTTGCTGAAAAATAATATTATTAGCTCCCTGTGAGTTTTAGCAAGGTTGTTCACCGAGGATGAGTGTAATGTTCTAATTTACAATAAATATAAACCTAGTCAGACGAATTGTATGTACAATTATTGTACATACTTCCTACTCATTACATGTATAGCCAAGATTTTAATGACATCAAAAAAATATGAATAAAGACATGGGATTCAATATTGCAGTAGTGAAGTGTTGACGTAGCCTGAGTAATCAGCTTTCATTTTGTGATGCCACCATAGGTTCCCTGCAAAATGACTTCTCGATAGCAAAATCCATTAGTCCTAGGCAATCGGACACGACTTTCTTTGCATGCTGGCAGGTGTAGCAAATTTTGGCTGTTTACTCAGGCTATAGGTGATGATGGTATTTAATTATCCAGTCATTCAATCACCTTATAACATTGTTTTTGACAATTAGGTGTTTCTTTTCTTTCAGCGATAGTTGAGCAAATAAACCAAGCAAGTGGGAACAAATTAACACTCCAGCATGTGACCATGTCTTCACCCTGCCTGCATTTGAAAGGAACTGAATGATTTTCGTAAAGAAAAACAGGAAACACTCTGACCAAGACATATTTTAGAGCACACCCTGTGGTGTTGCCTACAAGAAGTGAAGAAATCTGTTAAATATCCTGCTCAAACTATCTTAATCTCTTAAATAATAAACTTTAAGTTAAATTAACTTGACTAAATTCTCTTTACATGGTCCTACTTTAAATTTTTTTGTCTACGTTGGATAGACGCTTGACAAAAGTCAACATTTCCTATGTACACAATTAACTTAATCCTTCAATAAGGTCTCCATATTTTCACTAAATATTTCTTTGCTTTGGCACTTTTTCGTGTGCTGACATGCTGACACTGTAGATTACCATAGACACTATCCTGCCGCTTAAAAAGCCATTTTAAAAGAAGAAAGAGAGGAAAATATAGTGCAAATACATGTAATTTAAGTGCACCTCCAAAATAATGACTGCTTCACAAACAATGCATATTTTTGTGTGAGCAGCTTGCCTAACCCTAGAAACCATTGGTTTGCTTACCTTACCGTAAAACACAGGATATAATGATAAACAATGTTGTGTTATTATTTCCTGCAACCAATGAGGACACACCTTACGAGCAGCTGCTACAGCACTGATTTTTGTACACAGAAAATTTCCAAACTGTCAGCGGTTGCCATTTTTTTTCTTCCAGAAAATAACATGTGAGTGCAAGGCAGTTTGGTTGGGTGAACAGACCTCTTTCAAGAAATAATACCTAAACAGTTTAGAATTTGATCCTTAAGTTATAATATATTGTTGTACAGTTAATTAAGTACCAGAAACTTGTAAGGTATACGTATACATACAACAAGGGCTGTTTGGAACCTTATTTGGAAAGGCATTGTTACTAACAAAAGCCTATTTTCAGCTAAACCAGGTATGGCGGGATTAAGCCTTCTGACTATTAACAGTTGCCTCCTGATATGACATGACTATGGGGCCACTTTAATCTCAGTTTGCTGATTAAGTCCAAGTGATCTGGCAGAAATCTTCAAAATCAACTCTCAATAAAAATTTATTGCTCTCAACAAGAAGAATTTTTCACTGAGGGAAGACAATTATTTTCATTCAAGGGGTTTGGACTTACCTAATGCTCAGAAAGATTCTAGCAGCCTCACATTTTAGATATTGCTAGATTTCTAAAGGAGGGCTCTGTTAATAGCTATGTGAACCATGAAGTTTTTACATTATTTACAGTGAAAATGATTTAATTCCTGGAATTTGAGAAATCGATTAATCGTGAGATTTCTTCCAAAAAGTATCATTTTACTACCATAATTTTGTGGCAATTGAACAAATTCTTGCAACCCTTTGCAATGCAATAACTCTTTTGTGAATGACCCCAGTAAACTCTGTTCTTTTAGAACTTGTGGGGTCCATTTCTTCTGTTTTTGTGTTTATGTGAGGACAAAAAACTGTCCAATAAAATTGTTCCTTGTTTAGACAAGCTTTCACTCACCTGAAAATACAGCTGCATCTCATCACTTCCTGTCACTGGTGATGTTTCACAACTGGATTGTCTGCATTCTGTCCTAAGAAATTTTGAGCTCTGTTGTGGATTGGTGCCAGGAAAACTCAAATTCTCCTTGTAAACCATTATTATATTCATGGGTAATGAGTGTTTATTGGAGGTAATTTCAATGCCAAGTTGTGTTTTTGATCTTTGTGGCCTTTTAGTGCATTAATTACCATGTCAACAAACCAGAGCTCTTAAAAAGATTCTGAACAGATTGATGTCATAAGACAAGTACAGAACTTTTGAAGCCAATATGCAGATCTACCTCGCTTGAAAAACATCCCTAGTGACAGGAAGTATTAAAGGCAGTTGTATTGTAGGCTATTAACACCCAAGTTCTTGTTTGAGCTCTGTATTTGACTAACTGTTCTCTCAGGGAGGGACTGGATTTGATAATATCATTTCTTATATTACATGTGCGTGAAGGCAAGCGAACTTACTTTTAGAAAATAAGTAATGACTACAGGTCTAGTTAAAGCTTTGAGCAATTACTGCATTATACCCAGTTCCTGAACATCTTGTAAGATATATACACTTAAATGAACTCAAGTAAGTTGCAAAATGTTCTACATTGTGTCATAGGTTCTTTTGTAAGTAGTAATGCATCAAACAGCTCTCTGCAGATTTTAAATTATGTAGTTACATGATAAAACATTTCAAAGAGCTACTGGTGCATTATGTCATTTATATAATAATACTCATTTTACCAAGCTAAACAGCTATCATCAGCCATCAATTTTAATGCCGCTTGCGCCTCCCTGACAGCAATTCTGTAAAATCCTTTCTTACGTTTCTTGTGTCTTTTAGCAAAGTTAGGCAGAAACAGCTGAAGGCTGTGCAAAGGCATGATGGAGCTTGTGTTGGAGCCAAACCAGGAAACATGAGCATCTCTGTTCCATGGGTTCTTGCTGTCTTCATTTCTGATTCCACTAATGGCCAGTACCTTTCCTGGCCACCAAGGATGTCCATGAACTTTGCCCCACACAATATCGCCGACAGACACAGGGTTCCTGTTGTCAGTCGGAGTCACCTGAGGTTGAAGCTGCCAGGTCATTCGTTGTGTGTACTTAATGTTATTGGCAGATTTAGTTTTGTGTTTTTGAGGTTGGTGTTCTGTGTTTGTGGTTGTGACTGTTGAAAGGTTTGAGGAATTAAAACTCAAGGCATTAGAAGTTGTGCTTGACTGGTTTCTCTCTGTCTCAAGCCCTTTGAGCCAATCTGATTTTTCAGGGTAGTCCTTAGTTGCTAAAGAAGAGGCAATGATCTTTGCCTTCCTCTCACTGATCCTAGCAGATCGTTTAATGGGGCCATGATTTTCAGTTTTTGATTCCTGTGTTCCTGCAAGGCCACCATCATCATTCAACAGACTTGTCTTATTCTCTCTTTTGTGTTCATCAGATGAATTAGACTCAATCTGAATATCAGTTTGATCAGTGGCTGAATTTATTTCTCCAACTGAATTCTCTTCGTCCGAATGAAAGTCATCTTTATCAGTCATAACATTGGGAGCACAGCATTTTGCTGTTTCCACATGCAATTCAGGGTGCCTCCTGTTATCGATGTCCACACTGTCTTTCCCCTTCTTCTCAAGTTTCACTGTTAAAATAGGTGTCTCATTGCTTCGATTTTCCCATTCTTCAACTTCATCATTACAAACATTCTTACTGACATTCCTATCAGTCAAATTAGACACAACTGTCTCCAAGCTTTTTCTTACAGGCAATCTGTTCACCTCCCTTTCAGCAGGTGGAACAACTTTCTTAAGTACCAACACAGTGCTGGATTGTTGCTGTGCAGTTGTGTGCGTCCCTACCGGTACTGTGGGAACTGCAGGTCTCGTCATCAGAATTTTGTACTGGGTTGAAGAGACACTCTCTGCTGTTGAATTTTTTGGTTCTATGGTACTTGTTTCATCACTAACCACTTTAGTTTTCTTTGGGCTTTTACACTCGATTTTTGTTTGCTTGTTGTCAGTGCTTTTCTGGACACCTTGGGGGCTCACCATTGCTGGTTTCTTCTTTGATGGCCTGTCACAGATGTCTTGACCAGAAGACTTCCTTTTTCGTTTAGTCTCACATTTGGAGGTCTTGACAGTAACTTGGGTCGATGCACAGGTGACCTTTCTTGCCGAAATTTCCTTAGCCTTGTTTAACTGCCCTTGCTTAGTTTTATAATCACCCAAGGCAGTTGGTCTTTTGGTTGAAGTGACTGATTTGCTCACCATATTTTTAGAGTTTCCCTGACTTTCCTTAATAAAATCAGCGTCTGTTAGGACTTTAACGTCGCTAAATAAGCTCGGGAGCCTTCGACAAGGAAACGACTTATTGTTCTGTCGTCTGTAAAACAGACTGGCCTGCCTTGTTGACCACCGTGAAGCGCCGTCACCAAGAATAGTACTTCCTGAAGTAATTTTCCCCTTCACTGCTACAAGACCTGTGTTCAGCTCATCAACGGGTGCTCTTTATATTTCAAGACATATCGTGCGTAAAAAAAGAACAGACATAAGGATAAGTCTACATTTAAATTTATCTTCAAACTGACTACCTGAAAGTGCAAAATCCCTTACGAAATAATTTTTAACAATTTATAACTCATCACAAATTGTGAATAAACAAGTTGACCCACCTCCAAACGATCGCGTTCTTTTCGTCAAAAAGCACTCCTCTAAATATTTTTGACTTATGCTTTACGTAAACAAGAAGACAGTTTTCTAATGATTGTTCCACAGTAGCGGTAAGGACGGTTCCCGCTTGTAAACAAGCCATTTTTCAGAAATATCACTTGATATTTTCTTGTCTCGGTTGTGTTCATTACATTTCCATTTCTTCGCACTGTGCTACGTAGCGAGAAAATCGAACTTGATCTTTCCGGGTGCAAAAAGTTAAAAAAAAGTAATTTTCTTTTTTTCCTCCCGGGTTGTGATAAATAAAACGAATGAATACTAGATGAATTTTATGAATTTTCAGTGGTACTCATTTCACGATAAGGATGCGAAAAAGTGAACGACTATACAGGTGCAATTTGTTCAATGAATCATAAATTCCTATTACCACCCTGGTACTCTAAGCAGTCAGTACAGGAAAGCGCGATGTTCGCCGGCAGCTTCGAGGCCTGTGGCAAGATCATTCCAGTTTCGTACGTTCAGCAAGCTCAGAATGCCAGAAAGAGCCGCGAAAATCAAATAAGAACATTTCTGGAACACGTAAGTGATGCAATATTGGATCATGACTCCAACTGAAATGATAGCAATACGAAGTTAGGCGCTGTACTGAGATGTCTGCTGAAAATGTTTGTTCCTAAAAGTTTTAAGTAGGCTGTAAACGGTATATTGTCGGTGAAAAGTTTCTTTCTTCTGAGCAGTTTTATAATTTGTTTTAAGTATTCAAGAATTGTCCAGCTGATGATATTAATTAGGAGGGGAGGGAGAAAGTGGAGGAAGCTAGAAGCTACAAATTCTAGATGTAAAGGAGCATGAGGAGCATTGAGCTCCAGTTAAGCTAGAAATAATTCAATAAATTGCTTATTTGAGCTTATGTTCATCAAGAAGGTGCTTTTAACGTGGACTAAATTATATTTCAGTTGAATAGAGTAGTAGTAGCTGGTTATAAATTGGCGAAATGGATGTGTTTTTGTTATGAGATTGATCAGATCGATCTCCAATCGATACCGAGATCGCATGGGGGGCTGTTCACACAGACGACTTCTAAGTCTTCTAAGTAGGCAAGTAATGTCTGACTAAGGAGGATTAATCCTGAGGCTTCAGGTCTCCAAGGAAGTTGCTTAATTCTTTAAAAACATAAACTCATGCATTTTTTTTCTTGGGCAGGGGAGGGCAGTCCTGACTTTTTACAGGAATCATTGTAGTTTTGCAATTTGGCTTTTAGTTGTTTTGCCTTTGTCCAGCACTACTTCCGGTCCTGTCCAGGGAATACCTGTTTTGTTACAGCTTTAGCAAAGTCTACGTAAACGTCTGCGTTTCGCTGACTTATGTTAATGTTATCTTGAATCTGGTCACCCCAAGCAGCGATAAGAGCTCTTGTCTCAGACTCCGTACACAGTTCTCTTTTTTGAAGACATTGCAACTTGTAAAAACAAAAATCCTCTTGTGAGTTACAAGTTGCATGATATGCTTGGGTGACTCTCAATGAGGAGAGGCTACAGAGCTAGATCGCTTTCAGGAAAGTTCATGTTCTCACTTAGCATGGAACAAAATTTATAGATCATTCTTGGACTGATCTCAGACTACCATCTGAAGCGAGCCAGGTTTGATCAATCCCAGATGTAATCTCAGAAAAATTGCAAACATTCACATTCAGCATGTATAAAAGCCAGATCAATCTGAGATTGATCTAGTTGCTAAGCATGAACAGGGTCTAAGATTGATTGTTAATTAAAGCCATGCAGCATTAACAGCTGTGGAGGCTAATGGTTTTCAAAAACAGTTGTAACAACTCACAACACTGTCTCTTTCAAGCTCTAGCTTTAAGTACCTTTTCCTGCCTTGTACTTCATCCTGGAGAGTTTAGGATAATGTGGCTAGTGATTTAGTATCTTGGACATGCAGTTACTTTCTCATTGGGTGTTGGGGGTGCCATAATTTCTGGATTAAAAGTGATGGGGATGATGATGATGATGATGGGAAAATTCAATTTATATTGGAGTGTTTCGAGGGTGGTGAAACTTTGATGAAGAGTTTCATGGTAAAGTTAATGAACTAAATGACTTGTTTTCTTCAGGACTGGCTGTCACTAAGAGTGAGGGGATGGGGATTTCTCCCGGATACGACAAGTATGACCCCCAGCTATTGTCATGGGAAACAAAAGAAAAATCGAGCCAAATGAACATTTTTTCCTGTTCAATTCCCACCTGATTACTGCCTTTACCTGTCAACTTGAAATCTTAGCAACAGCCTTGTTCTTGGGTTTAAGCGTGGTTTAGGGAATTTTTTGAAATCATCCTCCTGATTTTGAATCTAGAGTCCTGTCCAAGGGATGATACACTAAAAACAGTGATTCATCACCCAAGATGTAATACATGATCAATGTTATGAGAGATGTAAGCAGTGACAGAACTTCTCATGGTGAGTTTCCATCATTTACAATCGGCGACAAAATTGGTGAGACATTGTCCTCAAATTGGGTAACTCTGAGAACAAAACAGTTCACACCCCTCTGCCCTCCCCTCCATTCAAAGTTGAGGTGTTTGCTGTTTTCTATAGGTATCTCAAACAGCAGCACAATATTGCATGGAGGGGGTAGGGAAGGGAAAGCTTTATTTTCCCTTTTTAAGTAAGCATACGTTTGGGAGGCCCTTTGGAGCAGAATTTCTCAACTAATTTTGTTGCCAATTGTAGTTTGTTTTTTTCAATGCTTTATTATTCTGTCTCTTGCTTTTGTTAGAGAAAATGGCCATCAGAGGGTTGGGATGATATCAGCATTGAACTGCTTTTGCAAGAACTCTCTGTTATGGACAGTAACAACTTTCCAGGTGTGGCATGAGTATGTCTTTAACCTGAATTTTGACTTCTAACATATACACGAAGAGCATTTTCTTTGGAATCAAAGTGGATCTTCAAAACAATAATCATAAAACTAGTTTGAATGAAATGAAAGAAATGTGGATGTTCTAGTTCAAGAAGAAATTGAGGTTTTAAAACAGTTTCTACTAATGTACCTCAGTTTCCTTTCTCTTGAAACCTTTATTATTAATTTTGAACTACAATACAGATTTACTTATAAAGGCAGACTTAATTGACTGTTTAATAGTTAACAATTATCAATTATTGTTGATTTCAGGTAATGTTGGTGCAGGAGAAAGAGAAGGAAGGGTTATTTCTTCACTGGTGTCAAGACGCCATTTTAGGTAATTTGCTACTAAGAAATTCTTTTTTCAAGATATTATTTTGTTACACAAAAAATGTATTTTTTTATAAATGGCATATAATAATGAAAGTACCTTTAAAAGGGCTTTTTTTGAATTATACTGAACCATGAAAATTATACCTTCAAGGTTAGTTTGAGACAGACTTCAAAAAATTCTCAGTGGAGAACTCTCGAAATCATATCCAAAGACATCCAAAATTCTTTCCAAAAACATTCCACAGATTTCCAAAAAGTCAAACAAAATTGTAGGTTTGGTAGAAAGTAAGATCATTCACATGGACTCTTCTCTCCTTTGGAGAGTCATGCCTGACCTGTGATCAAGTTGTTCTTTTTTCCTTTTTCTTTCTTTGCCTGACGTTTTGCACTTTGCTGACTTTTCACACTCCCCCCAGAAAGAAGGAAATTGCCTGATCACAGGTTACGTCATGCCAACATCATCCACAGACTTGCTGCCAAAGGTAACAGGATGCATATGTTTTCTATTCATAATGGGACAAATTGCAATTGCACAATGACGTCGTTTGACTACAACTACCAGTATCCTTCAGTTTGTTTTTTTCTTGTGTAAATAAGGGCTATTGTTTTTTAAACCTCAGTGGAAAGCAAAGACAAAATGAATTCTGGTAGTTGTAGTCAAATATTGTCATAATTTTTGAAAATGGCCTATTGAGTCTGGAAGTGATCAAAGGGTATCTGTATCTGGAGCGAGTCATAATTTTTTGCTTTCTCATGCTAGGCTAAGCCATGGTATTGGTAGATCTGGGGACATAGCAGCAGTGCAACCTAAAGCAGCTGGCTCATCTCTGTTGATGAAACTCACCAACTGTATGGCTTTAGATGCTATTAAAATGGCAGGTAAGTTCTGTTGTTATCTTAACATGGTGAAAGTTGGTACAGTGGAACCCCACTCTAAGGACACCTGCATAAGATGGACAAAGGACAAGCTGAAATTTTAATTTTTTCGAGCCCTGTAAACTAAAGGAACTAAAAATTACTTTTTTGCATAAGAAAACAATGCAATCCATTCTTTTCTAGGGGTAAAGTCAGCAAAAGCCTGTCTTGTTTTGCCAGTGGCAACAGGTATGAGTTTGGTAATGACACTGTTGACATTGAAACAGCAGAGGCTTGGTGCAAAGTATGTGATATGGCCCAGAATTGATCAGAAGTCTTGTTTTAAATGTATCCTTACTGCTGGTAAGTGATTATATTAGTTAGCCAGCAGTCTCTTCTTATCTTGTTGATATGTTACCCAGCCAATGTGCAAAACTCCAGGCTATAGCTTCAAAGTGAAAAAAAGGCTTTTTCAAATGAACCTTTTTTAGCAAGCTTGTTACACATGAATTCTTTTCAATCTCAGAATTAAATTTTTAGAATTTTTTTGTGATAATTTTGTAATTATTTTGTTTTTCTTCTGTTTGTGATCTTTTTATAAAGCACCATTGGGTTTTGGATTTTGGTGCCATACAATGGAAGCTCGCATGAGTGGACACCCTTGGGAATGAAAAAGGTGTCCATATAACTGGAGCTAGCGGCTTACGAGAATGGTTACGTTCTTGTATGTGGTCACTAGAGGTGTAAGGGTTAGATGGCTGCTTATGGGAGCTTGCCCAGCTACAAGTAAACATTGGAAATGCAAAAAACTGACAGTTTGTAGTGTTTGGCTACACTGTTGTTCTACCAGACAATGTTGTAATTTAGTCACAGGCCGGGCATAAAACTCAAGTGGTCTTTCAAAGTTTAACTAGGCGGATGTGTATTTTGAAAAAACCCGAACTGAAACCAATATAAATTCACTCTAAAGAACAGTGGTTTGAAGTTGATTTCTTGAAGTACAAGATTCATAGAGAAGACTGGGATTTCATTTCGGGAGGGAACTTACGGAAACTTATAAACAAAGCCAATATCTAACTTGTAAACCGTGAAAGTATCCATGGCGTCCGCTTACAGGAATTTTGTATTTTGTATGGGAGCTGAAACGGGGTTTTGTGAAGATGGCCAGAAGTAGAGCTGTCCACTTAGAAGAGTGTATGTTACGATAGCTTCAACTATATGAATACAGTTGAACTAGACTCCATTAAGGGGCCACCCTCAGGGTACCAGTAAGTGACTGCTTAATGGGGGTAGGCTGCCCAATAGAGGTTAGTCGGAAATCAGAATAATCTTTTGCAGAAACATCGCTTTATTTTGAAACAAACACATGATGGAATGTGGCATCACTAGTACACATCATCTTCCATCTCAAACTATATTTTCCTTCATCATAGAGGTGTCAGCTTAATTCACAATTGTGTTCTACAATTATTTCGGGACTTTGATTACTGGCCACTTAAAAGAGGGTGGCTGTTTAATGGTTTACTTATTATTATCACCGTGTTCTCTTACCAGGATTTGAACCGGTCATTATTGAAAATGTTTTGGAGGGTGATGAACTACGAACAGATCTTGCAGCTGTAGAGAAGAAGATCAAAGATTTGGGTTCTGAAAATATTGTCTGTATTATGACCACTACCAGCTGCTTTGCTCCAAGAACACCAGACAGGTGCTGAAAAAAAAGACATTTTTTAAAAGCATTCATTCTTTATTATGATATTGTTACTTTTTAAGTGTGTCATAAATGATTACCAGATTTTGCATTCAAGGTTGGAAGAAGTGGCCAAGCTTTGCAAAGAACAAGATGTACCACACATTGTGAACAATGCCTATGGGGTACAGTCGTCCAAGTGCATGCATCTGATTCAACAGGTACAGCCTGTGAGTTCACATTCTCTTGAGGCAGAGATGAACCTTAAAATATGGCAGAATTTATAACCAGCTGTTTGAGTGAAAATTAATTTTTGTTTTGTTAAGAGGTAGTGCATGGCTTTAATCCTCTTGTGCAAATTTCCCTTTTGCAGTTTTGATACTTTCAGTTGTATTTGCTAACAGTACACTATGTTCTTGTTGGTGTGTGTGACAACACTTCTGGCATAAAAATCAAACCTCTTTGACCGAACATTTGTATAATAAATTCAGACTTTGCTACCAAATAATTATTGGAGTTTTTTTGCGATTTTTTGGGTTGAACATTGTCCGCTATTACAATGCAGGAGTGAAGGGGTTAAAGTAATGTTGTCATTCTCTCTACCACAGGCAGCAAGGATAGGTCGTGTGGATGCATTTGTTCAAAGCACTGATAAAAACTTCATGGTTCCTGTTGGGGGAGCTATTGTGGCAGGATTTGATGAAAAATTTATCGATGCTGTCAGTAAAACATACCCCGGTGAGTAAGGTACAGTAAAGATTGTATTGCTTTTGGAGTGTCAGTTAAGATATTATGCTTGGAATATAATAAATTACAGCTTTAAATGGCTATTTCTCACACACCACTGATAGCCATGCCAAGCCGACTGCTGCAACAAAAGCAACTGCCCGCCTTTTGGTCACATAATCTATACCCAGGCTCCTAGCAGTGTGTAAGAAAAACATTTTTCACTTATTGTGTTACACTCAGCCACTGGAAAATTACCCATTTGCGAGTTTAATGACATCCAAAGCTAAAGTCTTTAAAAAGTACCCAAGCTTTGTTTGATGTGAAAATTTTACTTGAATAACAGGCCGAGCATCAGCCACTCCTTCAATTGATCTGTTTATCACTTTGCTGTCTCTTGGATCAGCTGGATATCAGCAGCTCTTGCAACAAAGAAAGGTAAGGCAACATGGCAAGGAGGCCAGAAAGATTGCATATAGTCAAACCCTGCATAACAGACACCCGGTCAATATGGACACCTCATTATTAAGGATAGTTTGCTTTGACCCTGGGGAAAGAAAGCCCTTACATTTTCTTTAAATTCAACCTGCTTAATACAGACACCTCATTGATATGGACACCTTCTATGGTCCCCTCAGTGTCCACATTAATAAGGTTTGACTCTACTGATATTTGTAGCTCTGTTGTGTTTCACATAATTTGATGCACTATCTGGCATCAGTCAGTGCTGAAGTTAGTTGGTCATCAGTGAGAAGTTAGATGAGGCTCAAATGTAATTCAGGTGAGGTTAAACACAAGACAAATATGCTTGCCAGCTGTCTCCATCACTAATCATGTATGGGGCTATCTTTGGTCATTTGCAAGGCTCTAGTAATTTCACAGCTCTTTTACTGAGGTAAATAATTTCGCTCATGTTGTCTTTGTGTGCAGCCTCTAAAGAGAAAGGTAACGCAACCATCTTTTAAGTGGATAACTCGTAACAGTAATGACTGATAAACTTGAAGTCATAGTGACAGTGCACTCATTTCACCCCCCTCTCTCCAGCACTCCTCCGTTTTAAGGGTATTTAAAGCTAGTCAAAGCTACATAGAAAGGAGAGAAGTCATGTATTTGTCAGTCAGTTAGTCAGTCAGTCAATTATCAGTGAGTCAGTAATCACCTTATCAAAATTGAGTTATTCATTTCTCTGGTCAGTTGTCAGTCATTCATCTGTCAGTAAGTCAATTCAGTTGTCACTGTTCATTTGCAGTCAGTCAGACAAACAGAGACAGGTTAATTAACCGTCATTCAGTCAGTGAGCAAATTGGTAGCCCGCGATTCTCCCCACCTCGTGACACCCACGGCTCAATGGAGACTGAGCTTAGGGTGCAATCAGCTGCAATAATAGGGACCTTACGCAACGTCGACACCAACGTCAACGAGAACGGCAAAAGATAAGCAAAACAACAACTTTACACATGCATCACGCTTTTTTGTTCATTTCTTTGCTGTCACTGCACGAAAGACCTAAAGATGCCTTATTTCACGTTTTGTGGAGGACGGGAATACAAGAAAACGACTTTCTTTTTCTTTTCCTGAACATCGATACAGTCTTATAGAATTCACATCCACAAAAAATTGCCAACAATTAAGCAACTGAAAAGTTCAAAGTTTGAAGCCGCACAATTTCACTTTTAAGTGACATTTTCCTAACCGTCTCTGTCATTGCAGTCTGCTACACAGCCGTTTTTAGTTTCGTCACGCAATGCTCCTCCCCACCAAGTGGGGAGGAGCGTTGTGTGACGACACTAAAAACGGCTGTGTGGCAGACTACTGTCATTTTGGCTTAAGTTGAAACAGCGAATTCCCTTTTTAAGTGATGTTTTTGTAGCCGTTGCCGTCGCCTTCGTTGTTGCTTAATATTATTTTACTACTCTTATCGTAAACTTTTCTTTCCATTTATTATCCTCTTCAGGAAGTATACAGTTACTTATCTGATGGCCTTTCCAGGGTAGCAACAACGCACGGAGAGCGGCTACTGAGTACTAAAGGCAATCCCATATCATTGGGTAACTAAAGCTAATGTCTTATGTTGTCCTTCTACGTCTTATCTCTTATTTTTCGGCACTGATCAGCCTAACTTGCTCCCTTGTTCATATTCCAGCGATTTCACTTGAGAAAGTCACAAAGGGCCTGGAATTGAACGCGGCCGGTGTTACTCAGCTTGGGTCCATGCTGTTTACGAGATGTGTTTCAGGAGCAAGGTAAGATCCGGGTCAGACGCCGTTCTTTACATTAACTGAATCGGTTTGTGCTGGATTAGCGTAGTGGTAACGCGGTTGACTTCGAAGCTAAAGAATGATCATGACTTGCCCGAGTCCCCAGTTATGAATTAAACGGATTGGAGAGAGAGAGAGACTAGGTGCAAAAGTTATTGAAAACTTCTCTCCACTCCTGCTCAATGAGAGATATGATTCTCATTATATCTATGCCTCCAAAGAGGATTCTTTATGTTGACTTATCTTATGAGCCCAAGTATACAGAATTTTTTTAATGGATTTTAGAAAATAGAACCTGTTTCAAATTTTAGTCCAAACAAGTTCTTCTTTATTGAGAGGGGCCCTAACTGGCGAATGTTAGCCTTACACGAGGTTTTTGAAAACCAGGCTCTTACTCGCGGGTTTTTACTGTACGTGTATCGAGAGGGAAAGTTGTTTGAACCAATTAAAAGCACTTAAGAAACACGTCATCAGTATAGAATTTCTGGGTTCGTCCCTCACACGTCGTTTCGCGCGGGAACCTAGAAGTGGCGCCGCGAAAGCCGCGAAATGTCCGCTATGTTCACACTAAAGTAAGGATTCAGGAACCTGATGACAGTAATAAGCAAAGTCTAAGGATGGGCGACAACTAGCCTGCGTAGCAAGCATTTCCGTGTGATTTCGGAGCAAAGAAAGACCGAGTAACGGACGACGAGGAACGGGATTTTCGGTTTTGTCCGCGCGAAAAGTGATGCGAGAACCCCATTTTTCGTGCGGTTTTTGACTCTCGTTCCTCGTTCTTTGCTCCGAAACCGCACGGAAACGCTTGCTACGCAGGGTTGGCGACAACTTATCAAAGGTTGAGTTGGCAAAGGTCGTTGAAAAGAGGCTTTTAACTCAGCTCCAAATTGAGCCGGCACGCTGTGAGCATAGCGAAAACAGCGCAAACTCATCCTTATCGATTTTACATTGCAGAGTAGTTTCCCCTGATAGCACAAAGGAGATCAACGGTTACGTCTTCACTGGCTGGGGTGCGCATGCTCAACACTACCGCTGTGCTTACCTTACTGCAGCCGCGGCGATAGGGATGACGAAAGCGGATGTGGACACGTTTCTGAAGCGACTCGACAAATGTTTGTCAAAATTCAGTGCTAAAGAAGTAACTGTTTCGGGGAGTATTGAAAGTGATGATCAGGACGAACAGGAGCTGAGGGACGGAAATGAAAATGGCTTACAAAAGATAGCGGGCAATGAAGCTACAGATAATTCAGCAGTGAACAGATAGTACTAAATATTGATTTTTGATTTTAATTTACAGTAAAATGGTTCGTGGCCATCCAACAGAATTGTTAATAGGATAGCCTTCCAACGAGTGTTCATTGCCTAGTTTCAAGTCGAGAGGGACTGAGTACGAGTCAGTTTATTATGGAATAAACAACGACACGAGACCCATATAGTCAGAAAGAGCACATTGACTGAATCAGCAAGATTGGTGTTTATCGGGATATACTGAACGAGATACAGCCATTCAAAACCCCCAAAATTTACTAAGAAATATATAGCTGTCCGGGCGATGTGTCCGGCAATCCATACATCTCTTATAAATTTTCATGTTTATTAATAGCTGTATCTTATTCAATATTGGCCTGATCGGCACCAAACTTCAGCGTGTTGTTTATTCCATAACAAGCCGACTCGTACCCAGCCCCTCTCGATTTGAAACTAGGCAATGTCATAACAATAGACCATTTACGAGTTGCCTCAAGCCTCTGCCCCAAAGAGATGCAAAGCACAAAACCATTGATGTGAATATGATTTTGTTATCACGTAAATAAAACTCATTTTTACAAGAAAGGTTTTGCACTTAGCCTCGTTTTTAAAGTGAGAGTTTTTGCAACTCGGAAATAGCCTATTCAACATACCGCAGGAAAAAAAATTATAAAGAATAATAAGTGACGCAAAGATAGGTTTCGGGTGTTGTGGATTCCTTGGGACTTCTTTTTCTTTTCCTCGTCGTATGGGCGGGAAAAAAGTGAGAGAAAAGTTGAAAAACCTTGTAATTGACGGATGGTTTTACGTCTAAGGTTTCTAGTTAGCCGGTTTGAGGAGAAAAACCAAGAAAACTGCATGCTTGAAGAAAATTGCTGTAATTTGTGATACAATTGTCATCTTAGCGTACCTTGTGCGTCTGTATAAAATCCAAGTTATGCCGTGAATTTATTTGTGAATTTGACAAAGAAAAGCTAGTTAGCAACTTATTCCTTGGTGCCATTTCGTTGTTTTATTTTGGGACTTGTATATCAAAATCCTGGAGTCTCTGTCCGGAAGAAATGATTGGTAGTCCCTTTCTGTTTTGGTCCAGATCATCCCCGTTCCAGGGCTCGAAAAAAAACTTGAATTCAAACTTGTCCTTTGGACAAGCAGCTCTCATATTTTCTTGCCCTGGACAACCTTTCGCTCGTCGTAGTTAATGATTTTGTTAGATGATGGGTTGCCTAGACCTTTATCCATTGGGCAAGTGAGCGTTAAAAGTTACTTGCCAGCAAGAAAATCCACTTGTTCGGGACTGCTGGACAGGACTTTTTTTCGAGCCATGCTGTTCAGTCATTCTTGTAAAGTTGTTCAAATTTACACTGTGCAGTGTTAAGAAAAATAGTCTAATAATTGGGAAGATCACGTTTTTGGTAATGTTTCCTCGCAACAAAAAGTAACTTTTGTGTCATCTGGCAATGAACTCCCCCTTGTACTTTCCGGATTAATTTTTCCTTTATTAATTAAAGTTCCTAAATGTGCTAATTATTTTACATGAAGACAAATCTCTCGGCCCTTTTGCTTTGAAACTGTCAAACCTGTTTATTATTTTCTGAAAATACTGCACTCTAGAGTAAAGTCTTATCGTGATTATTTTTTGACCGCAGATTTGACGGTAACCATTTGGGAATTAGATCGCTGTTTGCTTTTATTTCTTGCTCCGACTCCACAGTGAAGTACCTGTGAGATTTTACATCGAAAGGAAACATTGAGGTTGTTCTTTTTAGGCCGAGACGAGAACGGTTTCTTAAATCAAATGCGTTTTCTGTAGATCGACTAACTGGCCGACTTTGAATGTTTGGGAGTTTTCTATTCCTGCTTGGGTTTAGATGTAATTCAAAGCTTTCCTTTCCTGAATTTTGGTTTGATAAACAAGCGCTGTTAAACCGAAGTCTAGCCGGCTGAGAAGTTGACCTGTTGTTTCCAAAATGCCCTCTTCTCTCGAGGAAATCAAGCTTTTCAAAGCTCTCAACTCGATAACAGGCGCTCACAGTTTTAGCTCTTGGTCGCGGAGTTGTGCTATTTTTCACTTCATCAGTCAAAGCTTCGGAGTGAAAACAATGTTTTGCTTGCCTCTTTAGAGCATCCAACCTTTCCTGCATGGTTTCCTCTTCCTTGTTTTTCCCTGACAACCAAACCTGTCTTTGTTTTTCTATATGCTGAACTTGTTTTACGTAACTCTGTCCCAAGTTAAGATTCGCCGCGTACAAGTTTCCAATCGTCCAATTCGATCGCATTATAAAAGCCTCGTAGTGAGCATCAATGCAAGGAGAACGAAATTTCTTAAAGACGCTTTCAGTCCTCTTTTCGCTCGCTTTCCTCCCGTCGTTCTTGGCAGACATCTTCCCGCTTGTACTAACTTTCGCGCTTTGTCTGTTTTTTTGTCGATGTTAAGTTCGTTTTCCCAAGTTCGCTTTGTGATATTTTCAAGCCGTATTTGTTTTAAACAGATTTTCGGGGGAGACTAATTATACAGATGATTTAGTTGAGCTCGATATACACGGTGCAAAACCTGCCTTTCTGTTGCCGCCTACCAAAATGAAATCGTCGGTAGAAAACCTTTCTTGCAGATCCTAAACCAAATCCTAAACTTCGGTCAAAGCACTGTTTTATGATTTGGTAAGAACATTTGACCACTATTTTTTTTACCCCCGTTTTTTTTTTATGACACAGTGTACTTTTTGTTTGTTTTAAAATATAAATGTCGTTATGACCCTTATTGAAAATTGTTTCTAAGAGGCGAACTTATCGTATCCATTTATTAGCAGAAATCCTATTTGAGCGGTCTAGTCTTTTATCCGCGGCTTTTGGGAATATATACAATATGTTAAGTTTTCGTTCGCATGGCAACAAATTGACAGGATATATGAAACGTGAACGCCACTTACCTCATGCGAATTTTTAAATAAGAAACCTTTCTTTTCATGAACAAAACGTCGCTTGTTAGCTACGCAAGGGGTCTTTTTTCATACTGATGTTAATCTCGATCCGGAATTTCTCATTCCGGTGATAACGAATATCTGACATTTAGCGTGTTCTAAAATCTCGGCGACAAATTTTAGCTTAATTTGCTATATGCATTGTAAAGTAAAACCACTACTTTAAGTCAAAAAGAGCTTAAATATATTCGAAATTTTAGCTCCTTTCATTAGAAGCAAATTGAAAACTTTTAGGCCCTATTCACACGTACCGTCAGGAGCCGGTACCGTATATTTTTGAACACGGAGTTTTTTTCTCCGTTTCCCAAGAAATACGTGTTCACACTTAGCGTATATATTTGAAAAGTCTTTGCCAGACCACATGAAAACGCTCAAACGAGAGGGTCGTGAACGGGTAAAATGCGAACTGGGATTAGCCTCATTGTGGACTGGGAAAATGGGATTTACTCACTGGGACTGGGATTTAGCCACTGGGAATGGGATGAACAATTATAAAATGGGAATGGGATTTCTTTTCTTCAGTGGTCTTTGCTCCAATATTTTGAAATAGAAAAATAAAATTTCGTAGCAATAGACCTTGCACTCCTCAGTAGAGACCATGAAATCAGTATTTTTCGCCTTCCCGCCCGCGGTCTAGCTACCAGGCTTACACGGTTGCATAGTTACGTTCTGTCAGTTTTCCTGGTCAGCGGACAAGTTCTGCAAGTTTGCATACGAAGATATTGTGAAGGGAAGATAAAAATGGCTTCGGAAAAGGTTTCAAATGCAAATAACGCCGTTATACACACCGAAAACTCTAAACTTTTGTTGGATTTAAACTGTAAACTGGTAACTGGGATTTTGGCAAAAATTAGCCTGGGAACTGGGATTTGGGCCAAATTTAGGCTGGGAACTGGAATTTGGTACCCCCTTCACGACCCTCAAACGAGGTTGCTCAAACGATGGAAATAGCATCCCTTATGAAGCATGCGTAAAGCAAGTGGAAAATGATGTATGTCATCCAGGGCCCCCCCCCCCGCCAGATGTCATCATCGTACCGTCGAACCTCCTGTAAGCGACCACCAAAATGCAAAGACTGAGTGGTCTCTTACGGGGGGCGTCGTTTACAAGCGAACCGCAGGGGTCCAGGCACATCTACTTTATGGAAGATAATTTATTGCATGCAATGTCTAAGTTAGGATACGTGTAATTTCATGTTTTCACTAAAGTTCTTCTATATTCTAAGTAACATAGTGCAGACAGCGAAAACAGAGATCAAAGACTGAGTCGAGTGGTCGCTTACAAGAGGTTAAAAACAATGGAAAATCATTAATTGTCAGGCCCATAAAGTGGTCGCGGTCGCTTATAGCGCGCGTGCGTAGCAAGCGTTTCTGTGCGGTTTAGGCGAAAAGAACGAGGAATACCGGAAGTCCCCTTCCTCGGTATTTCTTTGCTCCGAAACCAAACGGAAACGCTTGCCACGCAGGCTAGGTCGCTTACAGGGGGTGGTCGTTTACTAGAGGTTCCAACTGTAAGGCTTTGACTGGGAAAACTTTGGTGTTTTGGATTGGTGGTCGTTTATGAGAGGTGGTCGCACATGGAGGTTCGACTGTATTCCACAACCTCCGTTTTCGTCCCGGTTCACTCGTAGACGAGAGGCCGACAAAGGTTGAGGCCGACGTTTTCAAAAATCTCCACTCTGGATGGCCTGCGGACACAGACGTATTTCCGCTCGTCGCTTCTCTTCAAGCGACGACCGGAAACACGTCTGTGTCCGCAGGCAACACTCTGGGGAGCGTTATTGAAAAGATGGGTTTTTGGTACCCAAAAACGCCCGAAGTCTAAAATGGAGAATAGAATCTCCGTTTTCAATACCCGGTTACGTGTGGACTTTCCCTTTGTATAATACGGCTACACTCCGTTTTTTGGCGGAGTGCGCTGATGATTGGTTGATGAAGAGCTTAACCACTTCCTCGAAACCGTACTCTGCACGGTAAAAACTAATCCTCACGGCACGAAGACTGGCATCTTGACTGAGAACAGTGAGACAGACGGTAAAAGCAAAGATTATGAGCCTGATATTTTGAGCGTTAAGAGGCTAGACCTTGTATTGTTTGTTTTGCCAACCAACTATAGGGTAGCCGGATTTATCAAAAGAGGATCAGAATGACCTCATTCTCTCTTGGATTTATATGTTCACCCTCTCGTGAGTGAAACGCACAGCATCCAACGCTCTACCGGTGGGGTACTCGAACAATCTTTCGGTATAGGTGAGCCGCTGAGGGTTTGAAACCCTGACCCTGTTTAGGACGAAAAAATCCTAAAGCCATATGGTACCCTGTCGTTTTTCGCATTTATTTTTACGGAAATGAGCCTTTTCAAGACCACGAATGATGCCCACAAGATCAGACCCGAGAGATTTCAGTCAGGGGCGTAACCAGCTTTTCGTGAGTTGTAGGCCTGGCTCATTGACCGTTCCTTTCCACATATATATATCCTGAAAATTGCAGGCATGGCTTGTACGCACTAACCTCACCAACGCTTTGAGCTCTTAAGCCTTTTAGCTCATATCACCCTAACAACGCATAATTTGTTACAAGCGGTAGAGTGATCAAACCAAAAATTTGTTGGCCCGGGCCTACAGGTTTATGGGCTGTTGGCTACTCCCCTGTCAGTCATTTAGCAAAAAAATTGTTCCTACTATTTTTCGAGTCGATCACTTAAATTATTAAGGCTCCTAGATTCTGCTCCAACATAGCCTGCGTAGCATGGCGGTTTTGGTTGAGCGCGCTAAGTAATAAAGGCGGGCGAGGGCAGAGAAACCGCGAGGAGATTGGGGCGGAAGCTCGTTCTCGCGCGCTTCGCGCGCGAATTTCGCTGCTACGCCGCTCCTGCGCCCAGCTCGACAAAACCGCCATGGTACGCAGGCTAGCTCCAACAGAGACCATTCGCCATTGCGCATTTCCCATAATACACCGTTGCTTATCAGCAATTGTGCTTACCCCCATCATTGACTTCAGTTTCTCTTGGGACAACTTCAACCCTGGAGGAATTTAAAAGAAGAGAATCAGTTTGGGAAGACATTTTAAAACAAAAATTTACGATTGAAAGTTTATGTCATTATTTTCAAGGCGCAAAAGGTAAGAAATTAACCAACCAGTGTGGACCTGGGCTCATCCCCGCAGTACGCCCTCACCCCCGCCCCGCCTCCGCCCATAATGACAACAGACACTTCATGTTTGTGTAAATGATATACCTATCGTTTTGTTCTGGGAATATGGCTGCGTTATGCAAGGTTTGTGCGAAATATTTTCTTCTGTTAGTTACGTATACTTTAGTTTCTTGACAGTTTGAGGCTTAGAATCACTTTCATATCAGGGGAGAATCTGAGGAAATTCTTTGGAGACTAAATAAGACGATAGAGAAAAACAGTAAGCTTAAATTTATTTGGCGGTCGATTTTTTGGTCTAACATCGTCATCATTCGTTGCATCATAATTTACGCAATACGTTTTACTGCCCCGTAGTTAAGATAATTTTTAACCATAGCCATAACACTGTTAATATAAACTTTATTACTCCAATCACAGTTTTTATAAAGGCTCTCTCGCCGCTTATCATAAAGTTGTAGGTAATCAGAGCAGAAAATCCAGTAGTAACACAGTGTGCGCTTTTCCTGCTTTTTTTTTTATTTTAATTTTTTTGTTGTCATTATAGACTTTCAATAATCGTTGCAGTACTTTCTGAGTGAAAGATTTTAAAAATATAAACGCTAGCAATGCTGGATATTTTAAACTCATAAATTGTGATTTGTTATTAAAAGGTAGTCTAAATTGGTCACTGTTAACATAGCCTTTTTAGTCTATTTGCATTAGTCAGTGGAAAGCCTCACATCCCCATACCCCAGAACAATATTCCCATCAGAAACAAGGCTTATGTTGTAGTTATTTTTTTGTTTCAGGTAATTTTTGTTTTTCTTTTGTTTTTGGGTATGATAATGTATGCTAATGAAGTTGAAACAAAAGAGAAACAAAAATTACTTGAGATAAAAAATTAACTACAACATTTATATGCTTCTGTTCTTGTACCTTGCCTATTCAAGATGGTAAAAAATGGTGAAAGGCTAATCTCTGTCTATCAAGCCCCGCCAGTGGTCCCCAGTCGCTGATACTTGCGGAAAAGTGGCTGTCTAAAACTGCTTAAATCTCCTGCTTATGCCATACATTCCCTTGGTATGGCATGGGGGGCTTTCCATTGACTAGTGCATTAGTCTCCTTTGTTTTTTTCTTTTGAGTTCATGCTGGAAAAAAATGATCACCTACAAGATAGTACATCCCACAGGGAAACTACATTATTATGAAATCTGAATGGTTACTTTAACAACATTCTTGCTTTTTTTGTGACCAGATATTGTCCTCAGTTGTGAGACCTGCACGACCAGTAGGAGGTGGTATCTTGCAACGCATTAATGGAGGATACAGGCCTTTTGGTTCTATCCGCCATTTAAGCCAGCAAGTAGTACAGCCAAAGGAAAGTGCAGCCATCAACATTGTCCCAGGACCACTTACAGCACTCTCTGAAGAAGAAGAAATGATGAAAGAAGCAGGTAGTGCAAAATATTATCACTAAGTATCAAGATAAACTTATCCTTTAATGTACCTTATCAAATATTATTACAATATAGTGTGCTGGGAATTCTAAACATATATATTTGTTGGATCTTGTTTACTGTGGGTAATGTCGACTGAGATATCGGTCGACATAGTGGTCGATATAGCGGTCGACAGTCGGTCGATATAGCGGTCGACAGTCGGTCGATAGTCGGTCGACAGTCGGTCGATAGTTGGTCGATAGTCGGTCGATAGTCGGTCGATAGTCGGTCGATAGTTGGGCGATAGTCGGTCGATAGTCGGTCGATAGTCGGTCGATGGTCGGTCGATAGTGGGTCGATAGTCGGTCGATAGTGAGATAGACTATCGGCCGAGTATCGGTCGATATTCCGTCGACGCACCTCGACTTACTATCGGTCATATGTCGGTGATATATCGGTCAACTGTCGGTGATATATCGGTCAACTGTCGGTGGTATATCAGTCAACTGTCGGTGGTATATCGGTGAACTGTCGGTGGTATATCGGTCAACTGTCGGTGGTATATCGTCAACTGTCGCTCGAATATTAGTCGTGGTGTTAATTTATCAGGTGAGTCCAATGGCTTTTTTTTTAAGCAAAGACGCTATTAATTACTGTTATCATGCGATGGGGAACATGTGGCAAAGCAAGGCGCGATTACGCTATGAAGAGAACCGAAGAGCACTGGGAACTAAGGACATGATAACCTTTTTTTTTTTCCAGTTTGTGTCATCACCGATCGTCTGAGTTTTAGCTGTTAAACAGAACCTGTCTCAGCCTAAGTTGAATCTGCTGCTCCTGTGGTCCCGCAAAAATGTAGGAAAATGTAGGAAATGCTACGTGTCGACCGACCATCGACCGAGTGTCGACCAATTACTGACCGACACATCGGTCAAGTATCGACCAACTATCGACCAAGTATCGGCAAAGTGTCGGCGAAATGTCGGGCGAAGTGTCGGTGAGCAAAAAGCTATATCGGCGAGACACATCTGGAGCGACTATCGGCGTGTCTCGACCGAGTGTCGACCCACTGTCGACCGACTATCGACCGACTATTGACCGCTATATCGACCGACTGTCGACCGAGTGTCGACCGACTATCGACCGAGTGTCGACCAAGTATCGACCGAGTGTCGACCGAGTGTCGACCGACTATCGACCGAGTGTCGACCGCTATATCGACCGCTATATCGACCGATATCTCTCGGTCGACATTACCCACAGTAAACAAGATCCTATTTGTTTAACCCATTGGCCTCTAGGAGTTTTGCTCAAAAAGTCTTTTGAAACTAGTGAAACTGTCTTCCTTTTACTGTCTGGCCCAGAATGCCTTTTATCGTTTGAGCACTTTGTAAATGTCTGTTCCAGATGCAAGATATAAATATTTTAGCTTCCAAATTGCAGGCACGTGCAGAAAACAAAATAACTGTTCTGGGTGTTTTGTAAAGAGGCAGGCTAATTGAGTGATTTTTTGGAAAGAAGGTATTAGGCTCTAAAGACCTCAGACAGTGTACTGCAGTGCAAACATTGAATTATTTCAAATAACTATGTATTCCTTGTCTCTACTTTTTTGCCGCTTAAGCTTTGTTGCTTTGGTGTGTGCACGATACTTGCATTCCTTTCACACTCCATTTCCTTATTTCCAGTTATTTGCTTCAAACTACTGATAACTCAAACTCCTGATAACTCAAACTTTTTTCTATTTCCTTGGAAGGTTCGAGTTATCGGGAGTTGACTGTAATATTTAATACGTTTGGCATAAATAGAATGTACCCTGGCTCCTATGTTGGTGTTTTAATTTATGATTTTGAAGCAAGCCAAAAGCATGTTTAGATATTAGGCTACATTTATGTGAAATGTTATGTCTCTCAGGCCACTTCTTGCGCTTTTTAGCTCAGTTCAGTAGGTATGGCAAACTGCTAAACTCCTTTACATTTGTCTAGGGCTGGCAGCAATATTATTCTAAAGATTAGTAAATACACTAAGCATTTTTTTATGATATTTTAGTTGCAAGGTTTGCCACTGAAAAAATTCAGCCCTTGGTATCAGAAATGGATCAAAGTTCAGAAATGGATGAGTCTATCATCAAGGGAATGTTTGACCAAGGAGTAAGTTTAATACTTGAAAGTTGTTATCTCTTGGCAAAGTGATGATAATAATAATAGTGTTAATAATAATAATAATTGATGAATCGAAGATAACCCTTCAATACCAAGTGCTGTTATCAATGGGGTCCTGCATGGAAATGTAGGTGTGAAGAAAGTAACTGAATAAAATGCAGGTGCCAGATTAAATCAGATTTCTTTCTTGGCCTCTTTATTTCTCAGTCATGATACTTTTAAAAATACTCAGTGTTGAGCCTAACAGCCCTGCAGCCAGCAAGAATAACTGGCTGCTTGGATCATTTGCTGCATCAGGTACTTCTTTGAAGAATTTTTTTAGATATTTATATGAAAGGGAATTGATGGTGGTGTTGATAATCTGGCTGCCACAGAGATAATACCACAGTACCGGTAGTACAATATTACTGACAATAAGACTAGTTAAGCTAGTGTTCTCATGATCATGTATTCATCATGAACAGTGAAAGCTCTTGTAAGCAGACACCGCCGGGACTCGAAAAAGGTGTCTGTTACTGGAGCTGGCCAGTGCATTTGCTGTTGGTCTTATGTTTTCAATGCGGTCAGTATAAAACACGGACTGCGGACTGCGGACTACGGACTGCGGACTGGGTATAAAATACGGACTAGGTATAAAACGCGGACTAGAAAATACGGAGTGGGTATAAAACACGGACAAGGTATAAAACGCGGACTGCGGACTGCGGACTGGGTATAAAATACGGACTACGGACTACTTTGGTAAAAACCGTGCAAATTGGTTCTAGGTAAGGAAAAATAAGATCAAAAGATCGCTAAATAGCAAGACACGTGAGTTAAAGTTGTAAATACTCTTATAGATTCTTGGTGGAGGTGTCCCGCCCGGTTCTCTGAATCATGAGCCGGATCAAAATGCTATTTCCTTCACCCATTTTTAGACCTCGTCTTGGTCTCTAACAATCATGAAAGGGGTCAGGATCAGGGGGTACTCCCTTATATAAGGGAAGGGTAGGAGTTTTGGGCCTTTTTGGTCTGAAAACACTTTGCCCATTTTGGTGTGGAATCGGGTATGGTTTTCGAGGGTACAACGGGAGCGTACATGAATGGACGTATTTATCGTTTCAATTCCAAATGAATAAGAACGAAATAGAAATGTGCGAATTCGAAATGCATTTGGAGAATTTTTTTTGTTTCCGCTCTAACTTGGTAATGATGACAAAATTTCTGCCTAATCATACCTAACCTGTTCAAGGTTCTAAGATAGTTGGGTCCGATGAATTGAGAAAGCGAAAACACGAAAATAAAAACTGGGGAGTCTCCCCAACTATCTGAGAACCTGGAACAGGCTAAATTAGGCCAGGTCCGAAAATGGGTATGGATTTTAGAGATCTAGTCTGAAAACGGGTGTGGAAAATGACAATTTTTGGTCTGCAATAAGGTCAGGATTCGGGGAACCGGGCACTACACCCCAACGAAGAATTCCCAGTAGTACCCCCTTCCGGGATCAGGAGCAGGGTGTAAATCATGTCATCATAATCATCACTTAGAATATAACGTTGAATGACGCATTTCGGTTATTATTCACGTATGTGAGTAATCCCTCGCACCTAAATACTGCTTTGTGCATCGCATTGACCTTCTCGTCTGAGTTCTTCATTCAGTCCTCATATTCCCAAGGCTTTATTTGAAACGGAATTGTGGCGTCCGATAAGAATTTTACTGATCTGACTAATACCAATACTATTTTTTTTTTTTTCGGTGCTTCTTATTGGTGTAAAACTGCAAATTGAAATCTCTTCAAACTCCTTCTTTTCATAAAATTCAGAGTTTAATTTCAGTTGCCTTGAGTACCGCATAACCTTCCTTCTCCATGGGAAGAATAGACTACGTGAACAGCGTTAAAGCTGGGACTACTGTTTTTGCTAGTCCGCTTTCTATTTCTCTCAGTTTTACCTTCTAAAGCTGTTTTTATATACATAGTCCGTAGTCCGCGTTTTATACCTAGTCCGTGTTTTATACTCAGTCCGGAGTCCGCGTTTTATACCTAGTCCGTATTTTATACCCAGTCCGCAGTCCGTGGTCCGCAGTCCGCAGTCCGTCTTTTATACTGACCGGTTTTCAATGTTTGCCCACACACTGGTGCTGATCTTTACACTGAAAAAAATAAAGTTGGCAGGTTGATGGTGCAAATTTGATTTTTGAATTTTCTTCTGTTTTCAGTTGATGGGAATTGAAATAGATGCTGATTATGGTGGTACAAACTCATCATTTTTTGTGGCATGTCTTGTTGTTGAAGAGCTTGCTAAAGTTGATCCATCTGTCAGTGTTATGTGTGATGTACAAAATACTTTAATTGTCACCTTGTTCAGAAAATATGGCACAACTGAACAGAAAGCAGAGTACTTGCCACGGCTAGCGAGGAATATGGTGAGTGATGATACCCTGTGTTTATAGTTATTTATTCAACTTAAGTTTTATCAATAAGGAATAAAATATGGTCAAACCCAGTCAAAACAGACACTGAAGAGGCCATAGAAAGTGTCCACATTAATTGGGTGTCCGTATTAAGTAGGTCATGTTATTTAAGAGTAAAAAATACTCCTGTTATTTGAACAAAATAGTCATTATTAAAGAGGACATAAGCATTGTCAAATTAAACACCTCTAATTTCCACGGAAACACCTAAAAATGCTCAAGACGTCTATTGTTTGATGCCACCATAGTCTAAATTGACAGTTACAAATCACCTACACTGGGTACCGTAGCACTGAGAACCACAACATGCTGTCAACCGAGGGTTTTCCAAAATGAAAGGTGTATTACGGCTCACAGTTGATAATGAATGCTCTGCATCAATGAGGTCCATTGTCTGCATTAACAGGTGTCTGTACTAATTGAGTTGAATTTAGAGAAATGTAAGGGCTTCCCCCATAGACAAAGAAAGCTGTCGTTGTTAACGAGGTATCTGTAAAGAGGGTGCCCATAAAGCAGGGTTCGACTGTACGGTCAAACTTTCTTGGGTGACCACCTCTCGCAAGCAACCACCTCCCATAAGACTAGTGACTACCTATCCAAAACGTCAAAATTTTCCCAGTCAAAACCCTAAAATTAGAACCTCTCATAAACAACCCTCTCTCGTAAGTAGGCACGGTGTGATCTCTTTGTTTGCAGTACAATGTATGTACTGCGCCAGTAAAGGTAAGTAAAGAACTTTCAGTGACAAAACAGAACTACACATATCTTATCGTAGAAATACATCCAATAAATTGTCTTTCAAAAAGTAGATGAGTCGGAACCTCTTATCGAAATAGACCACCTGTGGGTCAATTACTGCTGCAAGTGACCGCCTCCCATCAGCAACCACTAAATCTTTGCATTCTGGGTGGTCAGGAGGTTGAAATGTAGGTTCCAATACCCTGAGTGTTAGAGATTTTTCATGTGCAGTTTTTGGTTTCAGTTGAGTCTTTACAGTAACCCATGTTAGCATGTGTTGTTGGCCTCTAGTCAACTCAGATGCATCCCACCATGTGCAAGAAAATACCTCTTATAGTACCCTTGATAAGATCCCCAAGAAGAGATTCAAAAGCTGATATTTTGAGTACTGGTATTTCATCAGAGCAAAGGGATATGGCTTGAAATGTTAGGTTTGGAATTTTCTGGCCCATATCAAACTTATTTTACTTTTAAGTATCAACTGATAAATCTGAACTGTTATTTTTCTCTGTCCCACCAATGAGGACTTGATAATGATATGAGCATATTTTATCTTTAGGTTGGAAGTTTTTGCCTGTCAGAAGTAGGCTCAGGAAGTGATGCTTTTGCCTTGGAAACAAAAGCTGAAAAGAAGGGAGACTATTACATTCTCAATGGTTCCAAAATGTGGATTACAAATGCTGAACATGCTGCAGTTTACCTTGTTTTTGCTAATGTTGCACCAGAAAAGGTATATATAACTTATTGTTTCCACAACAGTGTGATAAATAATTACTATTGACCTGAAGATACATTGGAACTTATATGATATATGAAGAGAAAAAATGCATCAAAACCTACAATTGTAGGCATGATTTGTCAGTACTCCCTCAACCTATTAAAGGTTAGGGATAAGGGGGTGCTGCTGGAGGCCTAAAACCCTGACCCTTTTAATGACAACATTGTTCAGATTTAAGGTATAAGATAGTGTGGCTACATGTGGTAGTGTTCTCCCCCTTATGTGTCCAAAAGCTTCAATGTTTTACTTTACAATGTTTTTTAGACATACATGTATAAGGTTTTACTTTATGATATAACTTTTAACTGAATTATTTTGTTAGGGTTACAAAGGAATAACAACTTTTATTGTTCCAAGAGAAACTGAAGGACTTTCACTCGGCAAGAAAGAAGACAAGGTTTGCAGTTTTGATAATATAACATGTTCAAAAGAACTGTAAGCAATCGTTTATATACAGTATATGAATTGACCAACGGGTCTTGTTATGGCAACTCTTTAACTATCAATATATGAAAAACTGCAAGTGCCAGAAATAAAAATGAAACTCAGTTTGTCCAAAATCAATAGGCTGGCAACCTTAAAAGTTAGTGGAAAAGAATGTATTTCAAAGTTATTTGATGTTTTGCTAGTATGGAAGCCAATTGCCATTAAAAAAAAAGCATGCTAGCTTGTTTTTATTAAAATACAACATCAGACTTTTTGTGAACTTATATGAGTTACATGTCATTTGATGGATTTAATCACATTATCATAATGATAAGTAATGTAAAAACTTGACAGACATTATAGTCTTGATAGTTTTGTACTAAAAAGTTTGTTTTGTTTTAGCTTGGGATAAGAGCATCATCAACGTGTCCTGTCCACTTTGATAATGTGAAGGTGAGAGGCTTTTCTGCTTAAAATGCAAGACATGCATTCTCTGCTTAAATCTGCTTATCTTCTCTTCACCACCTGGGTTATCTCAAACACATTTTGGCTGTGAAGTCAGCCCTTTACGCCACTAGATTTAAATAAAATGGCTTGTTTTTTCGCCCGGCCATGAAAGCAAGCCATGGCGTGAGTATGACGTCACATTCCTCTTGTTCCAACTAGTGCCAGATCTTTTTGTGATTCTCGGCCAATTTTTACATCGAGTAATGACAGCAAAACAAACCTGAAGATTATGTTCAAAATAAATTGGTCTTCCCACTGGAATTTTGACTTGAAATTTGGTGAGGTAAGTATTTATTACTTCTACTTTCCACAGCTGAAAAGAAAAGGGAAACCAAATTTTGATCATTGTAGCTCTTTAACTGCCATGTACTTCTTGTATGTTTGTATGTTACCATAGTTACCAGAGAGCTGGGTTCTTGGTCAGGTTGGACATGGATACAAGTATGCTATTGAGTGCCTCAATGAAGGGCGCATTGGAATAGGAGCTCAGGTGAGTGATTGACAGCTGGAACAGTGCATTACTGGAATAAATAGTATTCTCGGTTTTCAGATGACATCACCAGAATTCAAACTAAGAAACTATTGATTCTTCTAGATTTCTACTTTCATGAGGTATTAGGGCACCTAAACACTCTTATTTAGACAAATTTTGGTTCAAAAGGTTCTTTTTTGTGTTGTATTAGAGGAGGCTTGAATTTCCAAGGTTTTGGGTGATGCTGCATTCAGCTGGCGGCAAGGAAAGCCCCTATGTGTGTAGATTTTGCTATCTGAACATTCCCTGCCTCAGAATAAATTTTACTTTACCCTTTATGAGTTCTTCAAGCAATAAATTCACGCATTTGTAGGAAGACTCCAAGACAGATGTTTCTGCTGGTTTCTGGCAGCCATATTAGTGCCCCTCAAAGGGACACCACCATGGCATCTCCATACAAAGCTTTATAAATTTGGGTAACACATTTTCCAGAATATCTCGCATACAAAATATCGCACAGACCTGATTCTTGGCAATGCTTTTTGTTTATATATATTCTTTCATTTTCCAGATTCTGGACTTTCTATATTGAATGGTTTGCATTTTTATTTTTGATGGCATGACAGTGAAAACAGAGAATAGTCTGTAATATTACACAATGAATGCTTAGTAACCTGGAAAAGTTCCAAACTGTTTCAACAGCATTTGACCAATATCAAAAATCAAAATAATGTCTTAAAAACGTTTTTTTCCTTTAAGGAAAGTTATTTGCGTTTCCAGCTTTGCGGGTTTTTTTTCATGTTTTGTCCTTAATAAAATAGTCTTAACTAATGACAAATGAGGTAAAAGTTGATTAGCATACAATGAAAATAAAAATTATTTCCAACATTTTTACTTTTGTGCTCTCAGATGCTCGGTCTTGCTCAAGGTTGTTTAAACAACACAGTGCCCTACACACATGAAAGAAAACAATTTGGACAGAAGATCTGGGATTTCCAGGTAAGAATTCTGGGATCATTATACTTTTCTTGGAAACTGCCCACCTACCCCTCCCCTAAGCCAATGTCAACACTTACTTCTCACTTAGGGCAAAACGTTGGCTTATAAAAGGAGGGGTAGGTGGGCATGCAGTTTCCCAGAAACGTATAACAGCAATGATTCATACAGACACACCCAAAAGGATACATCTCGAATATCTCCTGAATCTTAAGCTTCAAAGACAGCACAACGTCAACTTACTTATTCCGTAGTTAAAATGTCAAGAAGATTCGTCATTGGTGATTTCATCCAATATCCTCATGAAATCCCTGATCAATCAGACGTTGATATTACAGGGAGAACTTTGAAGAAGAACCAATGTGTATTCATGAGTGCAGTGAGGAACATTCCCTGCACTTGCTTTATTCATGTTTGTGTATTGTCTTGAAAAAGGTTAGGCTGCAAGTTATTACCGACACCCCCTTTTTTGTCAGATATGCTGGAGCGAGTAAAGGTCACAATTGCGTGGAACGTTGCTTCTTGCAAGAAGACACGACTTGCTTGGTGAAGAGATCTGTCTTGCGCGACTGCCTGTATTCTAGAGAATGGTGCTGACTGACTTTGGAGAATTGCAAGAAAAGTATCGGTGCGTGCAGGGAGGGGAGGGAGGGGTTAAACACGTGCTGTTAACAGACCAAGCCAAGTGTGACCTGAGAGATAGCAGGGTGGAGGGTTAGTGGTAAAACGTAACGGCTCCTCAGAAAGCGGATTTTTCTCAGTCGAAGTCGGTTAAATGATATTGACTTGTTTTGTTTTTTCTCTTTTTTGCCAGGCTGTAAATCACCAAATTGCTCATGTGTTCACGCAGATTGAAGCTGCTAAGTTGCTGGTGTATAATGCAGCGCGGAGAAAAGAAGCAGGTCTTTCATTCCTACGGGAAGCTGCCATGGCTAAATACTTTGCCGGAGAGGTAAACTACGAGCTTTTCGTTGCTTTGTTGTACACGACAAAAAAAAAATGTTAATTGAACAGAACTATGGTAAGGTGGAGAGAGAACTTATGCGTTACACTGCCCTATTTCGTGCCTGCGTTTGAAACTGATTTGGAGTTTTGTCGAATTACAAGGGGGCACTGTTTTGGGAGACGAATTTGATCAAGTTTCTTGGGGAACCTCGTTGTAGCCAAGGATGCAAGGGGAGCAAGGGTGGCTGGAGCAGTGGTGAGAGCACTTGCCTCCAACCAATGTGGCCCGGCTTCAAATCTGGGCGTCAACCCTAGGATTGAGTTTGTTCACCGTTGTCGTCCGTCCACAGGTAAACGATAAGCCGGCGTTTTCAAAAATCTTCACTCTGGAGACCGTTTTTGAAAATCTGGGTTTTTGGCGTGGGTTACGTATGAACGGAAGGCTAAAACGGAGGAAAAGATCTCCGCTTTCAAAAATATCCAGATACGTGTGGATGGGGCCTTAGGGTAACCGGTCATTTCGCCCCCAAGTCTTTTCGCCCCGGTTACTTCGCCCCCTATTTTCGAGTCAATTAGCAAGGTCAAAATGTAATATTCCTCGTTCCAGAATAGGGGGCTAAGCAACCGGGGCGAAATGACTTGGGGGCGAGATGACCGGTAACCGGCCTTAGTAGCACTTACATTCGAACCAACAGTGTTTTATACAAGCCAAGGAAAGGCTACATGATTGAAAAGCAATTACTGAAGTATTACAAAATGTCGTAAATAAACCGTGTCAAGGCGGGTACCGTGATAAAACATGCCCCTGGAGGTCACCGCGTGTAGTTTAAGTTTAAGTTTGTTTCGCCGTCTTTGATTACCTTAGAAAGGAGTTACTTAGATATTTCCTTTTTTTGGGGAGGGGGGGAGGGGGCGTTAATTTGCAATTTCTTAAATTGCAATTACCACTGCGACGATCATATGTTCCTTTAAAATTGTATTTCCGCAGCTCACATCATCTTCGTGTTAGATATTTCCATTAAGAATGAAGCTACTAGCTGATTGTGTATTTTGTTTTTGGCGAATACAAAGAGTGATAATAGAGTTCGTTTTTTCTTCTTTTCACTGGGCACTGAATAGGTGGCAGCCTTGACAACCTCCAAGTGCATCGAAATAATGGGCGGAGTTGGTTTCTCCAAACAATATCCAGTGGAGAAGTTTTACCGCGACTGCAAAATAGGTTAGTGCCGCCAAACGCGGGTCACTGCACTGCATGAGTTGTCAGGTATTTAAGGTACTTGACAAGTTCAGGTACTATTCAGTGGGGTGTGCAAGTGATTCTTAGTAGCTTCTGGAGAACAAGGGTGGCGTAGTGGTGAGAGCACTCGCCACCCACCAATGCAGCCCCGGTTCGAATTCTGGCGTGGACACCACATGTGGGTTGAATTTGTTGTTGGTTCTCTCCCTCTGCCCGAGAGATTTTTCTCCGGGTACTCCAGTTTTCCCCTGTCCTTAAAAATTCCAATTCTGTTGTAAACGAAGTAGGATTGGGCGATGACTCGAGAACACGTGATGTAAATAGGCGCTAATAGAGAAATCATACCTGGAAATCATGGAATAAAATCTGATCGTGCATTCATTCTCTAGTTCGGATCGGTTTTGTATCGTCTGCATATCTCAGAAAGGACCTTAAGGACCTCCCCCAATTTTTTTCTGCCCTTCGGGCCTCAGTTTGGTGTAAAAAATAAGCGGTGGTGGGGGGCTGGGCGGGGCGGGGCGGGGCAATCCCTCCCCTAGATCCGCCACTGCTAAGAACTCTTCGTGGGAGGCTTGAGTCTAGATGAATATCAGCATTATCGTCTTTGTATGAAGTTCCATTCCATGGGTTTTCAACTTTTGACTGCAATCAGTCAGCAAAAATCCGTCAACACGGCTTAAAAGAACGCCTTACAATCATTGAAGATGTCAAGTTTGAACGTGACTTGTTGACAACTTACGAAGAAATAGCTCCGCAAAGTCTCCGTATTTTACAAATGTTTGTTTGTTGAGGGGCTAGTTCAGGCCCCCACCATTGAACAATTACGACGTATAGATATTTCGAGCAACATAATTTTGCTGTCTGTCTCCTTTGAATTGTATCTGTTTCTCTCTCTTAGGAGCCATTTACGAAGGAACGTCCAATATTCAGCTATCGACAATTGCCAAAAACATGAAAGAGTTTGAACCTTGAAGGAAACTGTGTGGACAAAAAGACTGGAATGTGTTATTCCTAAATCTGCTTACTGAGGAAGAACAATATGGAATCTGCAACGTCGTCTAGAACTTGAAAGACTACTATTTCATCGTGCAAACTAACATAAGAACGGATGGCTTAGGTCTCTATGCCTTTCAACGGACAAAATAATTTGACACGTTATAAATGAAATTTTTATTTAACAAATGTAGGGACTGTGCTGGAAGATTCATACTTGCATTTTGCTTTAGCCTGAGACCAGACTTCTTGGCGGAAAAAAACAGGGAATTATGCCGTATCAAGCGCCAAAAATCGGCCAGGCCCTTCCCCTCTTTCTCCGCGCTTGCCCTGTTATTGGCCCTTCCTTTACTGCACTGAGTAGCCTGGTCCAAGGCTAATGCTGCTTCTGCTGCCACAAGCTTACAAGGTAGTAGTTCCCAATGCTCTCTTTCTGTCTGGAAACGAGAAGAAATGAAACTCTGGGAACGAAGGGAAAAGAACAGTTTCCTCGATTGAGTAGATCGAGGGTTTGTTTGCATGGAGACAATGAATGTAACTGCTTGGTATTGCTGTATTTTACGCACGAATGGAGTTGACCTCAAAATTGTAAATTTATTTATAGCGATTTCTATTGTTTCAAGGGTGTACAATTTATTAAGAGGAGGATTCAAAGCAAGGAGATGTTACACGGAAGGATTCGTAAGGACGATTATTGAAGGTTTAACGCAACACAGCGTTGTTAATATTTCTCAACATTTTCCCAACAATTGTTGGAAATCGTCTCGTGTAACATCACTTTCAAGATAACATCCTGTAAGTTCAATATCAACACTGAATGTATGGGAAAGTTTGTGTTTCTTGGTAACACTTGAATTTTATATACAACAGAACTAAATGTTTGTCCTGAGGAGCTAACAGAAGTGTACTGAAACAAAAAGGTCAAAAACGTGACTTTGTTCACGGTGGTAACATACATTATTGCATTGCTGCTGAAGGGCGAGGCTATGTTCATACACGGCCCGTAACTGAAACAAGTCTTTCACACCCATCGAACATGGTGCGGAGCGATTGGCCGAGCGGGTCTGGGTCTCTAAATCCCCAATCGTCACTCCTGAATATTTACTTCCGTCTCAGTATAGATTCCAATCCCCTTTTCTACCTATCCATTTCCCTTACGGTCCAGGTACCTTTTCGCGACACTCCAAAGTGTGGCACGGAACCTATCCGATATGTGACGCTCCACTTTTAAGAGATCGGCGCGGCGCTCTTGAATAAATCAAGGATGAAGTTTATTCACTGACACAGGCCACAGGCGGCTCGTTAAAAAAAAAAAAATTAGTTGAATGAAAAGCGCTAGTTCATTTCGTGAGGATTGAGAGTGTCGATTTCCTTTGGACCACTACCATAGAAATCTCGCGATATGGGGACGCGCTGAGTTGCAAAAAGGAAGCCCACCTGCTCCTTTCGAAAAAGCGCTGGAAATATGGCGAAAGAGGCGGAGTTGCTGTTTGCTATGCAGCTGGCGTGCAAGCAAAGAAAATACTTGACCAAAAAGCTTGACAGATGCTTTGTTAATGGAAGCCGTCCAACTGGGGAGATTTTGGTGTCCTGGTGCGCGAACACCAAAACAAACGAAGCTGTTCGCTCGCTATTTTGGCAATGAACAGCTAACAACGCTGTCTACTGCCAACAGAGCCTGCGAAGAGGGCCAATGTCTTTAGAAGATTTTCCAGACGTTGCCGAAAAACACAGAAATCGCCACGCATTCCACGCGTATTGGAAGGGGAATTTTAGCATTTTAATTTTTCGCTTTTGGGGCAACATTTAAGCACTTTTTTTTTACAATTTTCCTCATTTTTAATGCAATATTTTGTCTTCGAAACGTTTTCAGTAAGCTGGGTAATTCTGTTATCATGAATCTGAATAATTCCACCTTGTCGCCTGACTGAAGTCATGAAAATGCACAATTATCCTTTTAACCGTGGGAACAGTCGATTTTTAAAAAAAAAAACCGTTCGTGTTCGACTTCTAGTTTGGTCACCTATCAGAAAAAATCGCAAGTTAAAGCTTTGATAAAACTAAGAATATTTATCAACATCTGCTAGGAAATAATTAAAATTTCGAATTTTCAAGCACTTTTTAAAAATTCGATCACTATTTGAGCACTTTTTTGTTTGCCATGTTTTGAGCACTTTTTGGCGAATTTTCCAGCGCAAACATGCCTAGTGATAGCGACCATCTATCGCGGCAAAGGGCGGACGGTGGCTTTCCTTGAATTGTACCTTCACGGCTAAATATGAAGGCGTTTTGCCCAGAACACCCTAAGTGAGACCAAAATCCGAAATTTACAGCTTTACACCCTTAAGCGAGACGACGAGCATCCCCAACCCTTTCATATTCGGAGTGCCTCCCCCCCCGGGGGGTTCCACTGTATGAAAAAGGCTTTCCGGAATCGCGCTAGCCTCCCCGCAGACGTCCGTTGGGGTTCGTTTCGTTTGTTACGCATTCATTTCTCCCCCACGGACCGTGGGGGAGAAATGAATGCGTGACAAACGAACCCCAACGGACGTCTGCGGGGAGGCTAGAATCGCGCGCGCTTCCCAAGCACTCGGAGAGATCAAACATTTCCCATAGTTCTAAGTGGCATCGTTTATGACGTAGCCATTCAGGTGCGTGCGCACTCAGGCACAGGCTTCTCGTCAGTTTTCCTCCGTGGTATTCCATCTTTTGATAAAGTCAAGAATGGTAAGTGAAAAGAAAGTTAATCAAATTTTTAGCACATTCTTCTCGCTAATGAACCCTTTTTCTCTTTCAAGGACGAAATAAGTGACAGGAGAACCAGTCTGTAAGTGAAAAAAACTTCGAAGAAATTGGAGATCTTTAATGTTTGTTGTTCAGGAAGTTGCACGCTGTCGTTAACATTTTTCCGATTCTCCTTAACTTCAGCTACGTGGGGAACTTAGATCGCCGTTGTACCGAACAGTTTATCAAGGATGTTTTCTCCAAATGCGGAAAGGTTGTACGATGCAAGATTATTAACCCGGTAGGTAGTGCATTTCTTGTTTTTGTAGAGAGACAGTTGAATTGATCAGCCGGCCGGCATTTTCTCGACGCCACGGCAATCCTTGTAAGCTATCTTCTAAATAGATGTTTGTCATTTATTATTTTTTGTATGTAATGGTGCCCCATAATCATTTTAAATATGTTGGCTCCTTGCTAATCGTTGGCAGACGCTGATCTGTTAAAAAGTATGGTGTTAAACAAGTTCTTCCTTGGCCTCGCTTCCTTTGAAATAATTGTAAGCTTAAATTTTCTACTAAGAACTTCAATTCATCATGATATAAGCATGCGCGTACACATCAAGCTAGATACCAAATAAATTCGAGTTAAACTAGTTTTCTGTGCTTGTAACTGAATACGATAAGGAAGCCCAGAATGTTTGAAATACTGATTATTTTATGGAAGAGTAATAACTGTTTCTATTTGACAAGTTTTTTACCTGATAACTGTGTCGCCAAACTTCCGGTAGTGAAATTCTCTTTCAGCGAAAAAAAAAATGCCACATGAATATGCGGTCTAATTCTTTCAGTTCTAAAAAATGTAAATCTTGGAATCAAAATATTTCTTAATTTTAAAATTATATTTAATATTTATTGGGAAACTGAGAGGGGAAAAATCAGGCAAAAACAATAGCTTTCTCTCCCATCCTTCACGTTCCTTAATAATATTTTGCTTTCTGTATGAAACAACAACCAGTTTAACTGGTGGCTAATCTGTGTAAAATGAAACATACAAGATTGTTGGGAAAATTTTCTGATAAGGGATAATAGGAGGGAGGTGGGGGGGGGGAGGTATTATAGAGGTAACTGGTGTCCGGAAGAGGGATGTTTTAAAGGGACAGGTTCGCAGTTCAGCGCATGCTCATTTATCAAAATGCTGTGTTTCTGCCAGCACATGCTGTAGCTGCTATAACATCAATTTTTGAAAAGGTCAGCACACAGTACCACACTCAAACATGCAACCTTTAACTTTAACAATTGTGGATTAAATATTGAGTGCAAGTGCTGGCAAAACACTGCACAATAATAAACATTTTACAAAGAATTAAACCACCATGAAGTGCAGGATGCACTTGAGGACTCATTTGAAGGCCGTCCCACTCCTGATTAAAGTGAAGAAAAAAATCCTGGAGATATAATCTCCCCCCCAATTTTTTTTGCACTGTTTTCGACTGAAAAAATATCTGCCTTGTTGGTCTGTGAGGAAAAAAAACCTCTGAGAAGTCTTCCAGGCCCCACCTCAAAAGTCAAATGGTTTGCCCCTCAAATATTTGCAAATAGCTGTAAATTAATCAACCAAGGGATGAAACCTTCGGGTCAACAATAAATTCAACATTGATAGTGTTGGCATGATCTACTAGTTTTTTTTGAGATTGTAGTACTCCACCATCCTACTTCAGGTTACTCTGAAATACACTTTTACTTTGAAATACACTCTGAGATACATGTGAGGGGATTATTAACCGATAGAATTAATAATAAATTGGAAAAAAAAGTAATTTAATTAATGAGCATGTGCTTGATTGTGAACCTGTCCCTTTAATCCATGGATTAGCTCCTGCCGAAAATCTTTTCTTGAAGCTAGCCTAGCTGATTTCTGGTCACTGTCTTGCTAAAATGAGCCAAAACTGCCCAACATGCCATTTATAGTTTGAAAACTTTCCAGCCTTCTGTTCCAGATGCAAAATATCAGCTTCTGAAGTTTGGGCATATCCAGAAAGTACAATTTTTACTGATAGTTTTTGAGTTTTAAAGTGCTACAGCAGTCTTGAATTTTACTTTTTACTTTCTCTCTTCCCCTCTTATATCTATCGTTTTCCTTGCCTTGTTTGTTTTTCTTTTGCTGGGCATTATTTTACTAGGCTTCATTAAGGTGTAAAAGTGTTTGGGAAGGCATTAAGGATCTTAGGATTAGATGGAAGGATGGGTATATGGGTAGTGGAACAAGATCTTTATGGGAATTTTTGTCCTTCTTTCCTCAGAGCCACATGTGGTGAGCGAAAAAGTAAAACTATGCAAATTAAATTGAAAAAAGTAGGGGAGATTTGGGGAGGGAGAGGAAAAAGGATGACTGCAGAGGTGTTATTGTATTCTGACTGACCATTTCAGTGTAATGGAAATTCCTGATATGCTGCCTGCTTGTCAATCTTTCAGCAAAAAAATCTCAGTCTCAAAGATGTCCAATTTTTGCAGTGGCTGAGTCAAACTTTCGTAGCACCTGGTGAACAAAAACTGCACTCCAGTTTCCAAATGGAAGCCGAGGTCTTCCTGGGTTAACTAGTCATTGCCTTTGTGAAATCTGAAATATATTCTCATTCAAAATATATTCTTTATGTGGGCTTGAAAAATTTTGCGGTTGTTGCCGGTCAAACCTATTTTTGGTTGGATACAACCTGTTTTTGGTGGGATAGTAACTATTATGTTTTAGTGAAATCCAACTAGTCATCTTTTATCATTAGCTCGGGCAGGAGAACCCTTGTTGCATGTCTTTGGACCCCCTTCATTAGCTTAGAGATAGACCTCGGGCAAAATAACAACATTGAAATACTTTTGACCAGACATGGCATTGAGCGGCCATTATTTCAAGCCCTGTATTCGTCATCAAAGTTTTTCTATGTGACAGCCAGTGGTGAATGGCAAATTCTACAATATTGTGAGGCTTCTTTGCCTTTTTACTATTTTTTCCTTGCTTACTTTGAGGAACCCTCTTTGTTGGAGGCTCCATGGGATTCATTACGATACCATCTTTGCAATACCTCACAGATAACAGACACACTGTTTGTTTACAGGAAAAAGAAGGCAAAATGGTGTCAATAGGCCCTTTGCAGCTAGCCATTCATGTGGTACAAAACCGCCATGCTGGAGAGCAACAGTCGTACTGGAACATGATAAACAAAAGGCATACATAATTTTAAATGATAATTTCCTGTGTTTGTCTTGTCCCAGTGTGACTTTTGCTCTCCAGAATGGCGGTTTTGTACCACGGCTAGCTGCAAAAGGCCTATAGTCAAAAAGGAAGGAGCTGTCAATAGAGGAGGCGTGAAAAGCAGCAAATCACCAGATCAAAGATCCAATCGCAATTTCTTAGCGTTGCTTTGCTCAGGTTTCCACCCTCGTTCCCCGCAGCTTCACTGCCCACCCCTTGTGTATGCTCCTGATAAAAGGAAACTGCTTTATGGGCAGTTTTCGGCCAACATTACTTGGTTTTTTGCCTTTTTCTTGGGCCTTCTTGACTGAATTGCACTCATTCTGGTATGGATTGAAAGATCTTTTTCTCCTGCACAAGTTAGATGAAATGTTAAAACTGATAACGTCACAAGCAGTGGAAAGGATGTGGATCCGCACAGGTGGTTATGGGCAGTTCAGGGGCAAATGGGTTAAATTTATTGTTTTTGTGTTTAAATATATTTCTGATCAGTTTTGTTTCCATGTGTAGACTGGATCAACTGACCCATATTGCTTTGTGGAATTTGAAACCAGAGAATCAGCTGAACAGGCTCTATTTGCAATGAACAATCGAAATGTTTTCGACAAGGTGAGTAAAGGAATCGTAAAAGATTTGAATAATAAATGTGGACATGTCAGGGCAGAAAAAATGATATGAAATCCACTTGCCCAGTCAGCGGGCATGTAAATTTCAGTTTTCACTTGCCCCCACATAAATATTAAGTACTACGTCTTGTAAGAAACGGAAAGTCGCTTTTTGTAATTTTCAAACGCTTTAATCCTCGAAACCGGTACAAATCTTAATCATCACAATTTAACCCTTGAATTCTTGCTTACAATCAATCAAAACCTAACACGAAGACATGCCAAACAAGTATATTCTAAAACTAGTCGCATAATATATATTTATTTCACCATAAAAGGAATAACAAAATGTTCACGATCAAAATGTCGATCAAACGATTCCCACATTACTTGCCCGATGGAAAGGAACACAATGCCTTATCATCTTTATTTCTACATTACTGTCTATAATAACTTATAGATTAATAGAAAGTGTATAAGATTACTGGTACTGAAATGTTGTGCCAGATACAGAGTAACTAATGGTTGTGTCCAATATGGTAATCGCAAGAGTAACATGAGCAAGCAAATGCGCACTTGGATTTAACGTTGATTCGTGCCTTCAACTTATTTTGTCACTCATCTTGCAGTGTTCACAGGGCTGTCAACGCCCCCCATCATCAAATATTGAGAATTGATAGGGAAGGAATGATAGATGATGTCACATCACATGACAAATGACGTTATTTGTGCCAAAAATGCTCGTTGATTCTGATCGACGTATATAGCACATCAACAGTTCATATTTAGACGCATTATTGCTTAAATTACAGTAGCATGCCGTAATTTATGAGGAAATGTTCCATGTTAACAGTAGCTCAAACAATGAAAAATATTTCAAATTTTATGGTCGGAAAGTCGAGTCTACAAGAAATAGCACCTTTGGCGATTATCTGGGAGATATCAGATTCTAATCTGGAGACCAGGAGATACGGTCCAAACTCTGGAGTCTCCCACATTATCCGGGAGAGTTGACCGCACTGCCTTGTAATAGTTCCTCTCTTGAAATTATAATTTGTCAAGCTGACACTTTCAGACAGATTCACCGTAACACTGGGGCTAATTTTACTTGCCCACTGGACCACCAAACTTGTACTTTTACTTGCCCAAGATCAAAATTTACTTGCCCTTGGCAGTCACACCTGGGTTTTTTCCTGCCCTGACCATGTCCTGAAAGGTAGCTCAAACAATTTGGAAGATATACCTGGTAGCATCATATACCATTACAACCAGCAGAGGCCACACCTTTTCTCCAAAAATTTTGCTTAACATTGGGTGTGGAGCGAGGGGATAAGGAAATAGTTTTAGATGAGAGGACAACAGTATGTGTCTTTTATGTTATGTGTGAAGAATAATCTCGTCATCAGCATGCAAAGGCATCACTGGCTGCTGCTATCCTGGGAAGGGGGGGAGGGTTGTGGGTACTCAACAAGTTTTATATGGGGAGGCTGTGCCCCAAGGTAGTCTTCCGCATATACTGTAGGCCATTATAGAGAGTAACCCAGCCCCTGACAACAAACACAGAGGTAGACCACACAACCAGGGAAACTCCTCCTACTCTTTGTGAACAGTAGTGTGGGTCCTTCTACTGCTCCTCCAAGTTCATTCATGAAGGAAGGATGAAGAAGACAAAGATAAAATCTTAATGTCACCGCTCAAAGAAAATATCAAAATCAAAATATCAAATTCTCAAATTATTCTGGATTTGGTACACATCCTGAAAAATTCTTGTGCTTGCAGTCAGTTTAACTAAAATTCAATAACCAAATAGATTTTCCCTGATTATGTTTCACATGGGAATGTGATTTAAACAGACAGAGAGCAAATCTGTGAAAAATTGTACCCTGCAAAAATTGTTTTTGTGCCACCTGTTGATTGTGTCATTGAGTTAAGTTATAGTGGCCTTGACCTTCATTATTAAATTATGTCGTACATAGTACATTATTCACTTAACATCAAGATTTGTAGTCATAGCAAAGCTTATTCAAGCTGGAAAGGGAAATTGAAAGTAACTTTGGAAACCATAAGTGTTGACTACAAACGTGAGGAATTGCTGGATAGATGTGTTTAACTAGTAAAAGTGAGTTCCAAAATGAGTATTGTGACTTTCTGGAAGAGGGAAAGGCTTTCTCTTGCTGTATAGCGTTGTCTCAATTGACCACCCTCAGTCAGAGGTAGTGGGGTGTCAGACACGTAATAGTGTGGACAAACCCTTCATTGACCTGTTCTCTCCCAAGGGAAGCTAAAAGCATTACTCAAGAAAATTTCAAATTTAATTATTACAATGAAATACTCAACAAATTAATAGTACCTGATCAAAGTACTTCTGAAGAGGTTTCATTTGAATGGTCACTCTATACAGTTTCCTTCAGAGACTCAAAGTTATAACAACACCACAGTCATGTTTCCGATAACTACCCTAGGAATGAAAAGACTGGAAGCATTGCTGTATTGCTTACTGCTATGATAATTTTAATTCCTTGCCTAATTTCCTTTTTTGTCCAAGCTAAAAACCAGAAGCTCTGGCAACATTAGTTGTTTGTTCATCAAAATGTTCTTCCCTTTCTATTTTTCTTATTTTGAATGCCAAAAAGATTTCACTACACCTGCCTTGTAATTTCATTTACTCGCTGACTAAAGTCAACTTAAAACTAACTCACAACATATATTTTATCTGAAAGCAATGAATACATACACTGTAGAGCAGTATGCTTTTAACTGATACAATATTGTTTGAAACGCCAATATGATAATTTGAGAATAAAGAGACTAAGACTAGCAACTTTCTCGAACTTTTTCAGGAAATAACAAACTAAGATAGTGATGTCTACAGTCTTCCTATTTTTCAAAACTAATTTGGAAAATGACTGGCTCGTTTACTAGATTGTGTTCTAGATTTAGTGTTTCAAATTCAAATTTTATCTAGCTAAGAATAAAATGAGGTACGATTTTTCTTCTTTGATTTTTAAACTTTTCAAGGGCACATGTACATAACAATAAGCATTGAGAAACAGGTGACAGTTAAGCATTAGAGTAAATGTGAGTGTTTGCAGAAGACAGTTAAGGTAATGCAGAAACCCCAGGGATGCTATGCTTTTCAGACATGTTTACTCCTAGTGGTTTTAAGAGATTATTGTTCTGGAGTTCTGGAGAAAGTTGTTTACATTGTTGACCAATAGTCTCCCTCCAGATCAGTCATGTCTGGAGAACAGATCACAGAAGCCCTTTTCTTCTCCCCACAGTTGTCCATGTTCTTTGGCAGCATTGATTCTGTAGAGCTTGTAATTTTTTGTTTTGTGTGTGTGTGTGCAGGTTATCCTCTGCTGTGTTGTATTAATCACAAATTTTAACCAACTAAGTTCAACTTGTCAGTTTTGGTTATAAGGGTGTGTATTTTTGGTCAGGATTTCTTTAAGACTTCAATACTAATTTTCACAACAGGCCACCTGCATCGTGGAGTGAATACCTGCTTCAGGCAGCTTGCTATAATAAGGAGATCAATAATTAGTTATCAATAATGTATGATATTCATTGTTTCTCTTTTTTTCCTGTTCTACCCTGCAGCCTATCAAGGTGAACTGGGCTACCAACAACACTGGAGGGATGAGGAAAGATACGAGTAGTAAGTACAAAAAATTTCCTGTTTTATCTCTCTGCTTGCAGAATCATTCATGCAGATAATCAATAGACTTTCTGCAATTAGTATTCAACCTATCATGTCAGAAAACTAAGGACTAACTATCTCATGTTTGAGTTTTATTTCATTTAAAGTTATCAGTTGGGTTCATTTTGCATGTAGTCTGGTTATTTTCCCCTTACATTTACAAAGGAATTAGAAGACCCTTTAAAAATGAACTGGTTGTGCTTACTGTAATAGAAAGAAAGGCAAATTCATGGGTGAAGGATTGCTTGAGTCATTGGCTTGAACAAGTTTATTAGTGACCTCATAAATATTGATTGTGTTCACTCAAACCTTGGACAAGAAAATGTCTTTTTATTTCAATTTGCAGATTTATAGATCTTTATGAAATGGTCTTCTTTCCTCTAGTTTCTTGGATGGAAATCCTTTTTTGTTTAACTCTTTTATATTAACCTGCCTTTGCCCCTCCTGATTGATTCTAAATTTACCAGCAATTTGCATGTGGTGTTATCTCCAATCTATTTGACAGATCTGTGACTGGGGGTAATAATATTCTAATTCAGCCTTCACTTAATTCAGAACAGTTTTCTCCTTCAAAACCAGTCAAGATTGACAAGTGACATTGTTCAATAGTTCCAGGATGTTAAACCCTTTTACCCTAAATGGTGATCAAAGTAAAACTCCCAAAAAATTCCAAAATTTTTGGGAAAAATCTTTAAGAAATAATTAGTACTTTGCAAACATTCTGCCGAAGAGTTTTCAGTTCATTGGCACTGGATCAATTTTTAGAGTGAGAAGTAATCTTGCCATAGAATTTCCTAGTAATGAAAGGGTTAAACAATAATTTTATTGTCTCTTTAACACTTGAGATAAAAGCAGCAATTTTTAGAGTTTTCCCGCTTATGGTTATTTACTGCAGTTGCTTTATTTTCAACTTGTAAACTTGTGTGTAAACATTTTTGGCACAGTTATTGTCGACAGAAATGCTCCTGTGATGGCCATAAATTTAGTTAATCTTCTTTGATTTTTTCATCCGAAGTCTGTAGTTTTCTGTAATTAAGTATTTGGATCTACATGCCAAGCCCTTTCATTCCACATCTTGCGAAATGAATGTGGTTAAACTCATTGACACACCATTATTTCATAAACATGTAAGAAAATACTGTGATGACAATTTGCCTAACTTCCTCCAAGTTGTGTTCATTTTCTGTACTGTATAGTGCATGATGGCGTTACTAGTAATGGCAATAAAACATGCATGTGATGTCACTAATTTGGCCATCTAGGCGAACATGTTCAGCCAGTGCAACACTTCACTCTCTGCAATTAATATCACTCATCAGAAAGTGAAAATTTTGGGGTGATAAAAGTGGTGATTAGGCCAGACATTTCTTTTTAAATTTTGAGTTTATAACATTGCTTATTTCAAACAGAAATTTTCAGTTTTATAACCTGAGTTGACTTAGAAGTGTATGCTAATGAGTAAAGATTTTGTGTAAGAAATGATTTGGCCTTTGGGAAAGGGGGAATTAAACCAAAAACCATTGGTACAGTGGACTCAAAAGTTAGAATGTGTTATTTATTTCAGTCTTTGATCTGGAGGTCCACAGTAATACAGTGCAACCGGGAAAACCATAAACACTTGAAATATCTCAGGAATGTTATTGTCTTGCAAGAGAAAAGCCAATCTGGCATGAGAAAACTAAACCTCAAGCAACAATGTTGATTAGTTTGTGGTTTTGTGGCCAGTTTGTGTGTCCTAATCTAGAGCCTGTCCTGTGATTGCCCATAGCACAATAAACATTCTTGAGATATTTCAAGTGTTCACGGTTTTTTCCTGTTCGCACCCTAAATACATGAATATCAAAAGACTGAAGTGGTAAAAACTGTACTCTCTTCATTTCACTGCAGATCACTACCACGTGTTTGTGGGTGACCTTGATTCAGAGATTCATGATGAGTACCTTCATAAAGCTTTTGCTGCTTTTGGGACTGTAACGTAAGTATCAAAGTTTTGTATTGTTTGAAAACAAATTCAGTAGAGTTATATTATGTTGGGTAACATCAATAAAAACTTACAAAACATTCCTCAAACATCTGAACTTTCTGGTAATAGCCCTTATTTTGTACAAGAGAACTGTTTAATTTCTCTGACAAGAGTAGCAGTTTCTTCATAGTTGCCATTGGTGACTTTGTCTTCTTAAGTCTTCTCTTTGAAAGTTACAATTTTTTTTATTGATTATTGGCTCTGAATATTGTGCAACATCATATTTCATTTTTCGCGAAACGTTTTATGATATATTTGAAAGTGTTACTAATCTCCTTGTTTTGTCTCGGTGATTCTTATTAAAACATGAGGTTTTGAAAATGCTTTTGCATGACAAGGTACTGAAACACCACCCCTTTGCAACTAGTTTGCCAGTGAAACAAGTGCCCTCCAAAATTGGCCAAAAAAGCAATTCTTGTTATATTGCAAGTTGTAATGTACATTGCCTTGAAAGGCATGTTGTCCCACAAATCATCACTCGTGCTGCAAAAAGCATTTTCATGCCTCTTAAGTTTACTGCACTTGTCAATAATAGGCGAACTCAAAAGTCAAATAGTTAACCAACGGTTACAATTTTTGCTTCTGTCAATCATCATTGCAACCTATCACAACCTACAGACGAGTCTTTTTGAACCTACTAAAGGAAACCTATATTTCCTGAGGGTTCCTTCAGGGTGATTGACACAAGCCAAAAACATAAACGCTGGTTACATTTGTTTACTTCAAAGTTCACATGTCATTAAAAAGCCCAGTAATTTATCGCAAGATTAGGTTCAATTGTGTGTTTAATGTTATTGTTGGGTTCAGTGTTACTTTTGGCACCTAATGTTGAGTAATTTGCCTGGATAAGAAAATGTTTGCTTGCGTACTGCCCACGGTGACGTGATGCAAACCCCTTATTTTGCCTTAAATCTGGTCAAATGAAATTTAAAATAAAAATTTATCCATTGTTCTTGCTTGTAGCCCTTGATCTACAGCTGTATTAATCCTAACACTGAGCTCTTCGATAATATTATATCATATAGCAGCTCAGGAATGACAAAGTCTTTGGTTTGCAGTGATTACCAATGCAATGCCAACAAAGGGAATGCTTGCAGTTAGGTTCTTTTCTTGTCTTTTCCACTTTTTTATATTTTTACCATAAATTAATATCCAATTATCTGCTGATTTTGATTGTCCCAGAGTACATAACAAACACTGTGCTTCTCAATAACCTGCAAACTCTAATAATGTTTCTTGATGAATAAAAATGTTTTGTCTTTTTGTTTCCTCCATTTTGCTATCACTAGCAGAAATTTTGGCCTACCCACTGTAGCATTTATTTTTTGCTCATTTGAATTTTTCCTTTGTTTTTGGTTTTGGTAATGTTTGGGTCAAAAGAAAATAGAATTTTACCCAAGGATAAAATTGAACCACAAGTTAATATTATTCTCCTTTTTCTGGTATACTCACTTGAGTAGCTTTTGGCAGTGAAAAAATCAATACTTGTACTACTTAAGAGTTTGCTTGTTTCTGAGAGGCACAGTCCAAAATAGTTTTGAGTGATATAAATTATATATTGATGTTGATTGAACAAAGTTCAGAATGGTAAGTCAAGCTTTTTTTATCTCAGCTTTCTTTTGTTGACCCAGGAAAACACATACAATTGTATATGTTTTTAACCTTGGAGTGCTCAAATGAAACACAACCTGCCACCCTTTAGTTGTTAAAATGAGATTGTCGCCAGTTTTTTTTTTTGCTCTTATTGGATATTCACTAAGGTGTAGACATCACTTGAAGAATTAGCGTTTGGTGTCCTCTTAATTTTCAATTTGGTTTTATGGTTATTGTTATCTCTTTAGAAGAAAACTGTGCCCTAAATTTTTCAAAAAAGACCACACAATTTAATTTAGTATTCACTCTTTTAAAGTTGTTTTTATCATGATTTGGCACCTCACCTTTAAATCACTGTCTTTTCAAGGCAGATTCAACGTAAGCTCTGTTACTGTATTATCATGCCTTCAACATTCCTTAGATGTGTTTGATGCTTTAAAGATGTTTGAAGGATTAATTTGAGTTGATGTTTTTATATTTTTATCCATGCTTGCTCTATCATGTGTAATAACACTTACTTATTTGCTTGAATACAGATGAATGTGCACTAATTGCCTCCCGCTCAAGGCGATGTATGCCATTTTCCTTGCTTGTTTTTCTTTTTTATCTTCTAAATTAATTGAGGTTTAAGATTAGTGAAGTATACATGTACACAGAAATTTACCACTCATAAAGAAACTTTTTCTGTAGTTTTCAAAAGGATTACTTCACTCTTTGATGTGTATTGAAAGTTAGGGTGTGTTATAGTAAATCTGAAAATGATGACGTTATTTCTGATGATACTACTAAGAACCTATGAGCTTGTAGTGTTTAAAGTAAGACTACTGGGTTAGAGGAATTATTTAACCTTTTGCTAATTTGATTTAGGAGCTTTATCATTTTGTTTCTTTTCTTTTTCCAGTATTGTTAAATTGTACCATTGATAGTGTTCACTCTACTCTTGTTCTTTGAATGTTCTTAATTAGGGATTGCCGTGTTGTGAAAGATACTGCTTCTGGGAAATCTAAAGGATATGGCTTTGTGGCTTTCCTCAAAAAGGAGGTATGTCCATTACCCTTGCTAGGATCAAACAAACACCTTATGCAGTTGATAATATCATGAGAGATTTTGTTCATCATGGTTTGTTTATGACAGACTTTATCATTTTATCCTACGTCTCACCATTGTCAAACAATAAACAAACCCTGTTAACCGTTATGTTACTAGACAATGACCTCTGCTACTTTAGCTCACAATTCATCTGTTTTTTGCAAAGCAGTGAAGCCAATGTAAGTGCCTAAACAATACATTGTATAGCAAGATGTAGATGTTTTTTAAAGAACAATGACAAAAGATGTTTCAGATACTTCATTATCCATTGTTAGTTCAGGGTGTTTACTTATCTGAAACACTGACATTTTCTTCCAATCTCAAATGGTATGTTGTTATTTTTAAATGCCTAATTTCATTTCTACTGCCAGTATTAAAGGTTTGCAAGGAATTTTCACAAGCAAGAGTTGCAGATCATATTAAAGAAATAATGAACTATTTTCTTTTATTTACAGGATGCTGAAAGAGCTATGAGAGAGATGAAAGGTAATTTATAAAAATGATATGATTAAAGAAATTTTGTTATATTTAAGGTTATTAGTTAAATAAACAGTATTGTTAGTATAACAGGCTTGATGGGTGCCTTTGTACTTCATACACCTGAGATACCTTACCTTACTAACAACCCTCCACGTTAAAGTCTTTGCTTGGTCACCATTTGGCAACCAACTCTTTTGGTTTAGGGAGATTTTTTTACAAATCAAGTCACCAGTTCCAAAATTTTCGGCCCCATGGTGACCAAAATGGTTGCAACTTGGAGGGTTACTTACCTTGCCCCTTTGCACTCCATTATGCTATCGTGGAAAGTGTGTCTGGTTTCAGTAATGATGTTTTTTTCTACGAAGGTGGGACATTAACCTATCACCCAACCCCCAAACTGGAGGGCCATGTGATGCAACAGGTCTCGCCTTTTTACCCAAAACTTGCCCAGCATGGTTGAACCCAACAGGAACCAAAGTCCCAACTGGTAGAGCTTCCACGATCATCAAGGCACACAAACCTCCCCATCATGTTAAGCTGCAACACTCATTCTTAGGGAGGTCCCCTTGAGTTACAGGGGCCGATGTTTTTAGAGTAATGCCATCTTACTATAATCTAGGTGCTCAGCTAAAGGGAAGATCCATTCGTACGAACTGGGCAGCTCGGAAGGCAACTCCTCAAAGTAAGTATTTACACTTTTATAGAAGGTGCACACCAATTATAAAGATTTTCACCTGGAATTTTCCAACTTATCTCAAGTTTCCTTCAGCAGGAATGAAAAGTGTCAAGCGTTTATTTTGCCACATAACCTATTTTCACTTGACAAAATATTATCACAGATTACTGTGAGGTCATACCATCTGCCCCTGACTTAAAGCAGCTGTATCACGGCTGTCTGGTTAATTTTGTTAATTTATTGCAAATCAATTACACCTCCTTGCGCTCTATGAAACTTAATATCACATCTGCTTCTTCTTCTCCAACGAATATACCTCCCAGGCTTTATATCAAACATCACAAACGACAAAAATGCTTTTTGAAAAACTGTTAAGCTAGCAAGTTTTCAGAAACCAACAATCAATTTTAATCGTCTTCAAGTTTGTCCTTCCATGCATACTTTTGTATTTCTTGTGTTATTAATACCTCTTTGTAATGTTTTGAGTGATTATTTTTAAGTTTCACTCAATTTTGAGGCAGTTCTTAGTGTAAGAATTTTGATAAAATTCATGACACAGCTTCTTTCAGTGCAATTCTATTTTGTTGCGGTATATACCATAAATCCTCCATTGAGCCCCCCCGGGAGGCTTATTTATTTCAAACACATTTAGGGGGGGAGACTTGATAGAGACAGGGGGGTTAATTTTGCAAAATGATGGTATCTGTTCTCCACCAAGAACTGTAATATACAAAGTGGAAAAGCTTAAATACAAGAAGTTGCTGATCATGCAGCCGAGGGTCAAAAACAGATCCAAACTTCCAGTTGGTGAATAAACCATCCCAGATCAGTCAACAGGAAGTTTTACGGTCGTAATCGATTAATACAGTCCATCATTTATTAGTGAAGAATAACAAGGGGGCAAGTAGCGGGGCTTAAAAGAGATGGGGGGGGGGGGCTTATTAACTTTCTTCTCCTGAAAAAAGGGAAGTCTTATTAGAGAGGGGTGCTTCATAGAGGAATTACGGAATATCTTTTTTCTTTATTCATTTTTTGTTATTTGTTTTTCTTTGAAAACAGCAAGAGTTCAGTCAAAGGAGGAAATTGCAAGACAAGCGTCACCATATAATTCAACTGTGTATGTTGGGAACCTTCCGCCGTACTGCACAGGTAATATTTAAATTAGCGCATTACCTTTGATTTGGTTTAAGTATTCTGCCATCTTGGTTCTAACCCTTTAAGCCCTAAACATGAGCATCATCTACTTTTTCCGACCAACAGAGATGTTAAGCATCACGTTTATGTCAAACAGCAAATGCCAATTTGTACCACGTGACCAGGTTTCCTCTTTTCTTGTCGTTTACTGTTCATTATTTCTATGCCTAAATTAGTAGTTTCACACACTTTTGTCCACAAGAAATATTTTGAGCTGTTGTTATAAGCTGATTTTCTATTTTGTGAAATAATTTTCAGTTGCTTAGCCACTTTCCATCACTTGTAGACACTAGAGTGTATAAGATTAAAATGTCTCTGAATGGCCTACTTTGTGAGCTTCATGTAAACTAAAAACAGTTGAACTTTCCTTTTCATGGACACCTTTCTATCGCAGACAGTTCTTTTTGGTACCTGAGAGGCCAAACTTCCTGCTTTCTCTTTCTTTATAGTACAGGCGCCTTTGTAATACAAACACCTGGCTTTTGCCCTTTGGTATCTTTGTAATGCAGGTTTGACAGCATTCAAGTCTTGCCTCCAATCTTTATTCAAAAAATTGTGTTCACCAAGCTCGCACATGAGTGAAGTCATGTCTTGTATAGTCCACCCCCCCCCCCCCTTAACCTCAAGTCAAGGAGGCTTCTTTTCAAATGTACTGATTATGACCATTTAGCAATATCCGTGGTCTTTTGTATTCCCTCTGTCTGTGCTTCCCTTCCCCTTGAGAGGCTGAAGGGACTATACCCAGATAGATAGATAGTTTATTTGAAATAAATACGTGGGCAGCCAGAGGCTGAATTGCATATTTACAATTAAAACCAAGCTAAAAATATAATAATTTACAATACATCAGTATTAAAAATATTACAAATTCATGCATATAATATATAAAAGCATTCAAACCGAATCATTTAGTTGTACTTTAGGCACGATGACAAAATAAAAGTGTTCTTAAAACGGTCCGTCTTCCACTTTGGAAGTGCAAAGTGTCGGTGATTTCTTAGTAAATATGGAGTTTTATTGGCTTCAGGAACATGTACAGTTATTTCATGGGAAGACCTTCAACAAAACTGTACAAGTTGTGAAAATAACCCTACCGTTAGTAGATGACTAGCAAACTCTCTTTGGTTTAGAGAGCGTGCTTGCATGATACTCTTGGAGTGTACGATGGATTGAACAAAATTATTTATATGATGGTGAAAAATTTTCTCCCTTCCTTTTTATGCAAACCTTTGAAAAATAGATTTGTCATTGCATTAAATAGTGGACACAAGTTTTGTAGTTTGCTTTATTGTGTTCTCTGGACTCCAAAACTCTAACCTTTTATGCTGTTAATTTTTCTTTGCCAGATGATACACTTCGGCAGAATTTTTCACCGTTTGGACAGATTTATGATGTAAAATTATTTCCGGAGAAGTGTTATGGATTTATCAAGTAAGTTTAAAGTTGCTAGTGGAGGTCAGTTTATTTTGTGTCATGTTCCTTCATAAAACTGATATTGAACAGAAAATGATGTTTGGTCAGATAAGAACAGGGTTCGCACAATCTTGACTTTAGGGGGAGTCCTTGAAAAGTCCTTGAATTCCATTTTCTCTTGAAAAGTCCTTACATTTCTGTACAAGTCCTGCAAACTTCCTTCAACTTTGAACGTAGTAGCCTGAAAAGTGTTTTTTTACTGCTTTTTGGTCGTCCTTCTTCCAAATTTTATTCTTAGCTGTAACTCTTATCAAATATTTTTCAGGTTTTATACACATGATCAAGCTTTAGAAGCGATTTACCAAGCACAGAAAATGGTACTAGGAGATAATTTACTGAAAGTAAGTACAGGGAGTGGTAGCCTGAGTATCAGGCCTTCCTAAGGGGCTAGGGGAGAGGAGGTTTTAGATGGGGGAGGGGGGAGGGAGAGAAAAGGGAGTGGCAAACTGCTGACAGGCCTAACCACTTGGTACATATTATGTAACGTTAGAAACAAGTTATCTAGACTTTTTTCAGCTTCACTGAAATTCCTGTCCAACTTTTCAAAGGAGTATTAGGAAAAATTCAGGTTTAGTTACAGCTCATCTACCCTGTTCACAGGTAACCCAGGAGTAGAGCTATATCAGCCCTGAAAAACGTGACCCTGTTTAGGAGCTATTCAGAAGAATAAAGGATTGAATAGGCTTTCTCATGTCTTAAATTCATCTGAGCACTGGATAAAGTGTTTTGCAATATCTCTAGATTCACCACGTTGACTGTGTTTCAATAGCATGCCTTCTCAGTCCTGCATGTGGGATTGATATTTTAGAAAGTGATAGTAGCAATATTTGCTCTCTCATTTAAGATATACCCCTGCGAGGTTAACTTGGTTGGTAGGGAAGAGACAGTCCGGCAGAATTCACAGTTGCCATAGTCAGTAAGCAAGCAAGCTCTCCATTTTGGGCAGTCGCGAGAAGTCACGCGAGAGCAGCTCGCGAAAGGTGACGCGAGTGCATGCGCGTTCTCTCGCGGGCTTGCTTCGCTCGATTTAAATGGAGAGCTTGCCAGCAGGCTAGGTCTCCACAGGGTTTCGTAAGAAAACAGGAAAAAATTCTGTAGAAGATCAATATTTATTCTTCAAATTTCCTTAAGAAAAAAGTTTGGGAAATTGTTTTTTGTTTCTAATGATTGGCAACCTCACGGCTCTTTCATTTAATCACATCATTGGTACTGTCTATATTAGGCTCCAAATTTTTGTGGAGCTGAATTTTACAAGACTGTATCTAAGTTCAGGAAAGGAAAAAGGAAGTCGTTGTATTGTATTCACGTCCTCCACAAAACGTAAAATTAGGCACTTTTACCTCGTAGTCGGGCAGTGACGGCAAAGAAACGTTGAAAGTTTGCGAGTGCACGTGCAGAGTTGTTGTTTTCTCGATCTAAAGCTATTGGGCCGGTTATTTAAACGGAGTTTAACCAGTGTTTGACAAACCGCGTTCTAAGTCATTTTCAGTTTCCCCAACGCTTTTTTCTAAGCACCATTCGTCGTGAACAGTTTCATTAAAGCATATAGTGTAGACTAGAAAAGGATTTATCTTCTCAAATTGACCCACTAAAGAAGAGATCTGCAGGTCCAAAGATTTCTTAAACCGCGGTCTAAGTTAGACCTCGTTTAAATAACCTGCCCATTGCGGTTTTGACGTTCTCGTTGCCGTCGGCGTCCTCTTGGCTTGAGCTCAAGAAGAAAACGAAATTTTAAAATGTAACCTATATTTTCACAGTGTTCCTGGGGAAAGGAAAATGCAGAAATGTCCAATACTCAGTCGGTGCAGCAGCAATGGCAACAGGTATTCTTATAACCTTACTGTTTAACTTTAATTCCCTCCTGAACCTAAAATTTGCCCTTTGTAAATGTGTGACTGTTTTCGGCAAAAAGCGCTCACCAGTTGTCTTAACCCCACAGTCCCACATTCATTGGAAGACTTTGTTACTAGTTCTTGCTTAGTGAGTACGTTGACTCATAACCTTAAGCTGCATTCTACCTTATTTTTCTTACCACGCTTCTTCTTTTTTTATTTTACCAGTACTATCAACAGTATTACCAACAGTTCTATAGCCAGCCGGGCATGGCACAGCAAGCCCAGGCTCAGCAGGGCTATATTCAGTACCCTTCACAGCCAGCTCAGTATGTTTACTATCCACAGCAGCCTTACGGGTTAGTATACACCTGACAGCCAGACCGCAGCCTGTTCCAGGCTCCGAGATAGTGGTGAAAAGTCGTTCAGTAAAAAGAAATGCGAAAAACGCGCGGGCCCCCTTTCCCAAGTCGCGCGCGTCTTATTTTCGCTTTGCTCGTTTTAATACGTCCGCACTATACAATCTGAGAGCCTGGCACAGGCTAGCCAGACCGGGGTGGCCCTTTTAATATTCAAAAGGAACATTCTGTCAGCAGCAGGCCTTACGCAATTGTTAGTAACGGGTCAACTTTCGGTAAACATGAAAGCAATTCTTTTTCATTAAATTACTTTAGTATGAACCGAATGAGCATATAGAAATTAGGTAACCTGTAAATTTTTAGCCGTACATCTCAAAGGTAGCGATTTGGTGGTGCTTTTCTTAAAAATTTTTTCGCGCCTTTGTGGCAACCGATTCGCACTCATCTTCCCGCGCTATTGTTAGCCTTAGGTCCAAGGAGTGATAAGCTTGTTATTGGAAACATATTTGTTCAGAACTAGAAGATTTTCAAAAACGGTTCCCTGTTTCTCCTAAAATGTTAATTTGTGACAGAAAGATGATTTTTTATTTATTTATTTTTGAATTTATTATTTTGCTTCTCTGTTGACAGAAACCAGCAAATGCAAGTTGTTCAAGCAACAATGCAAGGTTACCCCGGTGAGATATTGTCATTTCTGGAAAGATGAGCGCTTGAAAATGATGTCTGCCACTTTTGTCACATTTAGCAAAGAAACAAGCACCCCATTTTCCGACCATTTTTTATAGTATCAAACTTTTGACAATCAAGTTGAGAACAAGTGATCGCCTCAATGGTAAAAAAAAAACAACGGGTGGTGTTTTGGTTTTGTACAGACATGTTATTGCCAATCTTGTTAAAGTATTAAGTTTAAATTTCGTGTAAACTACGCTCCAATTATTAAGGTTAACTCTGATGTACAAAACTTTAGCAAACAGTAAATGACATTTTTGATCCACCGCTGCAGGGCTCAAAATAATTTTCGGACGGTGGCCGCACACGATGACCGTTCAGAGAAATTTTTGCTTGGTGAAGTCTCGTTACTGACCGGTCAAAATATTGGGAAAAAAGTTAACTAATCCCTGTGCAATTTTCTATTGTATTTTTACAAAGAGAAAAAAATCCAGGATTTACAGGTAAGGATTTGGTTGGTTGTTCTAGAATAAGAGTGAGTCAAGAGTGTGCGTGACAGGTCAACGTGACTGGCGAGTGAAGTTGTGGCCGGACACGTTGCCATTCTGGCCGAACCCCAGAGGGCCGGACCCGTTATTTTGAGCTCTGCCCTAGGCGCGTTGATATAGTACCCTTCAACAAGATCAGTTCATTCTCCGGAGATTTTAATTGATTCAAACACTTTCGTTCTATTTTCAAGTTGGACTACTGACACGTAAATGCCGCTAATCTGTGACAAGCAGACATCATTTGAAAGCCGTCTTAGAGTAATACCAACACGGCCACTAAGGTCTTTTGATCACGTGCAATCGTTTTCCCTTCAGTCACTGTTCTTCTCTGTCCTTCCGCAGCTCAAATGACGCCAGCATCTTCGGCTGGTCAGCAGCCTCCCACACAAACACAACAAATGATGGGAGTAGGAGGCATGATGGGACCACACCAAGGGGGTCCCGCCCCTGCCAATGCAACTTCTTACGTCATGCAGCAGGCTGCAGGCTATCCAACACAGTAGTGTCCTGTGGTTTAACAGTACACTCGAGTACCAAGTCAACCACATAGAGAATTTTTACTGTCAACGAAGTTGACGATAGAGAGGTCCTTTGCGCAGGTAGAGGATCGATTTAGTGGCAAAAAAAGAAGCAAGAAGCGTTTGAAATAAGCAAAGGAATAAAGTGCTTCTGACGAAAATCAGCAAAATAATTTAAGCTAAAACTACTCCTTGGTTAGCGTTGAACCCTTTTGTGTTGAAAAAGTAGCTTAATGCTGTATTGGCGCTGAAAGCGTTTTATTCGCAAACCTTGACGATCATACACGGATACTGTACAGTTTGAAAAAGTATATTTTATATTTATTGTTTTCATTTTGTCTTCTGAACAAAAACCAGTGTCCAGCCTCTTCGTAATTCGAAAGTAAGTATATTTTTCACCCCATTAACGCCGTGACAGTGTCATCATCTATGGTGTTTTGTAATATTTCTAACTTCGTAAATGGTAATCGAACTTTTTCAACATGCAAAGGTCGTTAATTGCTGTAGTTTTATCGAAAAGCTTTGTATAATTCGCCGCAGTCTATGTGAAGCTGTCTCGCTGGTCGTGCTGTCTTGTATCGTTCATGTAGTTCAAGTGTTTGCGTATTATAGTAACTCTAGTGCAGTTTTGTAGCTACCGAAGGTGTGTCCTTCGAACGGGAAATGTTAAATGAAATGCAGGGTTACAGACGCCGAGACGTCGGAAAATCAGGAAAAAAAGAGAAAATAAAGATAACTTTCACAACAGTTTATGTTTATACTAAGCTCCCTCCCTGCACGTGAAATTGAACTTGAAAGTCTTGACAATCTGGCGAATAAATCCTCTTTTGCTCATTCGAGGCTCGATGAATACCCTGGGTACTAGAGGTCTAATTTTTCTTGCGTGCGGCAGGATGTTCCAGCCAGGGGTGGCCGCACACTAGGCTACGAGCAGTCTTCCTTTAAGCGAAACGCGCGAGACACGGAAATGACCACACGCGTGACTAAAGGCACGAGACGGAAGAGGGTGGGGCCAATTTAATAAAACTTTTACAGGAATAATTTTCTTTTGTTCCCATTGTTTTAGTGTCTAAAAACAATAGCTACACTTGTAAATTATACTTGTAATAGTTATTAAATTGACCCCTGGTTTCTCGCGGCTTAGCCGCTTGACGCTCGCGCGCGCGTGCACTCATCTCACTAACTGTGTAGAAAAAGAGACTGCTCGGAGTCTAGCCGCATGCGGAAGGCCAAAGCTGCGAGAAAAAGTTCTTTCCGCGCGGAAAAATATCCACTGAAAACGATTGCGTGTTTGAAAAGGCTCTTCCCATGTCCCAATTGCCCAAAAATCAAAAAGTGCTGGCAAAAATTTGCTTGTGCTCTCATCTCAAAATAGTGCTCAAAAAGTGCTACAAGTTGTGAACAATTACCTCTAAGCTTTTCGTAAATATGTCAATTTTTACTGAAGTAATTAACAATCTATTTTGCGTAGTGTTATTCGACAGGTTGTTACGAAAGGTTCATAGAATATAGAACAATAACATTTTTAAAAACTAAAACCGGTTACGAATTGTAAATAAATTCAGCAGTACTAGTGCAAAGCCTAGACATCAGATGATTTAGAAATTTGGGATGACACACGCATGATACATCAGCCAATCAGAAACTGTTCTCACGCTCAGTAAGGATAAGTCCACGTGCCTTTCCATGACAACGGTCTTTTATTCTTGACAACATTATTAGTTATTCAAATTTATGACCTGGAACACGATTCTCGTTGCGAGCGACACACAGTTTTTGCCACTATAAAATGTTTTAGAAGCCATATGTTGCTCGAAATGTGAAATGTTGCTCAAATGTTGTCCAAAGTGCGAAAAAGTGCTTAAGGGTGCTCAAATTGCAAAATAGTGCTCCAAACTCAAAAAAGTGCTCAAAAGGTGCTCAGCGCAATCGGGAAAGGCCTATTCACCAGGGTACTAAAAGGAAAAAAAGGCATCGAGAAACAAAAGTTATAATTGTTTCCAGTGGCGGAGCCATGGGAGGGCCCGGGGGCCCCGTCCCCTCTTTATTTCTACACCAAACTTAAGCCCGAAGGGGCGAAAAAAAGTGTTTTGGAGACCGGTACTCCGTCTTGATGACCGGCCTTCCCGACCCCCCTGTCTCAAGGTCTGGAACCAGCGCTGATTTCTGTAACTGGGGACTCCTTGGTTTTACAACTAACTTTTCGTGATAGACTTTCTAAAAGTCCTTTTAATATTTTTTCCTGGTTGCAGCGACCGAACGTCGCTCGCTTCGCTCGCTAAGAACTTATGGGAGGTCGACTTGCCGCAAGTATATGTTATCAAATGCTTCTCGTGAATGTGTTTGCCGAGAAACGGTACTGTCTTTGACGAAATTCCCCTTTGGAATACATTTCATAAAGGAAAAGCGCTTCCCGCTCTGAAATCATAGTATGGCATGCGCAAAAAAGGGGAGTGTGTTTGTTCGGGGGGCGGGGCCGGTGGGCGAAAAGCCCCTCTCCCTTTCGCCTCCCGTGGCGGGCTTCCAGTTACCCGTCTCGCCGAACTCGTTCCAGTCACCTCGCGTTCCACCTGCAGAAAATTCCAAAATGGCGGCAATTGGAGCCGGTGAAATCAGTAAGGAAGAAAGCGCCGAAAAAAATGTTTCCAAGATCGTTCAAGGTTAGAATTTTGTGAAGAATCTTCTGTTGACGCTGCGTTAACTAATAAGGCACATTTTTTGTAGATATTCGCTCAAAAAGGCTAGATCTGGTTACTTTTGTGGAAGATTTAGGGTGAGTGCCAGCTAAGTGAGTGTCATGTGTTTGGTCAGTCTTAATTTAACTGGCAGTTATGCAATCTTGCAAGCTACTTCTCAAGAGGTATTTTGGATCTCATATAAAAGCGTGACTACATCAAACCCCGATTCAAACCATCTAATGAAGGGACGGCAGTACAGCTGAGCCTTATAATAAACAAGCTGAGTCCTGCTTGCCGCCACATGTTCAAACACTCAGTTTTAAACTACGGATCGCAGCTAGGGGAAGTAAGAAAGGTACTAAAATTTTCAAAGGAAGACATCGGCCTCCAGAACTTATGGCCACGAATCGATGTAGTCATGCTTTTATCATCGCTCCCTCAAGATGAATATTATATTGATTATGGCTCTGTCAATTCCAAGCGTGTGCATCCCCCCGGGCATTTGTCGGACAATTATCATTATTTTTTGGGGGGGGGAGGGGTAAGCTGCAAATGCCCCTCTGTGGGGCCGGGCAGTTCATACAAAAAAACCAAAATTGCATTTTCTAATAAAATAAGCTGTAACTGCCATATTTATCTGAGGGTGGGAAATTTGCTTCAACCAAACTGAAACACGCTGCCCTTATTCCTCAGATATTATTTTCACATGCATTAGTGTTATAAATCCAAGTTCCAAGGGCAACATGTACGCAAGAAGTTTCTTTCTGAGATGAATCAAAGATTGGAATGCATTACTGTCATTTATTAGACTTTATTTTCAACCTTTTTAAGTATACTGTTATGGAGCATATTTTATTTTCTTAGTAAGCGGCATATTGTTTTTTGTTTTTACTTTTTTGTCTATCTATTTTATTGAAGAAATTTGAGACTCAACCCAGGCTAAAACAATTTTAACCTGAATTTCATGTTGACTTATAACACTATCAGTCATATGTAATTTTACAACGTGATTGCTGAAGTAGGTGGTGTTATAAATAGATCAGGTAATTTGGAATTACGTATCATTGAGTAAAAAATTTGCAAGTTGTATGTTTGCCTCTTAATCTTCAAAATTTTGGATTTTGTAAGCCTGTTAATTTAGTTAGATTTTAGACATGTTAATGTTGTTATCATGTATTACTTTGTAAAAGTGGAACCACTTAAGCAGACTTTACTTCACATATTATTATTTGAAACTTTGCGCTAATTTTTTATTGGGTTTGCCAAAGTTTAGTCCATATATCAACACAATTAATTATTGTATTGTGTATTTTTGAAATTTATTTGTATATATTTCTTTCAGTATTAGAGGGCCATGTGTTAGAAAACTCTTAACTGGGTTAATCATGTATATCTACCCTCTCAAAATAAAGAACATTGTATTGTATTGTATTGTATTGTACTCATTTGTAATTTAAAATGGTCTGTGTTTTCAGTCCAGAACTAACAAGCAGTGAGGTGGAACGAAGGTGCCATGGTGTCTGCTTGCTTTCTGGTGTCTTGCATCATCTTGTTGGGTTTCCCTTTCAGGAAAAAGAAGGTTGTGAAACATATTTTCTTCTTAGCATCTGTTTTATAAATGTATCGTATTGGATTTCATCCACAGTGTGATACATATATAAGTGTAGTTACAGTTAAGCTTATCATTAACCTGGGTATATCGTGTGTTTGCGTGAGTGCACACCCTAGCTTTGTTATCATTTTGTGGCAGATTTTAGCATAGCAACACCCATATTTCTTTATCCCCTCTCCTTCCCTGCGCTGCATCAAGGGGGGTGAACTGAGATGTTTAACTCTGAACCCATCCAAACATTATCTGTAGGGTGTAGACTTTTTTAAATTTAAATTAACAATATTTTTGTTGTTGTTTTCAGTGGTACTGTTTTCTGAATTCCTGTGTGACAGATTAAAGGATCACTATACCATTATTCCCCATGCACTGTTTGGTATTCTTTCCTTGGTGAGAAGTGTATTCTTTTACTCATGACATACATATTATAAGAGTTATCCTTATAGCTTACATTTCTGTGACTATTTTGCTGTGCTGTTGCAAGACAACCTGTGTGAGATGTTGCTAGGCATAACGCCCTGCAATGTTTTTTGTATGCATGCAAAATTTGCTGTAGGGTTTCCATGAGAAGGCATGAGATGTGGAATTAGATCCAAAATCACAGCACAAAATCATAATTAGCTAACTTCAAAAAATAACAACAAAACATTTTTTTTAACCAATGATTTTATTTAATCTTGTTATTTATAATCTTGTTATAAAATTCATGTCAATTACAATTGATTGCAGACCACCAGCCAAGCTCTCTCAGAAGCAGACAGCGTGAAAATCATCCAGACTATATTCAAAGAAGTTCATGTTCAGGTAGTGTAAGAAGTCTGAATAATGACTACAACCAGTTGAAAATCATCCAGAAAAAAACAACCTGTCTTGCTTCATATTCAAAGAAGTTCATTCAAAGTTGTTCCTCCAAGTTTTGAGCCTGGTCTTGTAAGTAGCAACTTTGAATAATGGAGGGGGATCACAAGTTCATGGACAGGCCATTTATGCAAAATAAAATTTTGCAGCTAAGCAACAAAAATAAAACAATGGTCAGGAGATGTGGTAGTGCATGTTAAGTAAAGATATTCTCTAATGTAAGGCTCAAATCCCGGGGAAAAATGTATAAAAACAGCAAATAACAAACAACTCTTCCTTCTTGTTGTTGTTGTTTTTTATTTGACTGAGACCAGTTAATGGAAACAATTCTTGAACATGGCTGGAAAGAAAAATCAGTAAAGTTGCCAAATTTGAATGTGATGTTTTTGAAAAGTAACCAAGATGTAGTGTTGCAAAGACACAGAATTTTAAAGATGTTTGTATGGTGGGGGGGAGCAAGAACGTTCCTCTCACCTTACGAATGTCTAAAAAATTTGGCGACCTTGTGGAGTAATACGTTTGCTCGCTTTGGACATATTACCTTTAAACTCTGTAAGTTTCCTAATTTTAAGATGGTCTTTCCAGCAGTGTCAATGAATTTCTGGTCTTTATGAAAACTAAACAAACAGAAGGGTCTATATATTAAACTTCATGTAAAAAATAATATTACATGTTAACAACTGCATTGCTAAAATGGGGGTTGGGTGCCTAGAGTATCCAGGGGCTTCCACTGTTGGCAGCCAGCACCTAGGTTAAAGTAATTCCCCCATGACTGGCACAACAGCACAACCCAGCCATGAGCCCCCACACGAAATTAAAAGAACAGGCACCCATCACACTGCATCATGGAGCCCCCTACAGGGGAAGAAAATGGCTTAAAACCTAGAACGAAAAACTGAACAAAAATCACATGATCGATGCATGCCATTGAAGACTGACCTCACCTCATGATGTCTAAAATTGCATTTAAATGCATCATGAAACATTTCCAGCATTTGCTCTGACTTGTTATTTATTTACAATTATTTATTTATTGTTTGTTTTTTTTTTTGGTTAACAGTCACTGTTGAAGGAAGCAAGACTAACTACATTCAATTTGTTCGCGGTTTTTTTAAATAAACATCTTAATGGTTAGTTGCAATTTTTTTCGTTGCTCAGTTTACATTTTTTTGTTAAAGATTTTAATTTATTGATAATTACTTTTCACAATTAACATTTTATTTGCCACTATAACCATTTCAGCTCTTAAGAAGATTGCAAATGATTTTGTTTTTGGTTTCATTCAGGCTGTGGATGGAGAGAAGGTCAGGGGAAGACTGATTTTTAAGTGAATGACATTTAAGAAATATCTATAACATGTATAATGTATAATGTATATAAGTATAATGTATGTATAATTATTTCAAGAATTTTTATATTAAAATTTAACAGTACACTCTAGGAGTTTTGTGTATGGTTGAGCAGTTAAATAATAACAACAGTAAATAAATGTAATTTAATAATTATTGTTAAATTGTTTCTATGATTTTCAAAGTGATGAGAAATATTTTTTCAGGAGTTACGTTAGTTGTCAGACCCATTTTCCTAAAAATTTCTTGCATTCTGCAGTTATATATTTTATGCAGTGCAGTTGGCCTTCCTTGGTTATGTTTATTACAGAATGATCTACCTTTTAAGATATCTGATAATCTTTTGGATTAGACGCCAAAAAATTGTGAGAATTAATCTATATTTTAGTTATAGGGCAGCAGCTGTGCACGAGTTTACTTAACCTCTTTCCTTGTGTCATGAGATATTTTTAGTATTGTTTTTAATTTGCAGGATCCAAGGAATTTGCTATTGGTCTTTGAGCTTACCAGGATTATAATAAGCAGCTTTTCAATAGGCAAGTATTTTCTTTGTGGAAATAATGATTGGCATGATTTATTGATATCTTAATCAATGCATTTTTTGTAAATTGTAGCTTTTAAAAGCTGCAGTCATTAATATAAGCATCCTTTCATTATGTCATCTTCATGGTTGGGGATTCACACATCACGTGATTAACATTTTAGTGGTTACTATTTCCATAGAAACTGGTATTACCATGCTATTGTTTCGTAAGTAGGTCCATAAGTAACATTTCTGAAGGCCAGGCGCGAAATAATATTAGTTTGTAAACAAGGAGAGCTTATAACGTTCTGGTCATTCAATGTCTTCATGTCTCTAGTTGATTATGTAGTTTATTATAATTAATGAGGCATTTACAGTGAATATTATGTCATCCTCTGTATGAAGAAATATCTGAATTATTATTGTCGAACCATGATGTGAATTAAAACCAGCAAACTCTGGAATGTCGGTTTTGAACGTAACTTACTATCAGCAAGACCTTTATTACGAAAAGAGTTTAGGGGAGGCGAATCTTTGTTTACTTTTTTTGCTTCATTAACATATGCTCATCATCATCTGATGAAGCTATTAAAATAATATCTCTGAGAACTGAAAGAGCATAACAGATATCTCTGAAAATTTGAGCCTGATATACCAAATGGTTTTGGAGAAATTCCTTTTAAAAACTTGAAATCTTACAAAGAATGTATGGCTCATTAACTTTTTGCCACCCAGCAATTTTGCAGTTTTTGATGGCTGATATTTCCTTCCATATTGTTTGCAAAGAGCTGAAACTTGCACAAATTGCTTAAGTTAATCAGCTCTTTCCACTCTGAATTTAGTTCATATATATGGCCACCACCAGGGTTCTAGGAGTTTTAAGTTGTGTGCTAATGAGGAAAAATGTATAAAATGATGTCAGCAAAGATTCGCCTATTCTTATAGAATGTTTATTGTTCCATTTGTCATAACAGCTCATCATCTTTCTTAGCTTGTTGGTAATTTATCGTTTCAGATTTATTTACAGAAGATTTGTTTGAAGTAACATCTTGCTACTTCCCCATTGATTTCACTCCAGTAAGTGTTTTATGCCTGGTCTGTCCTGTTTAATTATATTTTGCACCTTAGTGACAAGGAAATAAACAGAACTTTGTAAAATTATCATTTGCATCTATGCAGATGTCCTTCTAGCAATGTGTATTTAGATATAAACTTCCCTAGATAATAACATATACTTTTTATCCTGAAAATTCCTCTGAGCTTTCCTGTTTCTTTCTAGATAGCCGTGTTTTAATTAAGATCCAAACTACCTGCTTCCCAAAAATTAATGCAAATGTATTACTTGCGGGGATCAAGCCCCAGTGTTTTCTCATAATTATTTAGCTTATCTTTTTGTCCTTTCTTATGGTGCGTTTACTTTTATTATCATAGTGATTCCATGCAAGTGGAGGCTCTATTGATCTTCCTAAAAAAATTAGGAGGAGGAAGGGTTCCCTTCCAGATTTTTCTCCTCCTAACATCAAATAGACATTTTTTGTGTTGATGAGAATATTTTTCTTGCAGCCTGCTGATGATCCCTATGGAATAAAGAAAGATGATTTAGTTTCAAGCCTACGAAAGTGTCTTGCATTGACTAACCAGTTTGCTCCAGTAAGTTTATGGTACTGTATTGTTTACTTGCATTTGTAGAGCACTTTAGCTGGATTAGTGCATTCTTCAGTTTTTTTTAGCGTAGAATGAAGACACTGATAACAAATTAAAAGGAATTTCAAATTGCTGATTGGATGGGGCAAAAAGTACTGTGCCCAATTAGACTTAAGATGTAACACTTTATGTTTCTTCTAGTCATTACTAGTAATTTGTTTATACAAATTTCTTTCTCTATTCCACAGTACTGCCTGCCTCTTCTGATGGAAAAGCTATCATCAGATATCACTGATGCCAAAATTGACTCTCTTTTAACACTGGTAAGTCAGTGTGATCATGCAATAAGGTTTTGTCTACGGACAGAAAGGTAGAAAAAAGTTACATTTCAGTGTCATTATCACTCTTAATATTTTCTATTATTATAGTGTTCTATCACAGTTGAGCATTTTCTTTTTTTGTGTACATTATTTTGTTGTCCTCACTTGAAACAGTTTTTATGTTATTTGTTGTTTGTTGCAGTCAGCTTGCTTGGAAGTTTATCAGAGTACTTATTTGCTTGAATATTTGGAGTCACTTTGGACAGCTATAAAAAGTGCGGTGAGTTAAAAACAATAAGCTGATGCTAGTTATTCAGCCAACACCTTTTTCAGATGGACACCTCCTCAACACAGATATAATGTACTTTGAATTTGTCATTGCCATTTTTAATCATTTTCTTTGTCACCTTTCATCGGACACCATTTTTTGGTCCAAATGGTTTCCAAACCAGGAGCAAGTGGTATTTAGTTGAATATTAATCTTTGGTGTTTTAATATTAAATACAAGCAATATTTAAGTCTTTGATTTCTAACACTACGCACAATGCTGACAGGAGGTGGTCGCTTACAAGAATAATAATTAAACCACAGGGAATCTATTCCAAGAAGAGCTCTAGTTTTTAGACAAGAGAGAAAGCAGTTTCAAGTTATAATATGTTTTGTAAATTCCATGTTGTCTTTAAAAGTGCTTTGCATGCTCTGCTCAGGATAGTACATGTACGTACAATGAACATACAGCAGATCAGATCATGTGTCATTTAAGTGTTCCAGGGTTCGTACAGGTTTAGTTCTTGGAAAGGGGCAAATTTGATGAAATTGGCAAATCTGGGGAAAAAGGTAAATTTGGCAAAAATTTGCTAGTAGTTGGTTAAAAATTCAAATTATGAAATGCACATTCGCTATTTTCGTCAAAATCACCTCTTTTTGAGGCCCCCTTTTGTCATCTCATTTGAATTTTCAACAAACTTTTGCTGATTTTTCACTGTTGTGTGCATTTCTTGACCTAATCACTTCTGTTCTTTTGGTCTTATAACTTACAGGTTTCTCTTAATTAAATTTTCTTTTCCTTTTCTAAATTCATTTACTAGGTTTTCTATCCCACAAATTCTGAAATAGAGGTGAGTTACAATATTATACCAGGTAACATTGTTATTATTCTTAATCAGATACACAAATTACATAATTAAAGACTTTTAAAATTATTTTAATAGTCTTTGTTTTTCTTTGCGATTTGATTGTATTTCTGTCAATTTTTCAGGAAGCAAGTCTTAAAGCTGTGACAAGCATTGTCAAAAACCTGAGCTCATCAATAGAGGTTTGTTGTATAAGATATTGTGATCACCAGTATTTCTAAAGAAGAATGTAGGGCTGCAAGTTTTGGGTTGCATCCGTGGACAAGGCAGCCATTGTGGTGGTCAATACAATGAAGATATTTTCGAAGAATTTGCAGGAAAATGGATTTTAGTTCCCAGAGGAGAGAAATGCTTTTATCCTCCACCACCAACAAGGCCACCATGACGTTACCTGCAAACTAGCAATAAAAATTGTGCGTAATTTTAGTCTTTTGCTTGTACTGGTATTTCTGCAACCCTTGCAAGTATCCTGATTTATTCCACCTGTTCTACAAATTACAATGGAAAGGCTTTCCAACTTATTTTTCTGTGAATTAGTATTCTGGAATCCTCATTCTTCTGTCAAAATTTTAAGAACTCTCCATTTGCACATCTTCCATAATACACCTGCTTTGCTCCGCCCCGCCCCCTCCCCCCAACATTTTGCATAAGGAGTGTCTTCAATTTCTATTGGGACACCTGTAATACCCGGGAGAAATTAAAAGCAAAGGTTATGCAATATCTGGGGGCAACAAGGTGTCTTCTGGAAGATATGCAAATGGCAAATGATAAAGACTCTGTCATAAGGCTATTTTCATGGAAAAAGTTCCATGATGTATTAGTATAAAAGATAGACTAGGAGAAAAGATAATTGTTGGCAGGAAATTAGAGTAAAGTAATTTTCCTGAACTGTGTGCCATTGATTTTGGTTTAAAGGAAAATGCCAGAGACAAATATGAAGAGTTTCTAGATACCATCCACAGAGGTAAGAGGAAAAGATCTACAAGCAGTTCCATCAAACTATGACAGATACTTGAAGAGTAAAGTGGTGAAATGTTTTTTTTTGACAGATTGTGGTCACGTGACTGGTTCTGATGTTAAATTGATGACATCTTCTGGTAAAATTTTACAGGCAGCAGCACTAGGAGCAGGTATAAACAAACCATATGCAGACGTCATCATCAGTAAAGTAACTTCTCTTGACTGTGGTTTTTAAAGTAAAGGAACAATTCAGACAACTGTTCAGATGTCTTTGCTTCAGGATATCTATCTTCAGTCCGATTTTTAAACACTAGGTTCTTAATTTAATAGCTTGTCCAATTCCTCGTAGCAGGCGGTATTTGTTGTTGTTTTTTCTTTCTTTCATGTTTTGTAAAGTATTAGGTCAAACGGTGACTGGTCGTTTCGCCTACGAGTCGTTTCGCTAACGTCCCGTTCGCTAACATCTTATGTCATTCCGCTAACCGTAAACTGGTCAAACAAGAACACGATGGGGGAGTGGGCTCTAAGCCAACATTTTGCCTCAAGTGAGAAGTAAGTGTTAATGTTAGCTCAGGGGAGGGGTAGATGGGCAGTTTCCCTGATACCTAAATTGATCCCAATTTTCTCTGCCTTTTTCACTCGTCCTCCTCCCCATAGTTTTCTCGTGTGACCTGTGTTTAGCTTTGACGCGGTGTTGTCTCGTTCTTTACGAAACACAAGCGAAATTCACAGCAAAAACCCGCCTGCTACACATGCTAAGCCTGTTCCTTCCTGACCGTCTTGAATTTGTATTTGTACAGAGCCTGCTTGTCGAATAATTATTGAGTCTACTTTTCCACTGCTTCTGGAGCAATTCAAGGGTGATGTTGAGGTAGGTTTATCAATACCCCATTTTCACGTCTATTGATTGAACTGCATGTTGCAAGATGGTAGCCTCCCACGCAGTTGTTGTTTGGGGTTTGTCACGCTTTCCTGCCTGACATTGGGAAGGATTGCGTGACGAGCCAAAAGAACGTCTGTTTGAGAGGCTCGGAAGATGGTGGCAGAATATGCAGTTTATTTTGTAGCTGTTTCAAGTGGAACGTGTCAAATGCCCTTTAATCGTTATCCCATGTCAGTAAATGTTTTACCTATTTCATTGTTAGTGACTGGCCACAAGTCATCTTCGTGACTTTAAGCCGCCCTTAGAATCAAATTGACAAGAGGTCGGTATCTTTTCATCAAAGTTATTCATTTGGATAATTTCTTTAATTTGTTCTGTAGATTGCTCACAAAAAGAACTTCATCTCAACGATAACGAACCTTCTTAAAGCTGCTAAAGTCTTTCACAAACAGGCAGATGGTGAGTAAATTGTAGATTATTGCCAAAGTTTCAGACAATGCAGTTACAACCGGAAAGTCGAATTTAACTGCAACGTTCTCTGTTGTTTATAATTTTGCAGGCAGCCCAGTTTTAAATTACAAAGAAGTGCTCTCTGCTACACTGTTTTCATTCTTATCCAGTGATAATTCTGCTCTGAGCTGTGTGGCTGTGGATTGTCTTATGGCTCTGGTCGATTTAATAGGCCTTATGTCTGAAAAGGAGGTTAGTTTTATCTCTGTCGAAGTTTCTTTATTCAAAGCTAGGTAAAAGAAACAGACATAGTTTGTAGTTATTTTTCTTCTCACAGGTGGAGTTACTAGTTCAGCATCTCACCTCCATTGTTCTTGCCAACAGGGAGCCTTTTTTAAGGTATATCATTTATCTATAATCTTTAATCTGTGATTTAAGCATCAACCCTTTTATTGTTAATTGTGGTTCGATTAAATTTAAATTCCTGATAATCTATTTTGGGAACTACTGAAAAACTATAAATTTAATTTAAACATACGACTTCGTAGCAGTTCAGATTTTTACCGCATAATTAAACAAGGGTAGCACGCAGTGAAAAAATCAAAATTTACTTACAAAATCAAGACCATATTTTTTTCAGCCAGACCAGTTTAACTGCATTAACACAACTATCCAAGGCTTACCCTAGTATCATCCTAACAGCGGTGGTGCTGAAATTACAAAAACACCTTGAAAAAGGTAAGATTCTTAGCTTAGATGTTTTTTTCATTCTTTTTGGGAGATGGAGTACGAGGACAGGGCCGTTCATTATGTTTTATTCCTCACCAGAAGATAGAACAGCAATGGACACAGACAGTGACGAGCCCCAATCTACCCTACTGAGTCATCAGTGTGTCCTTGATACTCTGAATGCTGTCTGTACACAAGACGCAGTCGTTCGTGAAGTGATCCCTCGACTTGTGGAACATGCGAAACACTTGTGTCATGGTAAGAGAAGTGAGTCTTTTTGTGAGAGATGCTTTATACCAGTCTCCGTCGCAGAGATTTGGTGGGGAGTTATGGACATCTGCTACACAAAGTGGGAACAGGCAAAAATGCCGACAGACCCATCACTGAGCACTCAATTTTTTAGCGGATTCACCCTGAGCGAAAAGCCCCATCTGCGACTTTCATGTTCCAAATAATGCAATATGTTTTCCTACAAAATTGTGCATAAGGTTTGCTATCAATTTCCTAATGGACGATTGTTAGTCCCAAGAGAATTTGAAAACAATACTTATAATGCAAAATTTTGTTGAGGAAAACAAATTGCAGCACGGCGAGCGTGAAAGTCCGAAATTGAGAGGAGGGAAGTTGAGGTTCAATTTCATTGCTTTAAGTTTGGTTTACTTTGTCTGAAACCAATTAACATACACTACCATACCCAAACAAACCACAGGAAAAATTGAAAAAAATGTGTTCCCTCAAAATGGTTTTCAATTTTTCATCAAATATCCCGAACCAAATCTCCCGGATAAAATGGAAAAATTTTAGTCCATTTTTTCCAAACTTTTTGTATTCATTGTACAGTTTCTGGGAATTTTTGCGCATTTTAGAAAAAAGATTGTTCGTCATTGCCCATATACTTCATGTCCTAAGGCAATTTGTTGGCGTGGGGCGGGGGTGTTGGTCGACATTCGAGAAAAAAAGTGATTTTAGATCTCCGGAGGTTGGCAGGTATGCCTCAGGGAGTTATCGACAGAGAACAAAATGCTGTGGCTGATTCACTGCTTGATGATTTCAAGAACAAAGATAGTCAGTCTTTAAAGACTACAATAAAGTAGTTCTTTAAGTTATTTGTGTTCATGAAATTTTTTTTCTTACAGTAGAAAATCCTAGTGCTGATTCCCAGTTGCGAATCTGCCGAGTGTTTCAATGTATCCTAAGCATCGTAGAAGGTAACGAGGGCGTTATGATGTTGTTATTGTTCTTAAACTCGTTCATACCACTAGCGTTTAGTTCAAATGCACGTCGAAGTATTACATTTGCTCTGCTTTTGCATTTGCTACCCTATGTTATTGTGTTTTGTTAAAAAAAAGCCTCCCGCGAAATCAGTGGCACTACGTGACCAAGTTTTCCCTTTAATTGTCGTTTTCTGTTTATTACTTTCACTTAAAAAAAAGTTGTTTCACGCCAGTTTTATCGATAGGAATTGTTCTGGACAGGTTTTATCTGCTTATTTTCTATTCTAAGAAATTCTCAACTTGAATCTGACGTTTGCCGTTTGTCATTAACGTGACTCTTAATCTCCCTACTGTATTTCTACACACGTTTTCCCGCGCATTCTTCGAGTTTTGATTGGTTGCTTTTTTTTCTGGAGTGTTCGTGCAGTGATTCATTCGGTGTAACCTATTGCGCAGACGTTTTTGAAGAAGCTTAAAAGGTATTATGATCGTTGATAGTGATTGTGTGTTTGTTGCTGGTTCCAAGTACTTACAGTTCCATTAGTTACGGTGTTAATTCTCATTTCTTTGATACCAGACTCCATTCAAAAAGGAGTTTCTTCAGCTGGATACTTTAAACTGTCTCTCATTCCTGAGGTTATGAAGATAGTCCTGAAGTCTGCTTTAAAAGGTACAAATTTATCACTGTAAAGTTGTTGTGACGTAATCAAGACCTGTACCCACACTAAGTGCTGCATCGCGCACGGTATCGTAGAGTGCTTTAAAATTCTACCACATGTTTAGCCTCGACTTTCTTCCTAGTTTCATTGCAGTTTCTGCCCCTGCAACATTACGTTTAGCAATTTGCAACGTTTTCTACTTAAAATTCATCCTCAAGTATTTCTTTTATTTTCTAAAGGTCGAATGAGCTGCTGCTTTCTTGTGCTATGGGTGCGAAACGTCAATAAGCAATAGTTTAAATAAGCAGAAGAAGAACTCTTCACGTGCTTTACATTTTTTCGTACATTTCTTTGCAGTTTTGCATACTAATACTGCGTGATTTTCTAGTCTTCGAAACCCGAGTACCCCGGAATTTGTCTTTCTCTTTTTGATCTTGGACGTGGTCCTTGACGATTCAATTCCTCACTGAACCCACTAAGTTTGAATCAATGAAAATTCACTTGAGTGACGTTTCCACTACCGTGTTCGTCGTTGTTGCTAAAGTCAACCATTCCTATTTTTTCGCGGTTTTCTTGATATTGTAGTAGCTAACCGTATACTCAATCAATTAGTATTCTCGGCTTAACCAGTCCACAACGGACCTAAGATTTTTATATTATCCTGCTCAAAACTTGTGAATACCTCTTTCCCATACACTAGGCAGTGGCTTGTGTTATTCTTGAGAGGTAGTGTATTAGCGATTAGCTTTTTTTTCTGCATATTGTGCTTATTACTGTCTTGTAAACTCCTTGTTATGTCTCTGCTTGCTTCTGTTCTATTAGGTTCAACTGAAAGTACTGTTGAATTACTGTCAAAGGAAATTCTAGACGTGATAGCCGCCATTTTAAGAACCGTGACAAGCAACTTGGATATTGAGTGCGTCTTACTTTCACTTTTTTTCCACCATTTGATAAATACCATATGTTGTATTGCGTCAGTGTGGAAGATTGTAAGAAGGGAGCTTGTGTGATGATGAAATTAGATAGTTAAGCTTCTGATTGGTCATCTTTTTGTGGCGTGTTGGACTGGGTCGGGATTGTGTCGCACTGAACCATGGGACTATTATTGGGATACTGTGGTTTCTTTTTATTTACTGTTTCTAGGTTGCGTAGGAAATTGGTCAAAATTTACCCCCCTCCCCCTCCCCAACCCCAAAACAGTCCCACTGTTCACTGAATTGAACACAACACCGGCCCAGTTTCCCGGTCGACCTCAATACAGTGGAGCCTCGATATAACGAACCTCTATATAACGAAGTCCTCGGTATAACGAACCTCTATATAACGAAGTCTTCGGTATAACGAACCTCTATATAACGAAGTCCTCGATATAACGAACCTCTATATAACGAAGTCCTCGATATAACGAACCTCTATATAACGAAGTCCTCGATATAACGAACCTCTATATAACGAAGTCCTCGATATAACGAACCTCTTTATAACGAAGTCCTCGATATAAGGAACCTCTATATAACGAAATCTTCGGTATAACGAACCTCTATATAACGAAGTCCTCGATATAACGATCCTCTATATAACGAAGTCCACGATATGACGAAGTCCTCGATATAACGAACCTCTATATAACGAAGTCCTCGGTATAACAAACCTCTCTATAACGAAGTCCTCGATATAACGAACCTCTATATAACGAAGTCCTCGATATAACGAACCTCTACATAACGAAGTCCTCTATATAACGAAGTCCTCGGTATAACGAACCTCTATATAACGAAGTCCTCGATATAACGATCCTCTATATAACGCAGTCCATGATATAACGAAGTCCTCGATATAACAAACCTCTGTATAACGAAGTCCTCGATATAACGAACCTCTATATAACGAAGTCCTCGGTATAACGAACCTCTATATAACGAAGTCCTCGGTATAACAAACCTCTGTATAACGAAGTCCTCGGTATAACAAACGATTTTTTTTTTTTACCCCAGTAATAGGAAAATATATGGAAAGTAAATCGTTATAGGGAACACATTTTGCCAGTCCCTTGGCACTTCGTTATATCGAGGTTCCTTTGTATTTTAAATACTTCTGAAAATCCATCCCAATTCGTCATTTTCACATAGACCGTAATGCACCTTGCTTACTCCCCAAAATTTTGCATTACCGTTGTCTTCGATTTCTCTTGGGACCACTGTGATACCCAGGAGGAATTGGAAACAATGGTTAAGCAAAATATTGGGGGTAAACAAGGTCTGTTATGATGTATGTGAAAATGGTTAAGAAGTTTAGGCTTGTATTTATACCGAACTATTTCTCTTTGTCTTCAGAGCCGCTCATATTCTTCTAGATGATTTTGTGGTGCTGTATTTAGACGGAAAGTCCTCAAGTTTAGAGGAAGTAGTTGACGTGCCATTTAGGCCATTTGAGGTATCGAACTTCCGTCTGTAGTAATAGTTATTACAAAGTTTGTGTATCCATTTTCGACTATAGTAGAACCCCGATAACTCGAACTAAGTCCAATTTCCTTTGGATTTCACTCCACTTTCCACTCATTTTTACTCAGGTAACTCGAATTCCCCCGCTAACTCGAACTAAAATTCGTTTCGCTTGATTAAAAAGTCGCTGAAATTTAACTCGATAACTCGAATTCTTGTTCTTTTAACTCTACTCAGATGCCATGCCATTAGCTCATCTTGTTGTGTAACGGTGAAAGCCCAAAACTGACACTGGTCACTAAAGGCAATGTGATTTTAATTGGTGAAACGAACAGATCGCGTTTTATCATAAAATGCCCAATCATGTTACCGTTTCTGATGAAATAAGTAAATTTGCACTTCACCATACACAAAAGTGCTGAGAAATCAGAAACTATCAATTTTTAGCATGGCAAAGTGGATTTTTCAATCGACCTCGATAACTCGAACCCTCGCTAACTTGAACTGTTTTTCGTTTCTCTTGAGAGTTCGAGTTACAGGGGTTCTACTGTATTTTCTTTTGCTAATGTTTGTTTGTTTCTTTTTTTGTATGTTAGTTGTCAGCGCCTCTACAACAAACCCAGCTTTTGTCACTTCTCACAGCCACTGTATGCTCTGCAAGACGTGAGGTAGACTTGTTGCCTTTTTTCTCAATCTTGTTGATAATGTTTAGCAGTGTACTTAAATCATGTTCAAATATTTATCTATTTACAAACTAAGGCAGACATGAAACGCTCAGTATTAACTTTAGGACGGACACATTTTTTTTTCGGAGATCGTAAAAACAGTCCTTTTTTTGAAGGAATGTATGGAGCGAGCGGGTGATTATCTATCGAGATTACCTTCTTAAAGATTTTACCTTCTTTCTCTAAGATGGAAATTTAAACAGGATAAGTGCCAGGCGTTAGAAAAAGGAAAGCGTGCGAGGGCAAGGGGCGCGCCATGAGGGGGAAATATGGAACCTGCCCTTTTCCCCCTCCTCGCGTGCCCTGCGCGGTCTCGCGCACCCGAATTCCTATTTCCTTTCTCCTTTTAACGCCTGCCACGCGGGTCAGAAGTAAAACGGCGCTTATGACGTTATGACATCTATCCAAAAAATTCTGGATATTTTTAAAATCAGATTCAGACGCCCCATAAACGGGTATAACGTAAATAAAATTAGGCAAAAATAGGGAAGTGAAGGAAAGACCTATTTCTGCTTTCCTTAAGGTCCTAAGAACATGCAGACATTTGTTTGCTTTAATTAATTATATTGAAGCGAACTTCTTTCTCTGTTTGTTTTTTTCAAGTCGGATAATAGTATCAGTTTCAGCTAATCTGTGTGATTTTTGTCAGGTTACAATTCCACGCCATGCAGATCTAGTTCCCAGACTTCAACACTTAGCTTGCCATTGTGACCATGAGAGGTCGGTGGAGAGTGGAGCCCAGTGTTTAGCTGGAATAATTAACAAGTTACCTGATGGTAAGTGTCCATACGTTAAATTTTAGCATCTTTCTGTCACGCTCGATATTCTAAACACTTAATCCTCAAGAGTGATCGGCATCAAATTTCTCCTCGTAATATCAGTGATTTATAAAACAGAGCGGTCAGGAGTAGCAAGGACATGATCACAGAAAATGAATCTTATTGATACTTCAACAACTTCTCCTCACTACTTCTACAGGAAATGTATAGGGACAACAAATGAGAATTTGAATTTTGATATTAGGTTTAAAGGGTTAAGCACCCGTTTTTGGTACTGGATTGTATGGAATTGTAAAGGTTTCCATGGCAACCATTGCTCGCATTGGAAACGTTCACAATTCCATACAACGCAGTATCAAAAACGGGTGCTTAACCCTTTAAACCCTAATATCAAAATTCAGATTGTCATTTGTTGTCCCTTTACATTAGAAGTAGTGGGTTTCCAATGCGAGCAGTGGTTGCCATAGAAACCATCGACCAGTCACTGTCAAGTGTTCAATCTCCATCGTCGTATTTTTTTTGCGTTTGCCAGAGTTCTTGACGCCTTGAACATTACATCTTTCTGGTTCTTTTGAATTACCCATATGATCCCAGAGTTACCAATCCAGGGCGTGCTGAGGTTTCTCTAGGGGTAAATTTTCACAATTTTTCGCTCCTTTTAAGGAGCTCTATTGCTACTTAAAAACATTTCTATAAGTAGAGTCCAAATTAGCTTCTTTTTTTCAAAACTCCTTGAACAATTCTGTTTGTTGTTCCCTTTTTTACTGATACTCCTACTTACATTTTCAGCCCGGGGCTCGGAGAAGCAAGTCCAATACTTGGCTAAAATGAAATTATCGTTAAAATAGTGAAAGACTGTGCTTTCCAACTTGGATCCTTCGATGAAAATACAATAACGCGACAGACGCACTTTTGTCACCCCCTGGAGGGCTTCATGCATTGCCATTTTATAAATAATTTAATTTTGAAGCATGATTATTTCATTGTTATTACAGGTGATCAGTTGACCACAATACTAAATAACCTAATTAACAGAATATGGCAGATAAGCGATAAAGAAAGTTCAAAAAAACGAGCGACAATAACCTGGCTTTGGGTATGATGCTTTTTTGTTGTCTTTGTTGTTGTTTCTTTAGTTGTAGCTGAATTTTTAACATCATGATAGCTGTCGTGCCTTTTCCCACCGTTTATAATTATGATAATATTTTTCTTTCTCTCGGTGGCACGCGAGTTCAGTTTTTACGGCTCGGTCTCAAAATTTTGAGCTTCGCGTCGAAGTTTAGCGTAGATTCGGTTTTTTCTAGTTTTTAGTTTGATGCGAAAGCACAAATATTGTGAATTCTCAAATAACAAGGATGTTTTTTCTCTTGGGAGGACCGGTAAAGGAGCCAGAGGGTATTAAATGACACTACAACTGGAATTTTATGCTGAGCGATAATCTCATGTGTACCTTCCCCATCGGTGTGTATCACAATAGCTGTTGCTGAGAGGCCCATTATTTGGTAAACTTCGTGGTTTCTGCTGATACTGCCTTATACTGCCTAAGTTCTGTCCACCCGTCAGGCGTCACGCCCTCTAGTGGCCCGTTTCACCCTACCAACATGGACTCATGACATGCAACTCAACCGGCTTACTCCACGCGCGTTTCGAGAGATGTCGTAGGAAAACTGAGCTAAAACGTTTTGTTTTGGCAGTTAAGTGCACTAATTTTTTTTCCATTTTCTTGCAGTTGACCAAAGCTGTGGTGGTTCGTTCTCATCCATTAGCCCCTCAGTTTATTGAAAAGGTAAGTTAGAGTCATGTATTTCGGGAAACGTTTTTTTTCCTTTTCTTTAACTAACTGACCAACAGAAACGCGTTATCAATTTATTCAGTCACAATTTGCAAACAACAACAGCAGCAAAAAAAAAAAAAACAGGATTGTACATGGTCCCAAAAACACAAACTGCAGCACTGTTGTTTTCGCCTTTAATTTTAACGGCTATTATAACTACTCTTCTTTACTTTCTGTAGTGTAACCAGCCTTAAAAGTTTGTTTAACTTAAGAAAAAACTCGACGAAACGTCTTTCTTTGAAAGCTGAGTTTGTATAAGTTGGTAGAATTTAATGAGTCCTGAATATTACTGTTCCTATTTCTTATTTTAGGTTTTGAGTTTATTGATAGATAAAGATGTCGGCCGCCTTGCTGCGGATGGTTTTTATGTCATCATGGCGGATTATGAAGAAGTTATGAATGTAAAGATGCATGTTAACTACAGGGTAAGGATGATAAGTGCTTTGTATGTAAAATAAAAACATTGGCGATTAATAAAACCACTAATAATCTGAGATAATGAACATTTTTGGATACCGTTCATCGAGTATAGTAGTTTCTGGGGAAGGCTGCGTATTTGTTCAAGTGACGCCAGTGGTTACCGGAGTTTCCTAAATACAAAATACAATCTCTAATCTACAAGAGCGTAAACCAAATAGTTGGTCTGCGAATTTTTTAGGTTCAAAACTCTTAGAATAGCGATTTTATGGTAATTTGAATGCCATCTGCTAAGCAGGTCACGTGTCTGCGAGCTGCAACGGGCCACTGAATTTCATTTCTTTAACAAGCAGTCACGAAGATGCGAGCTGCAAAACTCTGTTTCCAGCGTCATTAACTTCATAGCTCTGTTAGTAGAGCGTTGAAGTCCTGATTTTTAGTTTTTGTGATTAATTGTTGCAGCTTTCACAGTTTATGCTTATTTCATTGACGTTACAATTTACTTTTTTTACCTGGGATGTTCAGGCTGAACCGAAATAGTTATTATCTTGCAAATATGGTAGCCTGATCACATATCCTCTATTTTTTCTTCAAAATACGTCGAGCAATAAAAACCCCAGGGGATTTATTGACCGCCAGCATAAAGGGATAGGGGTGGGTGCATCTTGCTTCGCTCGCGTGCTCGCCAATGTCTTAGAAAAGAACGAAGAACGAACAGAGAAATGAAACATCGTCTGTGTACAGGCTACAAAGATGGTAGTATGAAATCAGGTTTTTTCAGTTTTTTTTTGCTTTTTTAACGAACTTGTTTGAACTGTTTCTGGTAGATGATGTACCGTCAGCGGCTTTTCATGGAAACTGCTCCAAAATTAATTCAAGGGTTTCACTCAGCGGATACTGGTGAGTTGTATAAAATAATGTTCGAGAAACAAATGCTTCGAGTGTTCTGTGTTCACAATATGTTCTTTTAAAAGGATGTGTTTTCTGTGATCTTGTAAGCATTCACTCCAGATTTGCAGGCTATGACTATCAGTGTAGATAATTAGTATTCTTTCTCGCCGTTGTAAAGTGGACGGTACTGAAGAACCTCGAATTTACCAAGGTCAGACTAAAGGTATTTCTGCAAAGAGTTAAAAAATATACTGTTCATTTGTAAACGGTTTTGAAATTTTACTATTTAGTGTTTAAAATCTGAAACTAGCTAGTTTTGTCGGCGCCAAAGGGAACCTTACGAAACTACGACGGCAACGGGAGCGTCTAAAACTCGATAGGTTTATTTGAGCAAAACAACCACCCTTTAAGTCGGGCGTGAAGCATTGTCAACGAAAAGAAACAAAAAAATAAAACACGGATGAAGAAGGTAGAGGACATCAATTTTTGCTGTTTTCGTTTAAATTTGTTTCCAGAATTCAAGCACCATTACTTGTGCGCGCTGTCTCATTTGCTGCAATGGATTCCTAAACAAGTTCTTCTCTCAGAGGTGCCCAATGTGAGTATTTGTTTGTTTCCCAATTGCGCGATCTCTCATTGGTTACTTCGAGGTCATATGACATTTAAGAATAAAAGTGTTTCCCGCCAAAACTCTCTGAGCCGGAACATTACAAAATCTATGACGCCAGTGGAAAAATGTTTCACATCTGGCAAACAGGAGGGCATTTTGCATGCGCATGCGTGAATCCGCTGAACAACAATAGCGTGGACGCATCAAATCTAATGGCGGGAAATCGAAAACTCGCGCGTAAAGTTGCAGGCCTTTTAAAAGCCATTTCGTTGGTGCTTTGAATACCGTACTTTCCTACAATCGGACGTTTTCTACGCGGGTTTTCACTTTTAGATTTTTCAGCAGCAGGTTTTCTTGGCCTTTTAAAGACTTTCAAGACTCCACGCCAAAAAGTCATGTTCCTGTATAAGTCTGATTTTCACTGCAAAGCAATGCATTTCTATGGTTTGATTTCCGAACTCGTGGTTTTACTTATCAGGGAGGAAATGCATCGTAGCAATGTTCAGCTGCTTAATTAAGACAAAAAGCGAAAAAATAAAAAAATAAAAATATTACCACGCGAGGTTTATTTATTCGCGCGATGTCTCATGTTAAACTGATCGCAGAGACACGCGCTTATATATGCCACAAAACATGAAATCTATGGGGTTTTTACACTTTTTCGAAAGTTTTCGCTGAAAAATTTATAAAAAATATTCTATAGGAAATGAAGAATGGATTGAGTTTGAGACAGCAACAATTATAGGTGATTATGTAGTACATAATCACTTTAGCATTTCATAAGCTCAGTTGCAGACAAAACGAATGCACATACTTCGAAAAAACGAAAAGTACTTTTATTTTTCTTTAACTCTAAAAGATACAGAGATTTTCCTAAGCTACTATTTTGAAGCGACTCTTGAGTAACAGCTCCTGTGTTCCACAATCGATTTCTTGTTATTAATTTATATTTGATGACAGTAGTGATCCATTCAAAACAGAGAATGGCCATCACTCCATAAATCTAACTGACGATGTTGTTCACCTTCAAAGCCTGTTTAAAGTAAGACAGGAAGTTTGTTAAAGGGTGCATATAATGCTGTTTCCTCAAAAAATAAACACTTCTGCTAAACGACCCAAATGAGCTGGGATGTGACAACAAACATGACACAAATGGATGGATGAATTTGTCTATTATTAATGTTTCTGTTGAGAGCTTTTTACTGTATCCAGATGAACCCCTTATGTCAGTTGTACATCATGGAAGAATTATCAAACAGAAACTGATGCATTAAACAAGAATGTGGTTCATTACAGAGGAGAAGCTGGTCTCAGTCAACATCCTTCGTGAATGAAATGTCTCACAAATTAGCATATCAACAAATGTAGTATCCACAAAATAGTATCATTTAGAAATAAATGCGATTTTTTTGCAACAGAAACCAGGATTTATTCAAAAGGTGTATTGATAACGTTTCATTTCGTGCTATTTTGGGGTTGGGGAGTTAGGCTAGATTTTCTTTAAAACGCCAAAATGTTATATTTATTTGCATAATAAATGTAAACAAACAGTGTACCATCAAAATAAGGTGGAAAAAATCAGAATTCAAACCGATTGGCGTAATTTTTTTTTCTTCGTATAACTAAATGATAGAATATTCTTATTTTCAGACCACAATCTTACTGGCATCATTGTATTGATTTAAATTTATAGTTGAAGTGCGTGTATTTTATTTCTTAACGAAGACGTACCGGAGAAGAAAGCTAAAATTACTGCAGAAGGCGATTTTTCACAGCCTTCATCAAAGCGCCATTCATTTGCGGAAGTATTCTTAGTTTCATTAATCATTAACTTAATTTGGGGAGAAAGGCAAGATTTCGAGATAAACAAGCCAGAGAAAGGGCGAAAAACAGTTTCACGGCAGAATGGACACTTAATTAACCGCTGTATTCCTGAAATGATTAAGTTCGATTTTAGAGTTATACTAATGAGAAGAATTAAGTATCTATAGGAGAATTGTTTAACGAAAAACTGTCATACTGACCTTTTCCTCCTGCTCAAAAAATGTGCGCCAAATGTTAGGTGGTAAGAACATTCAGCCGCCATCTTGTCTTCGATGCACTGTTTTACGAAAGGAAAGACTGTCCTCTCAAGGGCTACAGCGAGTCTACAATAAACTCACTTTCATCGTAGAAATACCTCGATACCTTAAATAACATGTTTGTGGAACGTAGCATCCAATGTACGTCATTCAGCTCCAGAAAACAGCCTGAAAATGCTGGTACTGAACGTAAACAATTCACAGAAAGTGCCTCTGTGGCACTTCAACAGCCCCTATTGACGCATGCGCATACAAAATGCCCTTCTGTTCATCTGGCATAAACTGTAGGCTACGAGCAAACTCTCTTTTTCTTAGTCCGTTGAACGAAACGCGCGAGTCACGAAAATGACCACGCGAGTGACTGAAGACGCGAGAGGAGATGCTTTTTTTTCGTCTCGGGCTGCCGCCCTTCGTCTTTCCCGTCTCCCCCTCACTAAATATGAAGAAAAAGTGAGACTGCTCGCGGTCTGCATTAACTCTTTTTTTGTTATTTTTATCTTTCCTCAGTTGATGCCTTTGTTGATACAGTCTTTATCGTGTGAAGAACAGACCCTACAACAGTCCACATTACAAACAATGTACTCGCTTGTTCTGGACGCACCAGAGATTGTTACCCGTCACGTGACTTCATTAGTTCCCATGTTTCTTGGGCTATCCAAGTTTCAGCTTTCAATGGTAAGCGGCACGACAGGGGGCGGGATACCTTACTATAACATGGTAACGAATCGAAATTTGTACCACGAGTCGGATCATACATTGCTTTCTTACAAAACTTCATTTAGATCTTGTTTATTTAGACTTGCGGAGACGCATGAAAACATCAAGGGCCTGTCATTAAACGGAGTTTGGCTAGCATGTGTAGCAAGCATTTCCGTGCGGTTTCGGAGCAAAGAACGAGGAACGTGAATCAAAGACTGCACGAAAAAATGGGGCGAGTAAAAGAGCGGGGAGGTCTTTCTTTGCTCCGAAACTAAACGAAAACGCTGCTACGCAGGCTAGAGTTTAGCCCGTGTTTAGCAAAACCTCGTTCTAAGTTAAGTTCTAACCCATTTTCACTTTGCCGAAGGCTTTTATCTAAACTTGGAAAACCTGAAAAGTCATGAAGTTCAAGAATTTCATTTTCCTGGCCTGAAAAGTCATGGAATTTAATTATCGGTCTTGGAAAGTTATGGAAAATTTAAGTTCGACTATCCGGAAGTTTTTTTTCGATCTACAAAGGCATTTTTGTGTCTTTTGAACTGAGTTAGGTCAAAAAAATACCCTTTTTCGAAAGTGGCAGCTAAATCTAAGGTTATGGAGTACTTGAAAAGGTTCTTAGAAAAATGAAAGTCCTGGAAAGTCAAGGAATTTCAAAAGAGTGTTTTGGTATTAATTCTTTATTTCTTTAGAAAATCAGGATGGAAGCTTTAAAGTGCCTTGGAGCGATGACCACTTTACCCCATCATGCGGTACATTTCCTTGGATATTTTTTTTTTGCTTTGTTGTTACTTTTTCTGGTTTCTGTTTGATTTTTTTTCAGTTGCGATACCCGCTTTTTTCGATTTTGTCATTTCCCGCAGGTTTATCCTTATAAAACGAAAGTTTGTAGAGCTTTGGCCGAGTCAGTTGACGATAAAAAGAGGCTGGTGAGAAAAGAAGCAGTGAAATGCAGAAATGAATGGTAAGCCAGACCAAACTCTTGGTCTCTGCTCCTGGTTATTAGAGAGCTTTAGATTTGCGGACGAGAACGACTACGAGTACGAGATTTGATTTAAAGTTTTTTCGCGTATTGTCAAAAGATGGACACGCCGAATTCTTCATTGTACTTTTTTCACCAGAAAAGTAAAACTGTTATCTGTTATTGTACTTTTTCACCTGAAAAATTAGTGAGGTTATATTTATTGGAGAAGGTTTAGCGCTTTCCTGGTCGCAAAATGATTAAACTTCTAAAATTTGATAACTTGTTCCCGCCAGTACGACATTCTCGCTAAAACTAGTAGAAGAATGACGACTGCTATCACGTTTTCCAGCCAAAATGACGCTGGTTTACGCGTGAGCACTACCAACTGGGAAAATCTCGTACTCGTAGTCGTCCTCGTCTCCGAGCGAGTTCCCGGCTGTTCGTATCGGATACGTCACCGAAATTCACTCTGGGAAGACGCCGCCCGGGGACTAGGCAATCCGCGACGTATATTTTGAGTATCCGCTTTATACGGAAATGCGCGCGGATAATACCGGTGGACACTTGAAGATGTTACAGATGTTTGGTAGCAGCTTGAATAATGGTGACATGGCATAGGAAAAAGCGATGTGGTTATCAGGTTTTTTTTAGATCGATTACGTTGAGTTCCTAGCCGCGAATACAGTTCTTTCTTCTCATTTTTGGTCTTCACTACTTTTCTTTGTATCAGGTATCTTCTTGGCAGCTCTACAAGATGACAGTAGCTGATTACGAATGACAGAAAAAACCCCGGTCTGTTAATATAAAGGCTTGTTTCTTATGCGTTTCCATGGAAATCAGTTTTCTAAACGAACAACTCCAAGAATCGAAGCCAAAAGGAGCGATCGTCGATGTAACAGTAGAATTATCAGGATTTCAAATAAACAAAATAATATATGTTTACTTTCACTGTGAAGGTATCGAACAGGCACCCTTTTAATTTCTTCATCATTTGCTACTGTATTTGCTCTCAGTCCTTGGATTATCAAAAGTTTACATCAGGTCGCCTGGGACAACTTACCGTTGTCCTCGCAAAAGTTGGTATATTATAGGGAGCCTAAGCATCAACGACGGCGACCGCTACAAATACGTTACTTAAAAAAAAAGTGAATTCGCGCTGCCTCAGTCAAACTTTATCGCGCTTATTCCATCTTGTTTAAGGTGGCTGAACACAGTTTTGGCAGTTTGTGAGTGTATGTCATTTGCCAAATCACGGCAAGAGAAAGGTTGCAGCTCACAAGCTGAAACTTGGCAGGTGGAAAATATACTAATGAAAGATTTTGATTGACAGGTAAAATTTGACGTTTTCGTAGTTTCCATGGCAACATGAACGATTGAATACAACCTTAAAATTTCACTTTTGTTCAGTTTACATAAAATTCGCTCATTAGATTTTCCTATAATCTTGCACACAGCTTACTGTAATTAATCATTACCATTTGAAACTTATTTGATCAAATTTTAACAAACGGACTTTTAGATAATCAATAATATAATTGTATCGTAATTATTAAATGTGTCACGAAATTCGTCTGTTCAACCTCCATTTTAAAGTTTTCATTATCTAAAATACGATAAAAGTAAAAATTCTGCCAAATATCACAAACCATGTTTGTTTGTCTAATTAAAAACGCGCGGTCACGCGAGTTACCGCTGACCGCCCGCAAAACTGTGTTCAGCCACCTTAATTCGTCAAACGTTTTTTTTTTTTTTTTTTTTTTGCGCGCGCGCGCGCGTGCACTCCCCTTACGAAATCTGAGCATGGATTATGGAAAGTCTTTCTATTATCCATGATCTGAAGAAAAAGAGAGACTGCTCGCAGTCTAGTCCTCGACAAAACGTGAAATTAGGTACTTTCACGTTTTGGTCGCGCAACGACGGCTAAGAAATGTTCATGATGCACGTTTAAAGTTGTTGGGGCCGACTATTGTGGGGAATGGACGGGTCATTTCAGGTCGTATGGCGAACAGACTCGTAAGTCGATTTGGAACTAACCACAAAAGAAGTTTTGCGTGGAGTTATTGGCTCTGTATCTACACCGAATGATTATCTAAATACAGTATTCTATGAGGTAGTTAGCCTACGCGAGGGCTGCAAAAACAATGCCCTCCCACGGTCCCTTGGTCACCTTTTCGAAATTGTAGTGCTTGCATGGACGATAAAGGGGAAAGCCTAAATTTGGAAAATTCTCACTCGTAGGAGGAGATGATCGATTGGTTATTCACGAATACAAAACCATTATAGGCATATTCTTCTAATAGGAATCCTCTATCAACTACGGAATTACCTGAATTTAAAGATGCTAAGGCAACTGTATCATGCACTTATTTACCCCTATCGTAATTACGGAGCAATGTGTTGGGGCAACACTTATTAGACTAATTTAAATAAGATCTGTACTGCGCAAAACAAATGTGTTCGCAGTATTTTTTTGGCAAACAAACAAGCGCCCTCTATCCCATACTACCAAATTATTTGAATATGTTGTTAAATTCAAATCTGCTCATTGGCATTTAAATTATACAGCAACCATAAACTGTTCCAGCAGTCTTCCATAATTTACAACCACTGTTCACTCATATTACGCAAGAAATTCCGCGAAGCTTAATTTCTACCGACCAAAAGTTAGAACTAACATAGGTAAATTTACTTTCAAGTACTCTGCTTCTGTCATGTGGGAAACTGTCCCCTTGGCACTAAAACAAGCCAAAAAAATTAACAAGTTTAAGAAACTTTATAAGGCCCACTACCCTGGGTGCCAGAGGCTTTTCATGCGCGGTTTCCGGTTTCGGTCAAGTCTTAGACCCTGTTTACATGGAGTGGGGGACCCCGGTCTAGTGGGGTAGGTTTCTTTTGTTTTGTGTCCCAGAGCGTGAAAACAAAAGAAATCAACCACACTAGACCGGGGCTCCCCACTCCATGTAAACAGGCCCTTAAGCTTTTTCTCGCCGCTTCGCCGCACGTGTCTTCACCCTTTGGCCGAACACGTGTCGGCCTGCGGCCGACGAAACGAAGCTCCCCGACACACGCGAGAAAAAACCTCTGGTACCCAGGGTAAAGGCCCACCTGATCTCCTGTCAATCAAATAACATTGGTCCTGTTTAATAATCACTGAGATGTATACCTAACTATCTAATAATAACAATAGTCTTGAAAGTAATAATGATTGTCTGCTTGTACTAATTTTGTCTTTTCTGTCGCCGCTGTTGATGTTGTTGATTTCTTTTCTTTTGGCTTTTTTTTTCTTTTCTTTTTTTTTTGGCTAGTTTGGTTTGTCTTGATTTGTCTTTTGGTTCAATATTTCTCTAAAGTACCTTTATATACATGTAATTTTGTCCTGTACATTAGTCCTAGGCTCTACAAACATTATCTACAATGTGTAAAGTTCAGTGTCATTTCCTCGTTTTATTTAATAGTAGGTGGTGGTCAACGAGAAAGCTTTTGCTACTTTGACCATCACACATGTCTTATAACACGTACTTTAGTTCAGTTTTATTCTGTAATCATTTATTATAACTACATTTTCCTTCTTTGTTATTCTCTGTAAATAGGGTGAAATAAATGAACCTGAACCTAGGAAAGAAGGGGAGCTAACTCGAGAAGTAAGGGCACAGGCAGCCCAAACTCGGGTTACGAGGAAAGGGTGCAAAGTAATTTACATACCAAAGGTGACGCCTGACCTTTTGTGTGTAACTTGAGTTTGGGCGGCCTGTACTTGTGGTAGGGGGCGAATTCACTGGTATTCTTTCATGTTGCTTGGACTCGGTGGATTAGAACCATCATTTTTTACATGTTGAAAGTACGAATAAACAAGCTTAATAATACCTTCAGAAGGAAGCAAATAGAACAAGCACTGGAAAAATATATCGTTCTAATTCCTTTGAAAATTTCTTGGTCTCCAGTGCGATGCGGTTTGAAATTAGTGTAAGAACTGTTGCATTTGATCTCAGTATTCGTTTACCGTATTTTAGCCTGCGAGAAGGCTCTGACTTGTGTGGGCGCCAGGGAGAAGAATGGAGTGAGAAAACGTGTCAATTTTTATTGATTTGCACAATTTTACCTTTTTTGATCGCCCGCGCGAGGCTCCAAGGGAAGAAGGACGGTCGTTCGCAGTGTAGAGTAGACGGTCTGAAATCGCAGTCGGGTACTTTCTCAAAGGGAAACACGAATGTGTATAAACATATTAATTTTGTCTTTTTACCTCCAAATGAATAACGTTCAATGTCAACATTCAGTACGTTTACTGCTCTTGGACTTGGTATAAATGGGTTGGTAAACCGCGTAAGGTCTGATCTGAAAACGACACACCCCCCACTACGTATTCCTGGGAGTACTCCCCGGTTAAGGTATAAGGCCTCTTTCTATGACTTTTTTTCCCCTTGTAAGAAAAAGTGTTCCATTGTTTGTGCGTCATCGTAAACTTTTCCTGCAAATTATCTCCCTGTATTAACCCACGGACTCTTCCCCCTCTCTACCCTGCGAACAGAGTCTCCTTCGATCTTCCTAGGAAAGATCGAAGCGACTCTGCTAGCAGGGTACCCCGTATCTTTTCTACATTTTTTTCTCTCCATTCTCTGACCCCAAACTTGACCCGCGGGACTCGACGGGTCGTCCTGGCATCTGTTCGATTTTGACAAAATAAAACGCACGCGATTGGCTTATTTTGCAGCTCTTTTGCACGTGGACGTGTGCAGCAACCGTAAACAAAAGCGATCGATCTAACTATGTCGGTGATGTAGACACTAAAACAAAATACTCTGGGAATTATTTAGCAAAGGATTCTCCAAAGCATGTTCTAATAATTCCGTGTAAAAGAATGGCCAATCTTTTCAAACGACGTGGAACTGGGATTGTGACCGCTGTGTTCGCTTTTATAGCGTTTGTAATGATTGTAGCTGCCCTTCTTTCAGAATACTGGGTTATGGCCGATCTTGAACGCCAAGTCGGGAATTCGACACAGAAGGGAGGTTCTAAACATTTCGGAATGTTCAATGGAGTGAGCAAACAGGATTTTGGACTTGGAGCAAGAGAAAGGGACTTCGCAGGTAAAAACAGAATAATTTTTGTTCTCCAAAATGTAGTTTGTCCTGAGATTAAAATACTGTTAACATTCGCTCACTTTCAGTTGAGGACATTGTGACAACATTTTTTTCCCAGTTTTTTGTCATTTTCTTTGCTATTAAGCAAAATGTTTATTCCTGAATTTAGTGGGCTGAACATCACTACTCAGGTATTAAAAAAGTAGCAAAACGTGAATATTATTAGTTGTCTACATACAGACGTAACCCATTTCAAGAAATACCACAATTTTTACAAAGGGACAGACACTTATTTTTAGCTACACGTATTTTTTGATAAGCTGACTGATTTTGTAACTGATTCCAGCCTCCATACTGTGAAAGATGAAGTTCAGCGCCAAGCGCCAACAGGGCTTTCATTTCAAGGTTTTAATATTTTGACAGCCACTAACATTTTTATGGTCTTTGAAAAAGAGTCAAGTAAAAAATAGTCTTATGACATATATTCTTAAAAATAAAACAAAAAATAGACACTTTGATGTTCTAAAAGATGTTGTCGAGTCTTTCCAACTGACTTATGATGAATTCATCATTACTGAATATCACATTCACCCACCTGCTGTAATTAATTTCCGTCGCTACTGATAACTTAATTGTTTGGCACTGACTCAACATGTGTATGCTCCTAACAACTCCCATGATGTTGGGAAATCTACAAGCTCAAATGCCAATTGTGTCAACTATTTTATAAATGTATTTGCTTTTGTTGTTGATGCAGAAATAAATAGATTGAACAAACACACACTAGGCCCTCTTAGGGGGACTATGCACAGGGGCATAGCCAGCTTACTGTTGTAGGCCTAACTGACTTTCATTTCCACATATCCTGAAAATTGCATGCATGAATAGTACGAACTGATCTCACCAACACTTTGAGCTTGTATACTTTTTAGCTCACCCCAACAACCCATAATTTATTACAAGCAAGAGAGTGATCAAACCAAAAATTTGTAGGCCCGGGGCCTCCAGGTCTATGGGCTGGCTACGCCCCAGACGTATGTCCCTAGTCTGAATTTCAAAGCCTGTCGTTTCGAGTTTTGAGGAGCAAGCCATGTGACCATTGGTATTAATTTTACTTTTGTATTTGCACTTCTCTCTGTTGCTGTCACAATTTCAACCCCTCTTTGTGTCATTTGTCACCATTTCTGTGTTCTTATGTCACTGTTTTTGAGGCCATTTTGTATGTCGGAATTAAACCTAACAGAACGTCATTACCAGCACTCATTCTTGGCCAGGGCCATGGTGCTTTATGTCACCAAGTTTGAAGACATAACAGGAAGAGTCCTGTGCTACCCGTTTCTAAATTTTGGAAACACGTTCATTATTCTGTCACACAGTTTCTGTTTGTTGCATATAACTGATAAGCATTTTAGCCTTTTAAAGCTCACTCTACTAATACTTTGCAATTTCATCTGTTGCAGTCAAGGATGAATTTGAGGGTGTGGCCAATGATGATGTTGTTTGGGCAACTGTAGGATTCTGCATTCTTGGTTTGGCTGTCATCGCCATATTGATTGGACTTACCTGTTATAATGAGTTTACCAAGCCAGATTTAACCATTTGTGGTTCCACTGGGATATATGTTTGTTGTGGAATAGCTTGTAAGTACTGAAAAAATAAGTTAACCTTTAATTTATTGTTGTGTGAGCTGCAGGGCAGGGCAAATAATGAATTGGGAACTATTCACCCTAGATGGCTTTAGAGAACCAGACATCTGGGTTTCCAACAATATGCTCAGGTTTGGAGAAAAAATGATTTTTCAACATCTTTAAGACCTATATGCCCACTCATCAGTTCTTCATATTGTTGCTCTACTTGCAGTTTTCTTTGTGATCATTTCTGCATGTTTGTTTGCTGCCTTGTTTGAGATCCAACTCAAAAAGAATGTCTTACAACCACAAGATCAGCAGCGAGGCTTCTCTTCAACTGACAAGGCTCAGCTTGGATATTCATTTTGGATCTTGTTAGGTGCCGCTGGAGTGTTGTTACTCTGTCCACTCATCATTTTATTGAAGAATGTTCACTGCACACATTATTTCAAAACAAAAAAGCATGAAATAACTCATGTAGATGGAGTCATGTTATATTAGATGACAAAGTCATGGTTAACTCTAAACTTAAGTTTGAATCTGATCAATATCAGTTCAGCTTTGATACTGTGAGTAGGCATGTACATGTATGTTTTTAAACTTTAACAGACTGTAAAAAGAAGGTAGTCGCAGATAAGATTAATGAGAAGTTCTTGATTTATTTATTGCAAATTACTGTGTTATTTATAGTAAGTTAGAGGTTTCGTATAATATGAAATAATTTTCTTGGTTAGTGTAGCTCTTTAAGAAAACATGAACATAGTATTGGTAGTATTTAAACAGCTCCAAAAAAGGTGACTGGCTGTCCATGAACTTTTGGCTAACAGTATGCCATTAATCCCCAAAGTTATTGCTAGGGATTCAGAACTTGATATGAGCGACCTGAGTTCAGAGATCGTGGTGTTTGGGAGGAGATCTCCATGAATGTCTCGACCACTCCAGTGGTTGAAGGATGATGATGATGATGATGACGCCATTAGTGAGCTAACAAACTGCCAACGATCCACAAAACTATTGAGAACTCCTCACTAAAAAAGTGGAAAACCAGAGAACCTAATAATATTTAATAATTTTCAGCAGAGTTGGTTTGATATTTATTAATTTTGTTAAACTTATCATATGTCTCAGGGAGATTATGCTGTTTTTACTAAGTAGTTATAACATTAATAATTATTATAAAACACATGGCTGCTGTAACTGAAGTATTTGGTGTCAGGGGGTTATTAACAGACTGTAAACAAGATTAACTGGTTTTATGATAACCTAAATATAACATAGCTATTCACAAAGTGGATAATATATATGCAGGATTTTTAGGTAACAAGAAAGTAGTATTTGTATAAGCTTCCCTTTTTATAAGTGAAACCAGTTTTAAAACAAAGGATTTCAAAATATCTTGTAATGTGATATTTAAAAAATTGTTTTAGTGGCACTTCATAGTTCTTTGGCTGAAGTTATGCAACCCAGGATAGGAAGCAAGACTTTAAGCCTAAATTTAATAGGGGTGATTTAAAGGCACTGAGTTTTCCTTGAAGCTATTTTCCGAAAGTGCAACATTAAACTAATACGCCTTTTGTGTAGAAAAATAAATGCTCATGTTGCCATTTCATGTATGCCAGTTTTAAAGCACCCTAAGACTTGTAGTTTGACAGTCTGTCTTCAGTCTAGCCTTATATTACTGCATACATTCTACACAACTTCCCTTTGCAAGCAATGCTTCCTAGTTTTTTCTACTTTTTCTCTTTCTGCACTACTATGATTCATTTGGCTCCTGCAGTGCCTATGCCGAGCAACAGAAACTTACATTGTTCTACTGCAACGATCTCAGACTGAAAAAAAATAGGTGCTTAAATCAAGAAATTTTAGCACCTTTCAAAAACTTTGTACAAGTCTGGCAAATTTGCTATTTGAAGGAGAGTACCATCCTCAGAAAAGCGGCTGGGAGGGATAAGTCCTGTGCGAAAAGCAGGAAATAAAATATGTTCTACGGTCCATTGCCATGATTTGTTGAAAGACAAAGATTTTCCAGCATTGGGATCCTCTGTGTCAACATCTTTGGTGGAGTTCTCATCACGTTGGAAAGGATCTGGTTTAAATGCATAAAATCTGCTGCACTCCTGTGCAAAGGTTCGGAAGCATCCCTCTTCAGTATCCCAGTCCACCTAAACATGTTACAGGAAAAATTAAAATTATCTCAAGATGAATTATAGCAAATTATTGACTGGCAGTATTCAGTTCTGAAAAAAGAATAAATGAAATTAACTCCAAACATCATAATTGAGGTACATGGCACTGTAACATCTGCAGTGGTCCCATGAGTGATCAACATCAAGTTTCTCCAACCAATATCAGTACATAATAAGGACAAAAAGTAATAAAAATTAATAAAGTGATCACCTCAGTGAAAAATGCTTTGATCTTTAAACAAAATCCCTCGACAAGTTTTTCAGGGAAATGTATGGAGATCTGTACCGAGAGGTTGTATGTGGATATCGGGGCTTAAAGGGTTTTAATGCCACAGGAAACAGCTGATGGCATTTATTAGCATCAACAAAAGGCTTAGATAAACCAAAAATGAGGCTGAGAGATTAGCACAAAGTTATGTTCTGTACCAAGCTGCCGTGAATGCTGCCACGCCCTGAGGAGGATACGCGGCCATTCATTCAGCCTGATGTAGCATATACTGGGGAACAAGCCACATTAATGTGTAGTTGCAGCTTGTACAACAAACTTCCTCTCTGTTTCTCTGACATTCTTGAAAGCCAGAACATTGTGCAGAGGTCTCTCTTCCTCTCTCTTCACATCCTATATATCACCCCCAGTGCACTTTTTTCCCTCTCTCCAACCTCCCTACGACACAAAGAAGCCATTGAGGAGGAGAGAGGTGTTAAGCCTGTGTTCAAGATTGCAAAACGATTGATAGCCAAAAACAAACTAAAAAAGCGCAGAATTTCCTAATAAGCTTCCAGTTCACAGGGCTTGCAAAAAACTTGAATTCCAGTTTGTCCTTTGGGTCACTTCTTGCTTGTTTTTGTTAATGATTTAGTTAGAGGATGACTTGCATAGACCCTTATTGGGCAAGTGAGATCAAACAATACTCCCCTAGTCCTGGACTACCAGACGGGACTGTATTCAAGCTTTGGGTCCAATAACACAAAAAGTTCTGACATTCCACTATTCCATACTGCTTACCTCTGTAGCAAGGCGAAGAACAAACAAAGGAAGACCATTAAGATTTGGTATGTAACCATCTAACAGCAACGGCAATGTCAATAGATGACCTTCTTTATCAATTTCCAAAGAAAAATAATCCAACAACATAGCTGCTTTTCCTTTCAGCAAATTGACAATGTACGCCGCTAACTCATCTTTAGGACCATCCTCTTCCGTCCATCCACTCTCCTCACAGTCTAAAGCTAGCATGGCAAGCTCATAGACTGGCGCTGGCTCTGAAAGCTTTAGAAAGTCAAAGTTGCCAAACTTAAACATGATAACCTGGTAGAAGAGTTCTTTACTAAGGGTTGTGACATTCGCAAGGAACAACTTTGTGCTGTGTTGGACGAGAGCGAGTGACCTGTTCACGCAGCCCACAAATTTATGGTCTTCAAACAGCTCTTTCATTCCTTGATGTTCATTGCTGTCAATGGCTTTACGTAGATTCAAGACACTGGTAAGGCGAATTTCTCTGTGGAAAGTTAACTTGTTTTGGCCCTTTGCAATCCTGTCACCATTTTCCTCTAGTCTTGGCTTTTTTGGACCTGGAGAGGTAGAACCAACCACTTAATCAACCAATAAAAACAACAATAATTTTTTAATCAAAGTTGCTGTTCCCTGAAGTGGGATTTGAACAACCAAAAAATGGTAAAAAACAGGCTGCTTGTTGGAAAAACTATCCTTATCAGTACCAATGGAAATGTATCAAGAACATTGAGGAGAAAACACTGTATATAAGGGTGTAATCCACACACTTTTCCAGTCATTCAGTTAGTCACCCAGACTGTCAATGGACATGTTCAGCCATCAGTTATTCAGTCTACAATGTACCCTAAATTAAGTGGGTCAATCAAATGTTAACTTAAATTGACTGGAAATGATAAATTTCTGTTACCTGATGGTTGGTCAGAGAAGTCCTTCTCACCAGCATCCATAGATTTGCTTGAGTTGGACACTGAAAGTGTGCTTTCATCAGTAATATTAGCAGTTGAAGTAAGAGTTTTAGACCTGTTTGGTTCCCCATCAGCCGAATTATTGGCTTCATGTTGAGTGATAGTTCTTGAAGACTGAGAATCACTAAAAACACCAATGCAAGAGATTAATAAGAAGCTGACAAACACCCTGAGGGCTTTTGCAAGCTATTTCGAATAACATGTGACTATGAAAAAAAACATTTTAGGTTCTAATGTAATCTTGAGCAATCTTTTAACCTGACCTGTTTGTTACACTTGAGGTTGTAGCATGATTTTTAGGAGGAAGAAAGGCATGCAGAGTCTGCTCTCTACTGTCTGTTCGAACCATTTGATGTGCATATAACTTTCCACCATTAGATTGTCCACCATCGTCTGCCACTTAAAAAACAATGCAATGGAGAGTATATTCAATCACATTTCTGACTAAAATGATGGAAATTATGGATCTAAATGCCTATAAAAGTCAAGGTGGGGAAGGGGAGGGTATTTATCATTTAAATTAAATGTATTTTCCATCAAAGAAAAAACACATGGGGGAGTTTCAAATACTGATTCTCGATGTTAATAGCGAGAGGCATGGGCTTGTGGCTTGGGTTGGGTGAGCAAATAGCAAGTACCTTTAATCTTGTTCACTAATCTACATGGGTTCTTGTGCATGTACCAGTACAGATGATGTAAAACTAACAATCTACTGTGTTTGTTTATCTGAGCTGGTAAATGCAAAGGGAACCCTGCTATTAATATCACCAACCTGTAGAAGTATCAGTCACCGGGACACCAGGCAGAAGGGTTTGAGTGTAGTAAGTTCTGGATGAATTTGCCCCTAACAACTTCTCTTCAAAGGCCTTCTGAATAGCCTCAATAATGGAATCTTCATGCAAAAAATGAACCTCATGTTTGGTGGGGTGAACATTAACGTCAACATTTCTTGGTGCAATTTCCAGGGATATGTACACAAAGGGATGGCTGTTCTTTGGAATATAAGCTTCATATAATGTTTCTATTGCTTTCCTTAAAGCAGAGGAGTCAACAAGACGATGATTAATAAATAACAAAAACTGCAGCTTCTTGACAGAATAATTAGCATTGGAAATGTAGCCATGCATTTTGAAGGCATACTTTTGGTTGTCGCAGCTAACTTCTAACAACTCTCTTGCAACTGAAGCTCCATAGATTGTGCGAATGTTATCTAAAATAGAAGCACCATTGGTGGTTCTGACATCCGCCATGTTTTCTCCCTGCTTCTTCAACGTAAACGCAACTCCAGAGTTGTGTATAGCATACTTGCTCACCACATCAGCAATTTTCGCGAACTCTTCACCGGAACTCTTAAGAGCTTTCCGTCGAGTCGACACATTGTAAAACAAATCTTCGACAGTTATCTGAGTGCCTTTGTTTCCAGCACAAGGCTTAGGGTCAGCAGACAATCCAGGTCTTGCAGGCACTAGTTTTCCATCCGAATAACTCGCTTTGAAAGCACAGTTCGATTCTCCAGTTCTTGTAGTGATAGTTACGTGAGCAACGTGACTAATGCTTGCCAGAGCTTCTCCACGAAAACCATACGTCGCAATGGAGCTTAAATCCTCAAATTTTGTAAGTTTGCTCGTAGTGAAACGCTCGCAGACGATCCCCATATCTTCTTTCCTAATGCCACAGCCGTTGTCCTGAATCTGCAAAAGTTTCAAACCTCCAGATTTGACTGTTACCGTTATTGATGAAGCCTTTGCATCAAGCGAGTTCTCGATCATTTCTTTCAGTGCATTAGCCGGCCTTTGAATCACTTCACCAGCTGCAATGCGATTAACAACAGCCTCGTCTAGCTTCTTTATGGTGGGAACGGCCGCCATCTTGAGAAGCAATTCCCGCGAGTTCCCGCGCAAATTTTTCGAGCAGAAAGATATTTTCACCAGCGGTTTTAATGCTATGTCATGTAATCGTAGTGAAATTTTTCGTCAACAAATCAACATGGCGACGTCCATAGCGGCAAGAAGGGTGTCTTTTGGAAGGATTGCTTTACTGAAGCAAAGTTTCCAGGTAGATTGTTACTCTATTAATCTTTTTCCTTCTCGTTTTATATTTTTCCAGGGTAGATTAGTGATATATTCATTGTCAAACAGGTTTGTGACCTGTTTACAAGCCTCAGTATGAAACATAAACGCGTACATTTTTAAAGTAAGCTCTTTTGTCAACATCATAACTTATCTTCAGATCGGGCAGTTTCTTTTTGTAAACCCAAATTTAAAAAGATACATCGTTAGTTAAGTGTAGTATAACTATAACTGGCGGTAAATGTATTTCCCATTTGGAAGGGTGAAGGAAACTTATAATGAACATATTAAAGGTCAAAGGTTGCTTTAGTTCAATTAAGGCTTATTTTCCAAACTTTCTTCCAGTTGATGCCTGCTGCATTTACAAAATCACGAGAATACAGCACCAATGTTGAATCAGCCTCAAAGAGTGAGCCCCTGGCACAGTCAAAAGGTCGTTATATGGTAACCCTTATTCCAGGGGATGGCGTTGGACCAGAACTTTGTCACAGTGTGAAGAGAGTGTTTAGGTAGGCTTGTTTAAGTGCAAGGCTATCTCAATGTCAAAATTTAACATAACAGTGTGTTTGTCGTAGATCAAAGTGAAATTCCAGTTAAAATGGTTTCAACCTGATTAATTCTCAATTATTCCTAACCCTAATCATTGGCAGATCTAGAGGAGGTACCAGGCCCCCTTCTTATTTTTAGGCCAAACTGAAGCCTGTAAGACTGATAAGAATACTTTTTGAGGCCAGATCCCTCTCTTTTCTTAGTCCTCTGGATCTGAATTCACCACTGCTATTATTCATGATCATGATAAAGTGGTCTGACCTGAATTTCATTTTCATCTATATGTATATGATTCATTCTCATTCACTCACTCACACTGGTTCTTTTTTGTTAGTGCTGCTGGGGTGCCTGTAGACTGGGATGAAATTCCAATCAGGTAAGACTTATCTCAAAACAAAAAAATAATCTAACACAAAACTGAGTCACCACAATGCCAAATGCTTCATTGCCAACATAATGCAGTTTTTTTTTGCAATGATGTTTTTATCTCTGACTCCTATCACACTACAAGTTCCAAACTAAAAAAAAGTGAGCCTAACTTAAGTTGTACAATACATAGTAGCAGCAGATGACTTGTCCAAAAATTTGGGCAGCCATTGCCTAAGAATGTAAAAAGTCCACTTCCAGTTGATATGCCTCACTCTAAAAAGTCTTTGCTCCCTTCTCCTCATATGTTAACTAAACATGATTACACGCTTGTCTTTCATTCTTGAAGAGCTCAGCTAGCGAAGGGACTTCTTTACCTTGTAATCATGGTAATTATTTACTATTTTCCATCATTTCAGTGATGTGAGCTATGGTAGCAGATATACCTTGGATGATGTCGTTCAGTCAATGAAGAAAACTGGAGTAGGGTTAAAAGGTAGGACTACCAGCTAATGCTACTAAAAGGGTTCCAAACCAGCTGATGCTAAGACCACTGTTCTCAAATCAAAACACTTAATCAGCTAACTTTCACTGACTTTCTCTGCTAGGTGCATTGACAACACCATCCAGTATCTCCAGTCAGGATCACTTATCACTTAATCAAAAAATGAAGTAAGTATACAGAGATAATTTACTCTCCTTCCACTAGTAATTTCCACATACAAAATTAATTCTCCAGACTGATGTCCATAGATTTTCCTCAAAAATTGGTCGAAGGAATTGGATGGAAGATGAAAGCATTTTAGCTTTGGTGATCATTTTGTTAATTCTCATAACCTTTTGCCTTGATGATGTATTGATTTTGTTGGGAGAAAATTAATATAATTTGGTCGCTTGAGAGACTCAAGGGTTAAGCATTTGAAGTATTTCCAATAAGGTGGAGTGGTTAGAGGAATGGACTAATCCTCAGTCTAGTGGTCCTAGGTGCAAGTTCTGCCACTGGGTTAAGTGTAGCCTTAGAGAATAGTCAACATTTTCCGACACCTCCACTGGTTTCCCCACAAAATCACTTCTGGGAAATGAGCATAGAAATTCCATACTGATGACCAGTCACTACCCAGACCGGATCTTGTTTACTGTGGGTAATGTCGACTGAGATATCGGCCGACATAGCGGTCGATATAGCGGTCGACAGTCGGTCGATATAGTGGTCGACAGTCGGTCGACAGTCGGTCGATAGTCGGTCGATAGTCGGTCGATAGTCGGTCGATAGTCGGTCGATAGTCGGTCGATGGTCGGTCGATAGTCGGTCGATAGTCGGTCGATAGTGAGATAGACTATCGGCCGAGTATCGGTCGATATTTCGACGACGCACTTCGACTTACTATCGGTCATATGTCGGTGATATATCGGTCAACTGTCGGTGATATATCGGTCAACTGTCAATGGTATATCAGTCAACTGTCGGTGGTATATCGGTGAACTGTCGGTGGTATATCGGTGAACTGTCGGTGGTATATCGGTCAACTGTCGTTCGAATATTAGTCGTGTGTTAATTTATCAGGTGAGTCCAATGGCTTTTTTTTAAGCAAAGACGTCATTAATTACTGTTATCATGCGATGGGGAACATGTGGCAGTGCAAGGTGCGATTACGCTATGAAGAGAACCGAAGAGCACTGGGAACTAAGGACATGATAACCTTTTCTTTTTCCAGTTTGTATCATCACCGATCGTCTGAGTTTTAGCTGTTAAACAGAACCTGTCTCAGCCTAAGTTGAATCTGCTGCTCCTGTGGTCCCGCAAAAATGTAGGAAAATGTAGGAAATGCTAAGTGTCGACCGACCATCGACCGAGTGTCGACCAATTACTGACCGACACATCGGTCAAGTATCGACCAACTATCGACCAAGTATCGGGCGGCATGTCGTCGGGCGAAGTGTCGGCGAAATGCCCAGACCTTGGTTGTGCTTCTGGTTGGCTGAAAATTTGCTTCAACCAATCAGAAGCACTACCCTGTGCTTGTTTCTCAAACATTATTTTGGGTCGCAAAATGTTGGCTGTTTTCTCAGGTTAGGTTAAGTAGAGTTGGTTTTGTTTCTCTTAAGCCCAACTCTGTCATGCATAGCTAACTGGTTTGTCTCCTTCTAATGCACATCTTAACCTTTGATCTTAACTTGGATAGTGGCAGGAGAACCATAATAAAAAATTTTGTCTTCTTTTCATAATGAATTAATGGGTCACTCCATTTTACTTACAGAACAGAGCTGGACCTGTTTGCAAATGTTGTCCACTGTAAAAGCCTTCCAGGTTATAACACCAGGTACCTTTCCTCTTGCATTTCTCTTCCTCTAAATGTGTTATTTCATTTGGTTTTAATTTGTTGGTATATCCGAGGGTGCAGCATTACAGGTTAATTATTTTTATCTCACAAGACACATGAAACTAGTTGTTTGACCATACTTACCACACCTTCCTCACTACTGAATGGAGATTATGTTTGCTACCATTGCCTGAAAGGTTAGCTCTTGTTGACTCATTGTGATTTATATGAGATACACTGGGGAGTAATTGTGAAGAACCCCTCCCCTAAAATGACTGTTGGTCAACTGTCACCAACGGTTAACCAACACATTACCGACATATTACCTACACCTTACCAACAAACTGCACGAAAAACTGTTAAAAATGCAACACCTAGGACAGCATGTCTCGCCAAATAACCTTTGAACCAGGTATGAACCTACCTGGGGTAAGCTCGTTTTGCTATAAAAGTCATGCAAGTTAGTATCACACAACCAACCAGGAAGTGTAGAAAATTTGGTCTGTAGTACAGCACATCTAAATTAGCTTTTGGGAAATAAGGGGTCATGTTTCCTTAATCTTCTGTGGGACGAAAAGGGTTAATGAAACAAAATTTCTTGTGTTTGTTAGACATAAAGATGTAGATATGATAATTATCAGAGAGCAGACAGAGGGAGAATACACTAGCCTGGAACATGAGGTCTGTAATTTTATCATGTTTTCCTTCAATGATATGATATTCTTTAGTCAGAGTTTAACATGGAACAATATGTAGATGTTAACGTTTTTCACCTTTTCCTGGCTTTTTAAAAATTTCTTTTTTTCTATTAACCAGTCTCGATCAAGATCCTCAAGATTTCTATTAACCCTATTTCTGTTTTAAAAGTCTCAAGAGTGTCCAACATCAACTTTCTCCTAAAAATATCAAAACACAATAAGAGAAATTAGGTTATGAGAGTTAGTAAACTGATCACTTAAATGAAAAAGCTTTGTATGGAGGTCAATATGGAGAATCTGTATGTGGATCGTGGGGCTTAAAGGGCTAACCAATGTCTGCCAAGATCATCTTTTTATTAGCTTCCTTAAGGCCATAACCATGTCCCTGTATTTCACGTAATGCGGTAACAGCTCGTTCTGATTTTACTAAAGAACAGTGTTAGGAACTTCTGTGAGGTACTATTGTATTTCTTGTGTTGATTGGTTACAGAGTGTACCAGGAGTTGTTGAAATGATCAAGGTTATCACAAGAAAGAAATCTGAAAGGATCGCTAAGTTTGCTTTTGACTATGCAACAAGGCACAAGAGGCAGAAAGTCACTGCTGTTCACAAGGCGAATATTATGTAAGTTCATGTTGTTCTGAAGCAAATTACATGTACTGGGCCCAGTTGTTCGAAAGACAGATAACGGTATCGACAGGATAAATCTCTATCCAGTGGATAACGCAATTAATTTTCCTGATACTTATCCACTAGACAGCGATTCATCCAGTGGATAGCGCTATCCAACGTTTGAACAACCAGAGCCTGGTGAATAGTTAATGTTATACAGCTGGATATATCACCACCATCTAATTTCTCAAGT